AAAAACGTTAATTTAAATTTAAAGATTAATTAGTTTAGGAATGAAAACGTGTCTATTGGAAACTGTACTTACAATCAAATATTCACCAATAATTAAATTGTAAGGTAGAAATTTTTGCTAATCAAGTTCAAATGATAACTAGTATTTTAAAATGTCATCACAGAATATACGATATTTAATTGTAAATCCTGCTTTTCGTAAATGAGGAAGACTTTTTTTAAATTTTAATTACGAGAACAAGGGAAATGGATGATCATCATAAGTATTCTACGTGTAATTTAAATGAGAACGACCTAACATTTTTTTCCATCTGTTCAATAGTAAAATAATTCAGAAAAGTACTTCTTATAAACCAACAACTTCTGATGGGACAAAGTATGATATTGATTTATAGATTTTTCTGTCGTTGAAACACTCCTGAACAGATATGTACCAATGATGTAATCCGCCATAAAAAATGTTCATTAATTTTCCTTATTGATGCTAAAATAGTTCCTGAATGTATAAAGTATAAGCTGTCTCAATGGCTAAACGAAATTCATATAAAATTCGTTTTGATTACAAATATCATAAAGATGAATACAATTTTCCGTTACTAAAACCGTTCATTTCTTACAATCAGACAGCCTTCAATAAATTACATCTTTTGTTAGAAATCAAGTTCGTTAATTCATATTATTTCTTATAAATTCATAAAAATCCTTTTGGAATTTATAAAAAATAGGAAATTTCTTTAATTTCCCATAATCAAAATGTCAACAATAAACTGAATTTCCATAAAATGAATCTAACCTAGAAAACCACGCTCGTTTGCTTATATTTATATATATTTTATAAAAGAGTTTCGGAACTACAAGTTTAAATTATAAAAAAATCAAAAGCTGAAAATAATGTTCGTTAGATTGTATCTCTGATTTCTTACAAAACTTTAAATTTACTTCCACGGTTATAAGTACTAACAGTATAACTGTTTCAGTACAACTAAGCAAAATCCGTTTCCCCAGCAGGTCTGAAAGGAAAAAAATGCGGAAAAGAGATAGCTTTCGCTCTTCAGAGAAGAGAAAATACAACAGCTCTATTAAGAACACACTGTCTGTATTGAACAACCTTGTCCAACTTTTTCAAGTCAATTTCACTAAAATCCTCTCCTTTTTTCCAATAACCCTTCAGGGAATCAATCAATGACATCATTTTTCATCGTTGACATCACTCAAGAATGGAAATTTTAAAATGAATAAAGTTTCGATATGATTCACCTGGGATAAAAACGATTTATCATAGCTTGAAAATTATTTAATATGATGCAGCCCGATATTTTCTTTTCATTAAATAATAATCGATAATCGTGTCCGAAACAATCCAATGTTAATTAAAGGCTGAAATGAAGGAAATGTACATATCAAGGTGGTAAAGGGCTTACACCAAGGCCCGAGACCGGCCAAGGTAAATGAATCGATAAGCTCATGTCGCTCATGCAACGGTATCTCCTCTCTGCGGAAAAAAATAATTCTGAAATGAATTAACCAAGATGCTTAAAGCTCATATATTCCTTTACTAAACAAATTATGATAATGTATCAATAAAATATAAGATGTGACTATTTTTTTTTAAACCTAGTTTGTCATCTGCAATCTGAAAGAAAACAGGGCAAAGAGCGTTCCTTCCTGTTTAATATCTTGTTTATTCTTGTCGTGTTCTTTTTCTATGGTCAATTTCAACCAAACAATCCCATGTAAAATTTATGAATAGTAAAATTATACGGAATGGACGCATTTTGGCAAAATTGTACCGTTGACCACGTCATTACCTAATCGGCCTTTATACAAATAAATAAGCAAAATCTTATAAATTATGTATACAAGGTTTATATTTTCTCCAGGCTTATATCTAATGGAAATTCACTGACGTCAATTTCCACTTGGCCTGACTATTTGTCCGAAAAAAAAATCCTTGAGTCTCTGCCAAAATTTTTGACGCTCTTAGCTTTTTGTCCCTTAGTTCGAGAAACAATGGTCATATTTTAGGTGAAATATGCTTTTCACAGTAGTAAACAAACTAGCTTCTTATGAACTTATAGCTTTGACATTTTCCTTTTAAAATTAAATTTACTCATTATATATGTATTGAAATTAAGCAAATCCATTTAAAAAAATTTAAGGTATTCTTTCAAAATTGATCTGAAATTCAGTTTGCTTTGTTTGATGACTATGAGTTTCGTATTTCTCTTTTCATTACTCGCAATATTTTATTATCAAAGTTTTAACTTTTTATTATTGAAGATAATAAAAAATTTCTATGCTAAAGTTTGTCTTCGTCACGAATTGGCTAGCTCAAATTTACTTTTAAATAAATAGCCAATTGAATTTACATTATCAGTAACTTATAAGCAGCTCTCATGGATTGATTGTTGTATTGTGTAAGGTTGTGCTATCCCAAAGATTGTGTACATTTTCCTTTGAATTTAAACTATATTTCAAAATCATTTCTGATCATTTCGTCTGTTACAGACGTTCAAACTTTACCTTAAATTCAGACTGACTTATTGATTCACAATTGTAAACTTAGGTATTTCTCTTGGGTTTTGCACAATCTTTTATTATCCTTTAAGATGATGACTTCATCCTTTTATAATTTTAGATAATAAAGCTTTTTTTAATGCTAATCCGATTAAACTACAGTCGTCTTGACGACGTGTTAGCACAGGTTTACATTTAAACAAATAACCAATTTACTTTATTTTACATTATCTGCAAATTAACCAACATTCGTGTATTATTTAAGGCTGAGTAAATTTCCCTTTTAAAATGCACTCGTTTTGTGATTGAAATAAAGAAAAAACGTTATCAAAAAATCATTTGGTTTTGCACAAAATGGAGATTCTTTTATAGAGCGGTGTTCAATGTCTTAGGTGTGGGGGAAATTTCCTTGTAAACAAATAGACGACTGGTTTTGTTTTATCAGCAACTTATAAACAGCTCTCATGGATTGGTTGTTGTATTATGTATGATTGTGAACATCCTGAAGATACAATAGAAATAACCCCCTAAACATTATGTACATTGTGTACATTTTCCTTGGAACTTGAACTATATTGAAAAATCTTTCTGATCATTTGGTCTCTTACAGAGTTGAGACGTTTTTTCAAAATTTATCTTAAATTCAGATTGTCTTATTGATTCAAGATTGTAAACTTTGATATTTCTCTTAAATTTTGCTCAATGTTTTTCATCTTTTAAGATGATACTTTCAAACTTTTATAATTGCAGATTATAAAGATTTTTTTATTCTAATCCGATTAAAACTGCAGTCGTATTTACGATTTGTTCATACAAGTTAACTTTAAACAAACTGCCAACTGACTTTACATTATCAGCAAGATAACCATCCTTCGTGGATTATTTAAGGTTGAGTGAAATGTCATTTATAAATTCATTAGTTTTATGATTGAAATAAAGAAAAAACTTTCTAAAAAATCATTTCTGATCATTAGGTTTCGTGCAAGTTGAAATATTATTTTCAAGATTCTTCAGAATGTGCTTCGGCAGTTAAACAAATAGACGACTGGCTTTACATTACCAGTAACTATAATCGGGTCTCATAAATTATTGTGTAATATTGTATTTATCTTAAAAATGATATTTTCTTTTGAACTAAACCTATTTTTGAAAAATCTTTCTGATCATTTGGTCTTTTACAGAGTTGAGGTGTTCTTTCAAAATTCAAAATCTTAAATTCAGATTGACTTGATTCAAGGTTATGAACTTTGTTATTCCACTTAAGTTTTGCACAATGCTTTATCATACTTTAAGATGATACTTTCATCATTTTACAACTACAGATAATAAATATTTGTTTAAAGCTAATCCGATTAATACTGCAGTCGTCTTCACGAGTTGACACAAATTAACTTTAAACAAACAGCCAACTGACTTTACATTATCAGCAAGTTATAAGCAGCATTCGAGAAATGCAAAAGTTGTGAAAATTTCCTTTTTAAAATTGATTTCTTTAATGAATGGAGTAAAGAAAAATCAACTGTAAAAAAATCATTTCTGTTCATTTGGTTTCATATTTTTCTTCTTTTTTTAATATTTCCAAATATAGCTGATTGATTCAAGATTCAATAAATACTTGGTTCTGTTTATTCACATGTTTACTTTCAAACGAACAGCCAATTGGCTTTACATTATCAGCAGTTATAAGCAGCTTTCGTGGATTGCAAAGGTTGTGTAAATTTTCCTTTTGAAATTTACTAGTGAAATAATTGAAATAAAGAAAACTCTTTTATAACATTTCACTTTATCGGTTTCGTACAAATCAATAAATTTTATCCTTTAAAGATGTCTTCACCACGTGCTGGCACAAGTTTACTTTTAAGCAAGCAAGACATAAGCCAGACTTCGCATTATCAGTTATTAACTGCCCTCGTGGATTGTTTGCATATCAGATATATCTGTGGTTTGCAATTCTTGCAGAATCGAAACTGATTAAAGCTATTCCACAATTAGAAAGTCAACTGATTCGTCAAACTATAGATTTCATGAAGTAAGTAACTTAATCATCTCTCGTGAATCTGCTTAAGTAACAAACAAATGCTATTTTCACAAAAGCTAAATCGTTTTTTTTTTTTTCCGAGAAACCAATTTTTAATTTAATCTAACGAGAAAGTTAAAAACAGAGATAGAAGTGTTACACTAGAGATGATAAAGGTGGGGTGATGTAGATTTACTTTTTGTAAAGTTTTAACTTAATTAACTTTTACAAAGTGTCATACTAATTCCCAACAGGTATTATTTACGCATCTAGAGCTGACTCATTGTAAACAATTAAAAGGCGGTGTGGTAATTGTAAAATAAGCAGTGAACAAAGGGGAAAACACAGAATCAACATTTTGTAAATAAAAGGGCAGACTATTTGAAAAAAGATATGCAATGTGTCCCACGACCTTATCTATAAATACAACTCTTAACCTTAACACGGTATTTACAATAGATGCTTACTTGAATCCTTGGGTCTAGATCGTCGTCGTCTTCCAGCTTTTGCGAATCAGTCTTAAGAGATTCCATTTATGATGACGAGTAGAAACGGTAAAAATATACTTTTAAAAACTCAGTTGTAATCGAAAAAACCGACACAAAACGAAATTCAAATGTTGCGAAGCGACTCCTCGGCGCCACCACTTCCTCTTCTTCCGGCAAAGTTGCATCGCCTCAGATCATCTGGGCGGGCGGGAAGCTCGTCATGGGTAAAGTCTTTCAAAACAAAAACAGTACGGAGTTGGACTGGAAGGAAGAACAGAACGGTGACGACCGAGCTAACGCCGTAACGCAACTGAGTTGGAAATTGGAATTATGATGCAGCATGACCTAGGTAGTGGGGTGTGACTGCAGCCCCTCCTCGTGATGTGACGCATCGTGTGGCGCCCGAACTTGAATACAAGCGAACAAAAATCTGCCAATATTCAGAAACTAAATATAATTATATCCTGAATATATCCAATCTTCTTCTGAGAAGTGTCAAGACACCTATTATCATGTTTCTTGTCCATCCTTATATACAATTAAAGGTTCTGTCAAACCTGATGTCAAGTTTGTACAAGAGGCTTGGTCATTTCCAAGACACCCAGATCTATAACCCAGTGAAGGGAAATTGTTGTCCCTTAGATACTTTCACGAAAGTCTATAATATATATATATATATATATTACCTTTCTCCAATGAGAAGTTTAAAGCTACACTTTCTGTTTTAAAAACATTTCTTACTGGAATTCTTCACTGAAGATGGCACAGTGCCAAAAAACATTTGAGAAGTGCCAGTCTAACATGAGATTTCCAATGTATTCATTTGTTTTCCCCAATCCATATGTCTAATGTGTCTTCAAGAGACTGTTCTACCTTATCAGGAGTGTAAGGTATATTTGGTTGCAGATCCGAGCTGAAGTCTGATGATAGGACAACTGTTTTAATTTGGATATTTATTTTTTCGCAAAGTCCATAGGATTTCTTTGCTCCTCTAACCCTTCCTGAAACTTAGGACTACATTTCTTTCAAAGGTCTCTATTATCTATAACACTTGGAATGGTCTGTCAAAGGTGACTTTTTCTCTCATTTTATCAAGTTATACAAGAAATCACAAGAACCTCAAGGTGGGTTCCCAGACATGAAGGTATATAGTGAAATGAACAAGGTGACCGACAAACCAAAAAAGGGGCAGCTTTTTCACCCATGGGACCAGAGCCACAACTAGGTGCACCAAAGTGTCTTCTTAACTTGGAACCAGAAAGATGGCTTAAGAAAGAAAAACTCAAGCACTGTACAAAAGCACCGGGTATGAGGTAAGCTAAAAAATTTATAAATCTCTCAAAATGGAAAGTAAATAACTTCTCTCTCCCAGCAGATAGGATTTGAGGAAAATTATTCGCCTCTATACTGACCACTGCCCTCTTAACTACCACGAAGATGAGCAAAGCAGAAACAGAAACATGCCGACACATTGGCACATATCCTTGATAAATGTGAAGCATTAGCTCAGTTATGATACAGTCACATCGCTAAGAAAAATTTAAATTGTTATTATACAAAATTATGTTCTATTTTGCACATAAATAGATTGGCCTGATAATATGACAAGGAAAGAATAAATAATGTGTTTTATTTTGGTATCACTATTGAATATAATAACTAAATATATTAATAATTAATATAACTGAATATTATCAATATATTAATTAATAAAATAATTGAATATATTATTGCTATATTATTTTGTGTTTTTATATAAAGTATATTATATTTATTCTTTCATTTCTTTTATTCGTTTTTCATTTTATTTATTCTTTCTATTTCTCCATTTATTCTATTTATAATCTTTAAATAAAAATAAAATTTAAATAAAACAAAAATATATTAAATTTCAAATGTTCGAGCCAAAAGATTGTAACACAGCAACAGGTAAGAGAGCGTTGCTGATGCTTTGTTTATGGTGTTAAGGTTTAGAGAATAGGGGAGGCTCATAAGGTGTTACCGGCACTTCTCTATGCTGGACTAACAACCAGGGCCCAAGCTGAAAAATGGACAATCCACAGTGTGTACAGTGCGGAGGGAAAGAATACGTTTTGCACGATGGATTTTACTTCTGCCGCGAATGCAATGTCCAGTCTCAGGTTTGTTACACTTAAAAATAAAATAATATATATACATTTTTATATTGCTTGTCTGCAATGGTTCTGAATTGCAAAACCGAACTACCTTTTATGCAAAACAATGTCATCCTCGACTGGTTCCCAGGGCACCAAATTTATGGATGTTCTTGTATGTAAAGAGACTATTGATAGGGCCCAACCTCTTCTGTTGGATTATGAAATACATGATTTGAATAAAGTTTCAGCATAAGACAAGGGATGAAGTACCGGAGACTTCTGGACAGATACAATCCAAGCGCCAAGAATTACCTTTCTGGCCAAAACAAGAAGCTGCTACATCAAGTCTCCAGAATACATTGGCTATTATATTGCATTAATTGTGGTTATGAGTGTTGTCGAATTTTGGGTAAAATTTAATAAGCATTAAATTCACTATTTTCGTGGACCGCTTGACCAATTAATACTTTACAATTAATTAAGGTTTTTAGTTGAGATGAAAAAAAGTTAATGGCACGAGAGGGATTCGAACCCACGACCTTCGGCTAGATATGCCGCTGCTCTACCACCTGAGCTATCGTGACCTCGATCCACTCGGACATCAACTCCCCATCTCATAAGGTGGGGTTGAGATCTCAACTAAAAACTTTAATTAATTGTTTAATAAGCATACTAAAATCTTGCCCTGGGTGTAAGAAGCAACTCGTTAGATCAACAGGGATGGCATAGTAGGAATGTGCGTTATTTCACTTTTTCATATTGGTGGTGAAAAACTAACGATTCACTAACAATCATCATTCACTTGGGAATGTCTGAATATTTCTAGTTGAATAGTTATTTTCACAGCTTCCTGATAAAAAATATTTTAAGTTGAGTTAGCCAATTATGAATGAAGTGCAAATCTGTTTAATTCCTTCCATTGCCAAGTACAAAATCACAAAGCGAGAGAAAAGAAGATATAAAAATAAGTGAATAGCCAGACAGCCAAGAACGCATCAGATCACTGAATTAAGCTCAAAATTACCTGTGTGTCATAGAATTTACGGGAATTTGGACAAATGAAAATCTATGCTCTTGCTAAAACACATAATTGTGAAAAAAATACTCTCAGAGGAATTTTTAGTAGAGAAGAAAAGATTCTGTATGGGGAACTAAGAAATCTGAAATCTTGCAGATCTTGAAAACAGATATCAGAATTCAGAATGAATAAGAGAAGCAGGATGAAAATTATAATTGTAACAAATTTCTTGACAGGACAGTGCACTCTAGATATCTGATGGTTGGTTAGATGTAGGTGTATTGTATCCTGGTGGTTCGTTTTGTTTGGATTCTACAGAAGCAATATTCTTCTGTAGGATATTTTTTTTAAACCTACAACACATTTTTTGTCAGGAAATTCATGGATGATACTGGACTACTGGTGTGCTGTAAGCACAGAACGGATAAATTGAATGATAAAATAGCAACTAGTTCTGTCATAGCTTGTTGATGATGGATTTTGGTATGCGAGTCAGTGAACTCATGTTGGGCACTTACTGGTCTGTCTCCATTCGCGGATTTTTGAATTAGTCAAACGCGTTTTGGCATTGCGCCATCTTCAGTGAAGAACTGGAGACAGAAACAGTAAATAACCCTGTGCTGTTGCAATGTGAGTTCACCTACTCGCAGACCAAAACCCATCATCAACCCTAGTTCTGACATGTTTAATAGTTCATCGAGAACACTTGGGAGGAAAAATGTCAACACACTAGGGCTTTAAGCAGGCGATGTAGCAAACAAAATAGCCTAACAAATTTGAGCCCTGATTTCTCAAAAGCATATTTCATTTTTAGTTAAAATTTGACGTTATTTGTTAATGGACATGTTTGTTTTTCTTACAGGACATACAAGAGAGAGTATTTGATAGTTTTTTTGCATCTCAAATGGTCATACCTGATACAAATGTGAGTGAATACCAATCGCAAGAAGTCTATTCCCAAGAACAAAAAGATGGTCAGTGTGACTTATTCAATTTGAATTTAAAAGAAATTAGATCAAAAGTAAATTTCATCAGCAATAATTTTTGTGTGTAGAGAAGGAAGTGACATCGTGGGAAGTTTTCAATTATATTCTAAAAGGCTTGGTAGATGAGATGATTCTCATCGGGGCACCCAAAGAATTGAAAATTGTCGCTCTTCAAATTTGGTGCACCTATTTACAGCAGATTCAAGTGGCATTTATCTCCAAAAAATTCAAAGCAAGGCCAAGACTTGGGATAGCTTTTAGAAGAAGGTTTGATCTCTTAAAAAATAATAACAATTTTATTCATGACTTTATAACGATAATATCATCAGTTAACATTAAAAAGGGATGCAGAGTTGGTTTATGAACTTAAAGACGATGAAAGCCATTCTCATAAATACTTTGCTAAAAAGAAGAAATCAGCAAAAAGATCAAGAAAATCTTCGAGATCATCAGTTTCAACGGAAATTTCAGCTGCTAGCAGTCTTAGGAGAGAACGCTACAGATTGACAATGAGTAAGGTATGATTAACGTATTTGGCTTATTTCTTGTTAAACTGCAGCATTAATATTTTCAGAGGGAGTTAGCAAAAGCAGAATATAAAGAAGTGCAACAAGAGTCTAGCCAAAATCTGATGGCTGTCACTTTAGATTCACTTGGTGACTCTCAATCGCTAATATCTGAAAGATCTTTTAAGTAAGCCTATTGTGTATAAAACTAATAAATATTATAATTTATAATTTTTCAGAATCAGTTATTCCAAGCACGGGAAGAAAATGCTGAACAAACTTATCAATTCGGCAAAAAGGACAGATATAAATGAAACGATTGGCATTAAAAAAAGACTGCTCGTTAGGGAGGCCATAAGTCTACGACATCCGAAACTAACGCAGATAGTCGCAATACTGAAAACATCATTAAACGTCCTTCAGCAGGACGTACATTTCGGTGATATTCTGAGATGGTCTGAGGAAGGATACCTATCACTCAAGAATGCTGAAAAACTCCTACCGCCCAAACTTACGTTGTGTAAAGACAACAAGCACATTTTTAATCAAATAATAACTTCGCATTCCAATCTCGAAGGACACACTTACAACATGGGGAAGTTTGTCAAAGCTGAAGTCAACCCTCCATTTAAGCCTTTAATTCGACGCTACCTTACCGAATTGGACTTACCAGGTTACTTTGAATTTTTTATCAAGAGTAAACTTTGATGTGTGTCATACTGTATGATTGAATTTGTTATACAAAGTTGGAGTCATTGCTGAAACTAACACTTATTAACCTATATTTGTGAATCCAACTGTTTTAACGTTTTTACAATGCAATCCCTCAACATAAGAAAATTATTTCTTTTTAGATGATTTGGAAATAATCATAGATGATTTATTATCTAGAGTGAACACAAAATTGCCGTTTATAAACCATTTAAATATGGAAGGGAAGGCCATGGGTTTCATAATATTTTCACTGAAACTCCTGTTCGGGTTAGATGACATTACTGAAAAAAATCATTCTAACTTTGCCGACTTGATAAATAAGTATGTTTTATTAAAGTAAAAAATTTTAATGTCTAACCATATATGATATTTCTTTTAGCGACCCAGAGGCAAAAGGTGAAAAAGGAGAACAGTTTAGTTGGGACAAATGGACAAGATTTATTGTCGGCCGGTCCGCTAATATAGCTAGAATCCATTTACCAACTACCTACAAGTATTATAGAGCCAGTTACATTGGTGGGTCAGATACTTTTCTCTCTCAATGGGACAACTCTCAAATAAAATACTCATTCAGTCGTCGAGAAAGTAAGTTGTATATTTTAATAGATTTTATTACTACACCATAAGGTACATTATTATAAATATACATTTTTTTATAGATATCGATGACAATATTAAAAATACAGTTAAAAGGCTTTTAAGAGATTTTGTTTGCCCCTTAAAAGAACCTAAGACCAAACCTTCCAAGACACCTCATTCTTCCTACTACACACTGACAAAAGGTCCTGTGCAGTCGTTCAAGAATAAATCTTTGTCATATTTATTAAAGCCAGATTTGTAAGTTTTTTTGAAATTCTCTTACCTGAGATAAATATGTTTAAAAAAATATAAATTTTACAGCCGGGAGAAGATGTTGGACAAATTTAATCTCACAAGTTCCACTGAGTTGAACCAGCAGTTCATTATTGCATCGAACAACAACGTAGAACCTCCAAAAGTGTATAAAACTAGCAAGGTTAAAAAAGTCAAATTGAACATTATCGACACAGATACTGTAAATTTATTGAGGGTCGATAATGAAGATGACGACAGATACGAGGAAGAGACCTCACAAGTAAACAATTGTATTTACTTGCCAGGTGGATCGTACTGGATGTTCGACAAAGAAATATGTACGAGAGGCTTAGCACAGAACGACTTTGATGTAGCCGCACCTATGATATTCCCTGCGAGCTTTTTCTGGCTTTTAAACGAATGTGCCACAATGATAAACCAAGGGACATATAACGTCTACAGGGAACTTGTAAAAATAGAAAAAGCTTTTTTACTGACAGACATCACAGAAAACATCACTTCTTGGCCATGATTATACTACCAACCATAAGTATTTGACACCTGTGTCAATCCTTTTATAGCTTTTTTGAAAGTCGACTCAATATGGCCTCCCCAATTATTGATCACAACCTTACAAAGTTAAGACAAACTTGGAATTAATTTTTTGAGAGTATTTCTTCCATTTTTGCAGCAAACATTTCTGAAGATTTTCTTAACATTTCTGTCAAGCTTGTCCCCCCACGGTAACTATAGGATTCAAATCAGGCGACAGGTGACTTCCAGCTTATTTTCCTGTGTTAATGCAAATATCTTTACAAACTTAGAAGTGTGTTTGGAATCGTCATGCTGTAATGTAATTTTTTGCCAAAAATTCTCCTTCATATAGGAACATTTCATTTTTCCAAATAGTGACGTATCGTTCTTTTTTCATCAGCAATTCAATTATATTCTATTTAAGGAAATTTGACGATTAAATTTGCCAATTTAGTAGTATGCGATAATCATTTAACTGACAATTTCTTCTTTTGATCTTGTAATTTTTGAGTGTTTTTGTGTGCTGTTTTTGTATTAAAAATGAATGTTTCATCTCTGAGGAGTGAAAGGAATTAAAACTTTTAGAACCTGAAAATGGCTTCTAATACTTTTTTTTGAAATGAAAGTGATGAAAGACGAGTAAGTTCAGAAAAATTTTAAGAAACAGATCGCTTGAGCCCAGAAAAAACCAGGTTGTACTAAAAAATCACATTTATTTTGTTATAGTTGGTTACCTTTTCGAATTTTAGAAAAAATTAGGTTGGCAAATACTTATGGATGATAGTAGGTTGTCATATGTTAAAACAAATTTTTGCACATAATTTAGTGTTTTTTAAATTTTTTAATCGTAATGTTCCAAACACAATTTTTTCCCAATTTTCCTATCCTCCTTGCCTACGAATGGATACTTCCAGGATTAAATCAATTAAAAGATGTCATATTAAATGTTCTACGGTTAAAAACAAGTTATATTTAATATATACATATATAATATTTACAAGTTATTTCTTCCTTCCTTTATTTCTCATGTTATTTGTGCCTTTACCTTTATTTTTGGGACCTTTTTCATCTTTTTTTCCGTATTTGAGCTCTTTTTGATGCTTCGTTGTTCTAAAATGAAACGATAAGTTAACACAATGTCCGCTTGAATATTTCTTTATGCAAAAACAATACTCACTCATATCTTAGTTTCTTAACTCCCTTTTTACTTACATCAGTAAGATCAGAATCAAATACTGATTTCTTAGTTTTATTAACTAAAAAACAAATTGTTTTAGTACATAGTTATATAGAAGAAAGTATTCAAAACATACTTTTGGCTCTTTTCACTTCAGGCTTGTCATAAATGGTGTTCATCTTCTTGGGTTTTCTATTGCGCTTAGCAAGCCTTGCTTGGTAAAGAGCCAACTTTTGCATCTCCCTTTCGACCCTTTCTTCTGAGGTAGTTTCACCCTTCTTTTTCCTCCTCTGAGCCCTACCTTTCTTTACCTTCTCAACTTCTTTGTTCTTCGGCTTTCCTTTCTGGAACTTTGGTATCTCTTCGAGCCTCAGCCTCTCTGTTTATATGACACAAGTTGTTTATCTCTTTAAAACCTGTCAGTTTTTATTAATTTAATTCTAATAATTTGATATTTTATTACCTTTCTCCTCTCTTCGTTCTTTTCCGGTTTGAAACCACATCCTTTTTTCACTGTCATCTTGGCTAAGGATCTTTTCCGTTTTAGCCATCTGCAATTCAGCCTTCCTCAAAGCCTTTTCCTCCCATTCTTCCTGCAAAATTGTATTTATCCTTTCCTCCAAGGCATTTACTTTCTTCTTAAATTTAGATATGATTTCTGAAAATATTAAATTTTTTAATCGTAATGTTCCTATATATATAAAAGTGAATTTCATAAAGGGATTAGTATAGACTTTATATTAAAAATCCAATATAAGGCCAATTAGAAGGAAAACTGTTCCTTTGTCAAGCTTTCCAGGAAAATATCACCTTCATCAGTACTTTGAAACTATTTTTAACAATTTACAAAGTTAACAAATTCAATTACAATAGTGAAATTATGGTTTCACGCATATGCAATTATGAATTAAATTTCAATGAACGAGATCGAACACCCACCCATTCTACATAGAGTAAAGAGAAACCCTTTTACACAAGGCCACATATTATCAGCCACCTCAAACCATTGCCATTGTGTAGGGTGTAGGCTGATGTGCAGTGGTCAATGGTGTGATGGTAATGGTGAGTGGTAATTTAGGGGTAGTTTTCTCTCATCAAGGGAGAAAGCCTGTGCAAACAAGGTGCACAGGAAATTTTTACCCCATGCTGCCATCACCAACTAGTATATGGATGGCCCAAGATTATGAAGCGAATGGCCACCACTGATGGCGGCTAACTTTCTAATCACTACAACAGGCTATTGTAGAGAAGAGCCATAAGATCATCTTTACTTCCATGATTAAAAAAAAGTATAAATATAAAATAAAAGTGTTACCTGTTGGTATCGTTCTAGCCCTGACAGGGTGGCGAACGGATTTGACTATTTCTTTAACAAGAGGCCTTTCTCTTTCTCCAGCAAGGCTGACAGAAACGCCAGACTTTCCGGCTCTTGCTGTTCTTCCGACTCTGTGAATATACTGTTCCATTGTCGCCGGGAGTATAAAATTGACAACCTGTAAAATTTGCAAATTAATTTTCTGTTATACATTTCTTCTCCAAAAGCCTTTCTGAACATACGGTTTTGACTCCTCTTATATCAAGACCTCTTGCGGCGACATCAGTGGCTACAAGAACGTCTACTTCTTCCTCCCTGAATTTTCTCAAAGCTTCTAACCTTTGAGCTTGCGTCATGTCACCGTGCAATTCACCAGCCTTAAAACATAATTTAAATTGTATAAATAATAATTTTAAAAAATTGATTTTTACAAAATCCCTTAGCATACTTTTAAACCAAGCAGACCCAACAAGATGTACAGTCTGTGAGCTTGTTTTTTTGTTTGTACAAATACCATGGCATGATCTCTAAATGTTCTGCACATCAATGAAGCAAGGATGACTTCTCTGTCTCCTTCTCTATCTTTTCTTATCCTATTTACAATTATGATTAATGAACATATCAATATAAAAAGAAAAAAAAAATATGGTACTTTATAAACTCCTGACGCAAATTCTCAGCTACAGTGCGATTATCATTGACAAACACTTTGACTGGCTTCGTAAGAGAGACAGCAGCAAGTGCAGACACTTCTTCTGTCATTGTCGCAGAAAAAAGCAGTGTCTGTCTAGTCCTAGCACATTCCTTTATAATTTCTGTCATTTGTTCTTGGAAATATTCATCCAACATCCTAAAAAAGACAACAAAGGAAATAGCATCCTAATTTAATGTTATATTGTAATAGTTCTTACCGATCGGCTTCATCCAATATAAGGACTTCCACATTATCTAACGAAAACGAAGGTGTATTTTTTAAATGATCTATTAATCTTCCAGGCGTTGCAATTACAATATCAGGACTTTTTCTAAGTGTTGATTCCTTTAATTTAAAAAAGTTCAAATTAATTATTTACAGGTAGTAAGTATTGTGTATAAGTGCCAAATTTAAATGAAACAATACAATAAATTTCTTTAATCAAGCATTTTCAATTTTACCTGTACTTTTAAGTCAAGACCTCCTACAGAAAGGCCTACATCTATTCTTGTAAACTGGCACAACTGCCTTGTAACCTGATAAACCTGGACTCCAAGTTCTCTTGTCGGAACAAGAACTAACACCCTATGACATAAAAGATACATTTCAATACAACAAAACAAAAAAAATTTTATAATTTATTTATATACAATCTGTACATAGGGAATACATCTTTTACAGATAGAGTGATTTCTATAGTAATATGAAGGAGTGCCACTCCATTAATTCATGTTAAAATTATGTTTTTCAATTTTTTAAAAAAATAAGTTTACTTTTTTTTATTTAAATAAAGGTTTTTGCAACTACTAGCTCATATTTATTTTCTCCCCACTATAAAATCCTGAAAAGGATGATTATTAAATTAGTCGAGGGGATTATTAAATTGGTTGAAAAAGAAATTAATTTGACTTAAAAATGCTATACAGGGTGTTCTTTTTAGATGGCCTGGATGAATTTCTCTTGAACAAATGACACTATCAAAAAAACAAGACATACAGGTTTAATATTTTTAGTCTAGTTTCAATTTTTTATCTTTTTTGGAGAAAAATTATACAGTGTTCCTCAGGCCCAGTTCGATATCAACAATTCAAATACGACTCTATACATCCTTTAAAAGGATGTGTCAGGATAACGATTTTTTTAAAAGTAAATTTTTTAATTAAGTTACTCTTCAATAATAAATTGTCTCAGGTTTAGTGCTGAAATTACAAACTTATATATTAGCTGCTTCCAAAAACTGAAGTTTTCCTCGCCAATAAAAGACAGAAGCAGATTAAAATAAATTGTCCAACTGTAAGGTACCGTTCTATTATTAATTTCAGCCTTTGAAAGCAGATTTTCTTCCATCTGTTGCAGCCAAAATTTTATAACCCTTTTAAATATAGATAATTTAATACTCTTTAAGTTTGATTCTAATTTCATAAAATAATTTGGAGTAGAAGATGGTCAAAACAGTAAATTTTTGACAAACTGTGTAACTATTACTTCCAATTATTTAAATAGGGTAATGCCCAAATTAGATTAAGACTTAATTAATGCATGAAATCTCCTTAATTTAATGACTTATGAATCAGACAGAAGTAATTAGTGTTCTTCTTACATTGATAGATGCCTAATTTGCTTTGGAAATAAAGTGATCATAAGTAAGACCGAATTTCCCAGAGGTGGCTGCCGAGGGGGACTCCCAGATAAATATACAATCAAACCATTAAAATGAAGAGTTTTAAGCCTCCTTTGCCTACGTTTTTGGAAAACTAATACCTTGGTTTCAATAATAATAATAATTTAACTATAAAGAAATACAATTAAAAAAAAGAGATCAACATTAATAATAACAATGGACTAAAATCTGTCTGTCAAGTTTACATATTCAAATAAATACCAAACACAGAAGTAAATATTAATTAAAATTAAATTCATCCGCCAAAAACTTTTTATATTTTAAAGCAGTAATGATATATTAATAATTATATGTTTTTATTATATATGAATAATAAAATCATCCCAATTGTCTCCATTTAAAATGGCTAAGCAATGATCATGTGACAAAATCTCTAATTGCAATTAATAAAACGAAATTCTGACAGGATTGATATTCACATAGAAAATGCGAACAAAAGTAATTATAATTTTGTCTCCAGGGTTGATAATTGACGTTTGTCATTTCTGTTCTTCATTTAAAAAATTAGCTAGCCTTATTTATACTGCAAAGGTTGATATAATCTAGAACGTGACGTATCTGTTTAGGTGGAATCTTGCTACGGATACATTGGCCTATAATCTGTCCCTTTCCTTCAACTTGAGCTTCTCCAAAAATGTTACAGTGATGCCATTATTATATTTGGCACTGAATCTGCCTAAATCCATGTAGATTTCAATTAACCCAACCATTCTTTAACCTCACACTTTCTTGAGCAATCAAATTGGCCAGCTTGTTATGATCATTGAACGGTTTGGCCATAAAGGTGGAATATAATTTAGATGTAAAAAGAAATAAACTTGAAGTATTAGTTTCTAAATAGATTGCATAATTGGGTGTATTGTTGGGAAGAGATGGTTGTATCAATATTAACATTAAGATCAATTTCCTTGCAATACACAACAGAGTATTTAGTTTATTATGTGCATCATGCCAGGAATAAAATCACCAAATCATCCGCAATAAAACAAGAAAACAAAAATGGGCTTAAAATTTCCCCTTGCATGACTTCAAATGATCACCATCAATATTCAAAACCTTTTTAGTGTTGTCACATACTGCTTTAATAATATCTACTAACTTTCCATTAATGTTCATTCTATACAATTATTCCATAATTTTTCATGAGGCACAAAATCATACACTTTACGGAAGTCCTCAAAAATATACATAGAAAAATATTTTATAAGTTAAAATACCTTGTGACTGAAGAAGTAGTGCTCGGTCGGTAAATAAGCCTCTCAAGAGTCGGCAGCATGTAAGCAGCTGTTTTTCCTGTACCGGTAGGCGCACAGGCACAAATATCCCTCCCTTCAAGAGCAGGTGGAATCGTTGCTGATTGAATAGGTGTTGGTTGGACAAATCCAACTGCTGCCAGTGCCTGTGTTTTTAACGTTCACAGTTACAATTTAATCATGTTAAAATGGAAAGCGCCTACCTTCAGAAGTGGTCTCGACAAGTTCATTTCATAAAAATTAACGGCTTCTTCGAAATTTCTTTCCTCAAACTCGATTTCTTTGGGTTCATCATCCAACCCAAGCGATTTAAGCTTCTTCCGCTTCTTCTTACCAACAAGCTTCTCCTTGAGACGTATATTATCTATTTAACGAAATAAGCATTACTGACACAAAGTGAGAAAATAAAAATGACTTTTCAAGTACCTTTCTGTAGTTCATCATCTGATAAATCACTGTCAGTTTTTACTTCTTCATCGTGTTCAGCATCACTGCCCAATTCACCATCTTCATCACAGCCTTCATCAATTTGATTGCCATTCTAATAACAAAATGAAGTTTCTCAATAAATATTTACAAATATGTTATATTAATACAAACCTTCTCCTCTTTAATAAGTTTATTTCTTTCTCGTTTTATTTTGTCATCGGTTTTGGTTGACACACCTTTCTTAATATACTTAGACAAATCATTCCATGTATCTTTGTTGTAATCAGCTACTGAACTGACAAACGTAAATTTATCATCAAAATCTTTTGACTTTTTAATTTTCTTCTTTTTTGGTTGAAACTGGAAATAAAAATAACATAAAAGACAGTGAAAATTAAATAAATAAACAGAAATCTAACTAAATTTGCACTGCAAATTACATCAAAATTTAAATATTAGTCTACAATATGTATAATAATTGTCACAGCACTCATATATTGAAACCAACAAGGGTGTTCAAGTGTAAATTTTGTTCGAACTTTAATCGAGTGGTCTGATCCTGTCAGTGAACAGTTGGATGTTAAGCCATCCTGTAATGAATTATTTTATTTTACTATTATCTAGAGCTTACACTAGTTTGAAAAGTTTTTAAGTGGGTTGGCCAGGAGTCTAAATTTGCCAGTCCGTCAAATTGTGGTACTGAGTACTAAGTTAAACAAATATGACGTCCCCCACCAATCTGGGAAACATAACTGCAGTAATTAAGCAGTTGGTCGAAGGATGTCACAGCACAGACAGGAGGGATGTAACATTCCTCACAAACCAGGAAAGCATAGCCCTGCAATCATAAGTCTGTCAAATAAATAAGAAAGTCAAAGGGTGTAGCAGACCCTGTCGGGAGCCGTGGGATGTTTCCTATGAACTTGGAAAAGTTGCAATAGTTGGGCAACCAATCAGATAAATAACTAATGTCGAGTTATTTAGTACTGAGAGATTGTCACAAGACAAAAATATGTAGCGATGTGGGGCATCATAAATTGGGGTTGTATCAACCAGGTGCATGATACCACCTGTGGCATGGGATCTCCCTGACTTTTACTTTTTCCTTCTACTCCAAGGTACAATAAGCTAGAAGGCCTGGGGAGCACAAACCCCGCTTCCACCCCTACTCCGGTAGAGAACCTGGTATAAAATGGAATGATTTGGAAATCAAGTCAGTCAACACCAAGGACTCTCATCACGTAGTCACTTCAGAAAACTGTTCTTAGTCAAGATCGTACTCACCCCCAGGCAGTGAACAGTTGACTCCAGTAGTCATTCCAGAACAGAAGCAGCCTCACTGGGACACTCACTCTGCCTCTGGCTCAACATGGGGACTCACCCAGCGAGGACCAGCCGTAGTGACCTATCAGATCAAGCCGAGAATAGAATCGGAAAGATGTTGGGATGCTGTGGAAGCTAATTAAGACGAGTGTCGTTTGGGGTAAGTCCTTCTTTTAATAGACTTCTCCCAGATTTAGAGTTGTGGCCGACATCAGATTAATTAAGATTTTGTTGTGGTTGTGTACATTTAAAAGACAGAATTGTTAAAATAAAGAAGAAAATAATCTCTGGCTTATTAAATTCTCGAACCCTACCTTCCTCTACGCAAGAATAAGTAGCGAAGTGCTTAAGCTGACTACTCTCTTATTGCTTAGAGAAAAACAAGCGAATATAGAAAAATTGTTTGGCCGTCACCGCTTACAAAAGCATAAACATAACGAAAGCCTACTGTACTGAGTCTCCTGATTATGATTCCTCGTTAGTTAACGATCTGTTTCTATATGATTACTGTATGTTAAACAAGTGACTTGACTGTGTGGGTTTACCACACAAAGATTGTCAGATGTTTGAGATTTATGTTGCGTACAAACAACCTCCTGGACAATTGTTATTGTTTGCTTTTTGTTTAATACGATCAAGTGGTCCTAATAAATTAAAATATCAATGCTGAAATAATCCAGAAATTGAGTCTTACGTTCTCTTCCTCCTCGTCTTCTGATTTATCAGAAAAGTCTGGCACATCGTCTTCATCCCCTATTGTTTTTATCAAGTCCTGAATCACCATATCTGCCCGCTTTATTTATACTTTTTCTTTTAATTAAAAAATAATCGCACAAAATGAAAAATATTAAATACTTGGGTCTTTACAAATTGAAGTCAACACTCACGTTGCGTTCATGCAGAAGGTTGTGTTTTGAGGTTTTAACGACCATATCGACCACGTGGGTATGAAAAATCGACTATGCAATCGAATTATTTTACAAAAATATTAAATTGTTAACTTTAAAATCAAGAAATATTAAAAGTAAAACAAATTTTATCCAAAGTCCAAAAATTATCGCAATAAAGCTAAAAAGGTAATTACTTTGTTTAACGTGTAATTAATATTTTGATAAAGATCTATCATGCCTCAAAATTATGTCCTCGTTTCTTTTTCCTTCAAAATTGCAATGTGATAAAACACTGTTATTGGTTTTTAATCTAGAATTTTGATTTGGCCTAGGTTTGCAATTGCATTTTTATTTTTCTAACACTTATGACCTTGGTGATCAGATATTTATTCGAATCATACCTCCTTTGTACAGTGGTTCAAATTTTATTCTGCATATTTGACAAATATTGAATAAATTTACAAATCACTAGGCATACATGGGTTCTTCAGAATACAATAATGGTATATTTTAACGGGCATATTGAAATTGCTTTATCTTCTAAGAACAAAGCAAAAATAATTTTCTTAATCGGTTTAGTTAATCACAAGTTATGTGCTAATTTAAAAAACGTCATAAATTTAAATTTTTTGCAAGATTCACACAAAAAAAGCACTGTCCATATGCTGCTAAAACTTCAATGAATAGACCTATCTTTAAAAAAAAAAAAAAAAAAAAAAACTGCAACGGATTTCGGAAGCCTGCAAAATCTCTATCCTTCTTTAAGGCTGGTTGTCCAATTATTTTTCTGTTATGTATATGGGAAGAAAAAGGGGATCCCACCTCAGCCTTCAACTAATCATTCTTCCTCGTACTTACAGTCGTTCTGTGCAAGATGTGGATAAAACAGGTTTATTAATAGAGCTGAAGGAACATCAGAAGATTTAGTTCAATGAAAGCACATACTAATAGAGCAAATATCAAGATAAACTGTTTTGGGACTATAGGGTAAGAAATAAAATTCATAGATGAACACAACTTTAAAACCGTAAGCACAGAATGAAACAGGTTGTTCGGATTAAACTGTTCAAAGTGTACATTTCAATAGTTATTTACATTTTTAAAAATATTACAAATCGCTGCTGCAATCATTGTTTGTAATGTTAGGATCACAAGACGAAAGATGGAACAAATTGGTAGTAATTGTGAGATCATAACCTTCATTAAGACAAATTTATGAAGTGGCAGGATCTCAACACAAAAAACACCATAAATTAGTTGGAGCAACGAATCACATCACAAATGTTCCAAATTTGTCACTGGCCATTGCGTACTACCTACTTTTACAAATCACCATTAATAAGTTGATTTCATAAGACTCAAAATGTGCCAACTGTTCTTCTGGGTTCAATGAATGCACAGCCTGCGCCCTCTCGTTTATACTTTCTGAATTATCCCACCACACCCCTATCACAATTCCATTAGAAATTCCTAGATGCCTCAGAAAGGGACAAAATGTCACTGGCTACAGTCATTTCAAATTTTTTAAACTGAAAGTGATTTTTTTAGTTATTGTGTAAAATCCACATCATTTGCTTTTCTTTTTTGTAAAATAAAAAAAAAAAAAAAACCGTAAAATTATTGTAAAAACAACTGTACGCTCAAATTGAACAAAATTCTGCGGGTTGCCTTCTTCATTTGCTTAGTGCTACAGCATATGCAACTCGCATCATATAATTTTTATCACTTTGGTAAACATTAAAAAAATAAAAATTCACTTTCATTATCATTAAACAAAACATCAAAATTTGAATGGGGTAATAAAAGAAGAATAAAGAAAACTTGAATGATTGAAATTTAAAATATTTCTTTTTATTTCATTTTGGTGAACTAAAAAGGTCCACTAGTAACAAAGATGCAAAATAAATCAATTTGGAAAAATAATTAATTGTAGTCACAAACATATTTCAATGAAATTTCACACTTCAACTAAACTAATAGAAAAAAAATTTAACAAATGCGTGCAAATTATAAATGTTGGGAAGTACTTTTTTTTTTTAAATACGTTATCCACATAAAATTTATTTTAAAAAATTTCATTTTATTACTTACTTTGTTTGTTGCTAACAATAGATTCAATTATTTCAAGAGACCAACTTTAAAATATAATAACATTAAGATTACAAATTACCACTAAATACATAATTTAATTTGATACTCTCATAGATAGTTGATACATACAAATAAAACTTGAAATATGCATCAAGTTTAAATGACAATGAGTATTGAGACATCAAATATTTATTTCTTTAATCAAAATTTTATTATTGTAGGTTAAATTTTTGATTGCTATATGAAGTATATTGGGACTACGAAAAAAAGAAGAAAAAATTACACTGACAGTATTTATTTTCATTTAAAGAACTTTTTTTTTGAGGAGTAATGAAATATCTGTTCTAAAAGAAATATATCATTAAAATAAATTAGTTTGTTTATTATATATAGAATTATGATTTTCTTAAAGGATGTAATCTAATTCGTATCTTATGTATTGGTTTTTGGGATCATTGTGTATCCTAGGATACCCGGCTACCAACGCATCTTGACCACCAATGTACAAGGAGTTGTATATTTTCCAGTACACATCACGAACTTTTCTTGCTGGATGGAATAAACCCTGTAAACAGAAAGAAAAGTATTATTAAGGCAAATGTGCTGTGTAACGCTAGAATTAATACCTGTAGAGCATATTGGAGGATTTTAATGGGACCCAACGCCACTCTAAGGCCTTCGACCGAGTCCATAAAAGCTTGGACCAAATGGGGTGAAGTTTCAAAAATGTTAGGCCACACATGATTGAGGAGGTGGATAAGCGCATCTTCGCAACCGAACCCGTAGACGCCCAACGCCATGTGTTTTATAGCAGCACAGGCAGTCTGCCTATGAACTAAATCTCTGAAAACAAACAAGTTTAGAACATGAAAGCAAGAAATAAAATATGAAAATAGTAAAGAATTTTAAAATAAACAGACCTATCCATCAGAGCGTCCTCAAGAAGAGGGGTGACGGCATAAATGTAATCTTTTCCCATTTCTCCAATGTATTCAAACAAGAATGACAATGATTTCAGGACGCCATTTTGAACGTTTAATTCTGGAACCCTATATTCATTCATTAAAGCGGGAAGGACTGTGAATGGAGAACACGTCTCGGCTACAATTGCTATTGCAACTGTGGTACAAACTCTGTTTTGCCTTTCCTGTACTTTCAGATTGTTGAGTAATGTGGCAAGAACATCATGTGGCCTAAAATAAATAAAATTACAATATTTTATATTTTTATTTAAAACATCTTCACAGTAATGCTTAAGTAAATCAAATGTAATAAAGTTCTATTATTATTTTTTTTTTTAATCTCACCCTATAGCTTTTGCAATATAACCGAATGTGTTAACAGTAGCTCTCCTGATTGCTTTTTTGTGAGCTTTGAGAAGTTCAAGAAGTTCAAAACAAATTCTCATCCATTCACGAGCTGAGACATACTCAGGTCCACGGTCGGCAATTCTTCCAACAAGGTCGATACAATTTTCTTGCACCTATGGTACATATTAGTTTATTATAAAATTTTTGGTATATTTAGAAAAAGAAATACCTTTTCATGACGATTTTTCAAAATTGGCGTAAGACGAGGCAGGAGATCTTTAATTGGAGGTGTCATTTTGGTCATACCGATTACATTGACGATGGCCTTCAATGCTCCCAAGATGCTTCCAAGTACCTCTGGGTACTCCTCACCCAAATATTCGTACAAAACAACACCCAAATGGCCCATGAGTTTTTCCTGAAGCATAACAAAAACGTTTGTGTATAAAGTCCACACAAAATTTATATACATTATAAATTTACCTCTTGACATGTTTTCATTACAACTGCTATTCTTGATATTAAATCAGCAGCTTGCTGTCTGACTTTGGCTGATTTGTTATTCAATCTCCAGAGAATGGTACCGCATATTTGTGGCAAGTAAGGTTTTACCCTTTTACCCAATTGATTTATAATTGTACCGAATCCATTTAACATGACCACATCCTAAATTTTTAAAAGTTAGTGAAATGTTAAAAAACTTTTATAAGTAACTTATAAGTAAGGTACGTAATTCGACATACTTCTGTAGTCTGTTCCTGGAATGCATACAGGATTCCATCTATAAGCTGTTCTTCAAGTCTACTGTCGATATCGGCAGCACCAAGGTTGCCCATCGTCTTTTCAATACTTTCCATAACCATTTTTCTGTATTGTTCGTTCTCGTCTTTAAGATCATCGACGACCCTGTTAATTATCTCACTGGCTCCGACTTTGTTAGCAATCTCAACCGTGGTATCGACAAGCTGACGGTAGTTCCTTCTGTCAAGGGCCATCCTGTGATTCCAAAAATGTTTGAAGAAGTGAGGAAGGATTTCTTCTTTGATGTATTGAGCTTCCACACCATCTGTACCGCAACATTGTTTGACCACCTTAAAAACGTATAATTATCAGATTTTTCATACAAGAAATATTGTTTATATTATTAAAAACAATTAATACCTTTAGTACTATTTTCTTCATTTCTTCATCTGGAGATTGAAACTCTCTTATGAGAATAACCATCACTTCCCTTGTATAATAATTTGCATATTCTGCATCCATAAGAGGGATGAGGTAACCGATAGCTTTTAAAAATGCAGCCAAACCCTTAAAAGTAATTAAAAATGTTAACAAATCCACTCTTAATTGTATTTAAAATCTAATTTACCTTTCCTCTGTGTGTCCTGATACCTTTCCACAATGGTTTGAGTACGGAATCAAAACTTTCAATACCGTATGGAGTTGCAGCTTCAGCAAGGGCAGCCATTGCAAGAGCAGTGATAGTCCTGACTTTTTGCTGTTCATCAACCAGGCCATGTTCAATGATTTCGACTAAACTTTTTAAATGGGGGAGAATCGCACAACCCATCAAGATTGCAATTTGCTGGACAATTTTTATTCCTGTAAAAAAAAAATTATTAAGTAAATAAGATTAGCGACCTAATAATAAGGATATTACCTGTATGCCTAGCTTGCCATGATTTTTTACTTCTGCAAACGGCTTTCAAGAATGGCAGAAGTGAAGGAATACCCAAAGCAGATGCTACAACAGCAAAAGCTCTTGCAGTCGTATTACGTACGTATTCATCAATATTATCGATATCAGGTCTCATTGTTGAAATCATAGTGGCTAAACCAGCTGCTTTAGCTAAATTAGAAATGATTTCTCTGCCTTCAACACGAGCATAGTAGTCTTCATCAATAAGCAGCGGTTCAATGACAACAAGAATCTAAAAAATACGAGATAAAAAAATAAATAAATTGTTGATTTAATTTTAGTTTTTAAATTTTTTTAGTACATACCTTGTGGACGTAAGGTCGGACAAGATCATCAAGTTTATACAAAATTCTGTCGATAACTTTAACAAGTAAATGTCTTTCTTGATCTTCAAGTGTGGGCGACATTAGAAGAGGTAAGATCTGATTGAACAGCGGCCCTGCGCCAAATTCTCTAGCCTTGTCTGTAATTTGTCTTAATGCAGCTTTACGCATGGGTGGAGTGCCATTCTTAATTTTTAAAAGAAGTCGCATAATCTTCCTTTCTTTCTGCTCCTCCGGAGAGAGGGTTTCTTCGTCAACGTCAACCTAAAGTTTTATTCAGCAATTAGTTTACATCGTTTAAATTAAAAAAAAAAAAAATGTTATTAAGTAAGAAACATTACCAATAATTTGTCGAAGTACTGGGCGTCCTCTGGTTTGAGAAAAGGTAGGTTCCCTTTGGGTTGGTTGTCAACGTATTTTGCACTTTTATCCTCCTGCTGCATGAAAAAACCTTGTGGTGTGTTTGCGATGGGTGTTGGTGTTGCTGTTAGCCTACGAGCGGGAGTCCTGATTGGGATGTAGCCTGCGGGCGGATTCAAGACTTTGTATCCAGGTGGGAACATCGATTCCAGCTCTTCATCGGTGAGAGGTCTGTTTCTCTCATCTATCTCCCTCTCCCACCTATATGCTTGAAGCTGCTCTGGTGTCATTGTCATAAGATGCCCTAGAAAAAAAAAAAAAAAATAACTTTTGGAAAAATTACACATAAATTGTGCTTCAAATTTTAACGTTTTGCTTGTTTATTCAAACAAAGGAATACTAAAACTCAAGTATGTGGGTAAAATATTTACCTGGAGTAGGAGTAGCCATCGCCATCGCCTTTGTTCCAGTAGGGGTGGCAGTTGGTGCACCCATCATAGGTGTTGTGACAACTGCCGGTGTTGAAGGCGTCATCGCACCTGCGGGAGTAGCTGAGGGAGTTTCATCCCAACGAGACCTTCTTTTGCTTGCTGATGGTGTTGGTGTATCCTGCATTAGCAAAATACCATTTTGTAATTATATAAACTTCATAAATATAACCAGGTTAAACTTGAGATATTTAAATACTTACTTGAATTAAGTCAGCACCTGTACGATCAGTCCTTGGAGTTTCAGCCCACCCACTGTGTCCAGGAGTTTCTGTATTTTAAACAAAAACATTTATCAGAAAATTATAACAATAATGGACAATTTAAATAAATATTTACCTCTTTCAGTTTTAGGGGTCTCGTCCCATCTATTTCTACGGGATGTACTTTGCGCTGGCGTTTCCCTGCCTGGTGTGGCATGACCAGGAGTAGCATGACCTGGTGTTGCATCCCAAATTCTTGTGCTTGGTGTAGCACCGGGAGTCTCTGAACCCTTGGCATGCCCGGGAGTTTCATCCCAACGGGCCTGAGCTGGTGTGGCCTGCTATGGATTATAAAATTGTATTTTTACATTAAGAATTAATTTTTGGTATTGTGAATTTACCTCATCTTTATCCCATGTTGCTTCAGAGGCTTTTTTCTTGGCGGCTGACGCATCCGAATCAACTGTCTGATCCCAACGGCCTCTTTTCTTGGCTTTGACAGTCTCGCCATTGGATTGGATTTTGAGGGTTCCATCTTTAGCTTTTTCAGCCAACTTTTTTCTTATCTGTAAAAAAATAAAGTGTTACTATTTCTTTAAAAATTTGAATGAAAATATTTAAACAAAAATAAGCTTATAATTATTTTGTAATATATTGTGTATATTACACAAATTCACCTCATTTTCTTCTCCCCTGAGCATCTGCTCTTTCATAATCTCTGTGAACGTTCTTGAGCCCACATCTGGTGTTTTTCCTCCTATACGTGCAAAAAAATAAAACAAAGAACACAAAATTATATTAGTTCCTGCGCTTGCACAAATTTTATCATTTTTGATTTAATTTTGATATATATTCCTATTATCTACATTAAGCCCTCAGAAAATACAAGTTCTAGAAAATTACTGAGAATTCAGGCATTGTTTTACCTGCTGAAATCATAACATAAAACCTAGCTATGAATTGTCAATGTTAGTTTTCTTCTCAGGATTGAGGACTTGAACAATGCATTGTATTTATTCTGCAACTACAATTCTTTAGTTTAATCTAAGGTCCTATTTCACTTGAAAATAGAAAGAGCTTTTAGATCTGTACTTTATTATTATTTATTTCAATAAAATATGTAACATAGCAAGTTATTTGTTAGAAATGTAATATTTTTAATTGTAACATTTTGTAGAATATGTAACAAAATAAATAAATAATAAATCACTGCGTAAAAAATTAAAACTGTTTAAATCCACTCTTATCACAAACAGAATATTTTTAACAGCTTTTCCAGATAAATACAATAATAAATACAATGCATTGTAGTTTAACTATTTTTAATACGTACATGTTCCAGAAACTCCAAGCTAGCAGCCCAATAGTGCCGTTGCCTTGCACATGTAAACCTGCAAATAGTCTTGGGGCGATTAATAAATTTTCTACCATTCGCATCCACACACATTCTCTCGGAAATAAAAAAGTACCAAAACCCGTGCTTTTGAACTATATCAAATAAAAAAGCACGAACGAGGAGCAATTTTTTACCATCCCTTAAAAGGAACTTCTCCATCTTCGTTGACAACTGAAATGGAACAGAGACTAATTAGAATGGAATTTTTGAAAGTTTTTGTTTTGATTTTCAAATTTGAAACTACTTCTTTTTTTTAGTTTTCTATTTGGTAAATGCAAGTTTTAATTTATTATTTTTATGCAGGATGGAGGTACTATCACTGAAGAACCATGTTTCGGAGAGAAGAAACGGTGACTCGTTCTTCCTTTTTCGCCTCTTTAAAGGAAAAAAAAATTCTTCTATAAATTATAAGTTCATCTATAAAACACCGTCATACTTTATATAACAAAAGATAAAAATAGAAAAAAATGCAATTTAAGAAAAATATAATATATTTTTACACTCTGCTCATCATTACATGCTTACATGTTGGAGGTAGGGAAAATAATGTAAAAAATGCCCCTTTACAGATTTAATAATTTCCAAAGCTCCAAAAGTACACAGTTGAGGTAGTTTCATTTGAGCAAACTTGTTTAAAAAAAACAAAAAAAAATTGAAAATTATGAGCTATTTATCAGTTCCCTTCCCGCCCGCAACATCCAATTATTAGTGTTATCATAATAAAAAATATATTTTTAAAAAAAGTTTTTTTAATTTCTTGAGAGATATGTAAACAGGGCAACATGAGGATTCAGATTTGCAAATTCATATTGTGTTAAAAGGACACTTTCACACTCGCTTGCACACAAATCTCACATACACACCCCAATAGACAGTTGGTCAAGTGTGTGCTCAGCAAATAGTTTTTAATGTTTTGTTATTGTTAAAAAAAAAGTTTAATTTTGGCACTAATTAAAAAATAAAAGTGTTTTTTGTGAAGAAAAATTACTATTCATATATTTCAAATCACGACAATTTCACACGAAACAAACAGATGCTTGATGCCTATAAGGTCTTACAAACAGTTTATTACAACTAAGCAATAACGAACATAAAATATTTACCATGATATAAAGTTACCATGGTAGGCACTTATTTTTATAAATTCTACAACAATTTGTTAAATTTTTCGTTAAAAAATGGCCCACCCTTTTTCTACACTTGAATAAAAAAAAATAATAATTTCATTACATAATAACAATTAGTCATTTAATAAATACCTATATGTAATAACATACTGAACATTTTTATAGATTTTCGTTTGTAATACCTTCGACAAGCTTAACTGTTAAGCATTATAAATGAATTATTGTTCAAAATATAACAAGCCAAGCACACACTCGTCTCATTGCAAAAAGGAAAATTAAAACTATGTTTAATAAATAACATCATAAAACATAAAATGAGTGGATACGCCTAACAGAAAACCCACCTTCTGCAAACGGATCGACTCTTTCCGGGGAGATAATCATCCTCCTTCTCATCTGCCTGTATTCGTCCTCTTTCTCCGCGATCGTGGGCCGACGCCTGTCAGCAAAAGGATCGTAATCCTTTTCGCTCTATTTGTTCAATTAGACGCAGAAAAATTAGAAAGTTTTTTAAATGTAATGAATAATTAATATTCAAACATACCTGAGCAACATCATTGAGCAATGCAGCAGGTGCCGTGTAGCCAGCTCTTTTGTTTTGATTGCTAAATGAGACAGGCTCAAATTCATCGTCCTAAAATACAAAGTATATGAATTAATGTTTTTCAATTTGAAAAAATACTGTATTTTTGTAATTAAGTATACAATTATACAGGGGGTTTGGAATTATTGGTACAAAAGTAGTAATTATTTTTTAAAAAAAGTAAAGAAAATACTTTATACATATCATTTTAACAAAAATTATAACTGAAATAAACTTTAAAATTAAATAATTAATAGTAACTTACGCAGTAAACAATTATTGTTTCAAATATAAACGTTTTAGACTTACATCGACTTCGTCATTTGCGGCGATAGAAGTGACATAGCCCTCAAATTTCCCCCCTCCGTAAATATCCCTATCGTAGAACCCGCTTTCTCCCAGGCCGACTCCTGGTTTATCCGGGTCATTCTTTTTCTCTTCGGCAGCAGCCAAAGCTTTTCGTGACTGGATCTCACGAATCTGCGCCTCAATGTCTAAAAAAGAAAGAAAAAAAAATGAGTTTACACACTACAATTATTATTAACAAATCTAAACACAGTTGTGAATAAGGAGGCAATTGAACCAATAAACCCATTTGAATTGTTTTAAATAAAACCTGAAATGGGCTATTTTATCACTCCAACCATCCAGGTCTGATTTCTTATGTTTTGGCACTGGTTTTGACATCAAGATGGTAAAATATCGTAATGTGTCAGACAGACAAAACCAGTAAAAACCAACATAATAGAATGAACAGAGATCAAACTACAAGTCCATTATGTCACAGGCTTCACCACAATATTTCACAATTCAGAAAAACTTTTCATTTCACAGGGCAGCGGGTCTCATGTGAGACAACAACAACCCTTGTATTCTTTAAGCCCAGTGGGTTTCCAGTCACTTTTAAACAGACCATTTTCTATTGCCTAATATTTTTACCCACTTTTATGGGTTCCCACTTTGAAGAAGTTTTTAGATGTAGTGGGAAACCAGCTTTCAAGTGTTTTGCACTGTTCCTGGATAGCCCTCTGCCGACTGAGAAAATTGCCTTTGTTTCGTTTTTAAAGGTAAAATTTGATTACTTTATCTTTTATATAAATACTTGAATTGATAGATTGTTAAAAGTTAAAATATTGTAGCAAAAAAGCAAAAGGCCATGGTAAAAAAAAAGGATGAACTTCTTCTGTCCATATTACAGCATTGGGAATAGAAAAATTGGACTCTGTCCTCAGTGATTCTTCAACATGAATAATTTTTTGTAAATGTTTTTTGTTAAATGTACATAGTTTGTAAATAATTTGTTTATAAATGTTAGTAATTAAGGTCCGGGACAAAAAGAAGCTCACTCTAGTATTTTTTTTTCTATAAAAAGACTTTTTCAGCTAAATTTTAATTGAATTTTGTTACTCAAATTGCCAGTAAAATTTTAAATCCCTGGAAATAATAGCAAATATTGGCCTTGAAGTAGGAAAAAAGATAGCACATCTGTCGTTTGTAAACAAAAATAATACATAAGAAAGAAAATGAAAATGAAAAACTGTAGAGTATCAATTTCAGAAATATCGAAAAACATAGAGTGGAATAGGAAAGTCATTACTACCTTTTTAAATAATCCAGAAAACTACAGACAGGAAAAAAGAGTGGCCTCAGCAAGGTACCACTAGAGTAGTCGCACTAAGATGTTTCAATAAATTAAAGAAATTCTGGGTATTCCTTATTGAATTTGATATTGAACTGTTATTGAAAACATATAACCACAAAGTTTGATTATGGAAAAAATCTGCCAGAATGTTTCTTTTTTCAATGTTAGAAGTATCGACCACTTTTTCACTCATGATTGCTCTGGATTGATGTATGGTCTTGAAGAAAAAAGCCAATTCAGCCTTCACTACCAATCGCTCAACTTATTTTAAGGACATCATCGGGCAACACAATCTTAAATATGTGTACAGATTGACATATTTAATTTTTTTTACACGTGATGTCTAATTTCCTTGAAGACCAACTCAGTCTTAACATTGCCAAGGACAAATAGGTAGAAAGGTTGGCAGTAATGACTGAATTTGCGTTTTTTTTTTTTTCCCAAGACCTTACGTTGATCCAGAGTGGTCAATGTTTCTTGCGCCTGAATTAGGGGGAAGCCTTTGAAATGTAAAAGAAGACATCTCATACATATGAGTGGTCTCAGCAAGTTACCCGTAGAGTAGTCATACTGAGACAAGTTTCAAAAATTCATAGAAATCCTAGTTATTCCTTGTTGAATTTGGTATTTCAACTGTATTGCACGGACAAACTTACTCATGCAGTACACTAGTAAAAAACATCTAATGACAAAGTTAGATTATCGAAAAAATCTGCCTGAATGTTTCATGTGTCGGAATGAGGGGGGAAGGTTTGAAATGCAAAGGAAGTCATCTCCTACATGCAAGGGGCCTCAGAAAGATACATCTAGAATAGTCGTACTGAGACAAGTTTAAACAATTCGGAGAAATTCTAGGTATTCCTTGTTGAATTTGGTATTCAACTGTATTGCCCAGACAAACGTGGACAATCATGCCGTGCATTAACAGAACACAGATAATCACACGGTTGCATTGTTGAAAATAAAGTGCTAATGGCACCAATCCACCAATGATCTAAGATATGTGGAAGCTAGGTCAAATATGGTCTACCAAAAATCATATGCCAAATGAGGATATAAAACTACAAACTAGCTCTTCTTTCTAGAACAAAGAATTTTGAGTAGATTATAAAAACAAAGTTGTTTTCAACAACACAAAAAAGACCTAAACATTGTCACACGCATCACGGGCTGCGCGTCTTGGGAGGCCAAACCCGCTTATAGAAAGTAGCGCATATTTCTTTCCGCAGTTTCCACACTTCATAAAATAACAACATAATCTGTTCATAAATGTAAAATAAAGTAAATACCTTCGTGAGTTTTCGGTATAACGTTCGCCATTACGAGAACTAAAGCAAAACGTTGTTTTCCTAAATCCTATCAGCCATAGGCAAGTGGCCAGCAGTATGTCACATCGATTGTGCACGTGCATACATCGATCGTCAAACATTAGATGTGGTTGCGTAATTTTTTTAAACTTTGTAGTATCTCTTTTTAAATAATAATTGAACGTAGTTGTATGTATATATCAAAACTGTAGTTTGATGATATTGTTAATAACGAGGTTTGTATTAGTTTATTAATAACCGATACTGTTTTTACGGAGTACGAATAACATTAAATCACTATGAAAGAGACATGAAAATATTATTTTATATTGGTATTTTATTTCTTAATTATACACTTTCTATTGTTTCTGTATTACATTTACAGACAATTTACAGTTAAATACGTTTTTAGGTAGTAATGAATCGATATATTTGTTGAAGTTCAAGTGGGGGTTTTATGGAGGGATGGAGCTGATAATGATTTGCTTTGAAGGTTGCAAAACACCGGAAAAGTCGGCACTCGGATCGTCACGGAGGGTTAAAAAATCGTCTGTCATCCTCGATCGCTTCTCTCGTCGAGTTCTTTGACTTTATTCTAAGTGAAATTAGGAAAAAATAACTATGTCTTTTACTGAAGTGAGCATTCCGGCTCCGTGGGGAGCGATACAAGGTCGGTATGATTTTTTAAAAAATTATTTCTTATTTTATATGTTACGACTGAACAACTACTGCAAGGGCGGTCTAGGTTTTTGACATTTGACCTCTAGACGTGTGGAGGTTGTCAACGTCTAGGCGGACAGTAACGTCTTACGTTACTTCTTACGATCATTGACCCTTATCAATTGACAAGAATTTAGGTGCTACCTTGCAGTGTTCAATTCATCGATATTTTATTTTTTGGCCGTGTTTTTAATTAAATTTATCTTTAATAAATCCTCATAAATAATAATAATAAACAAATAATAAATTAATTAAACCACACATGGATTAAAATTATTCACAAAGCTTTCTTAACTTTGACAAGACATAAAAACAAATAAGCAAGTTTTTTGAAAAATATTCTTGTAATCTTCTGAGAAATTGTTTTATTGCCTCCAATTGTATCCTCTTGTAATTCTAGTCAATGATGTACATAAAAAAGTCAGAATGGAAGACCCTTATCAATTGACAAGAATTTTGGTGCTACCTTGTAGTATTCATTTCATTGATATTTTATTTTTTGGTCGTCGTTAATAAATAAATAACCTTTAATAAATCCTTGAAAAAATAAGAATCACCAACTTCCATTACTATACGACCAGGTGGAAAAATCAATATAAATGATTAAAGTTCCTTTCTCTACATCTACGGTGCTCTAGAGAAGATCTATATTAAACCATACTTGGATTATAAATTATACACAAAGCTTTCTTAATTTTGACACATCTTAAAAACAAAATTAGCCTTTTTTTTAGGTAGAAAAATCAATATCATAATTTACTGAAAGTTCCCTTCTCTTTATCTACAGTGCTCTATAGAAGACCTATATTGACCCATACATGGATTATAAATGATACACAAAGCTTTCTTAATATTGACAAGTCTTAAAAATAAAATCAGCCAGTTTTTTGGTAGTATTGTTCTTGGAATCCTCCTAGAAACGTATTATTACTAGTAATGATGTATTAAATAAATGTAGAATATAAATATTTGTGAACCCATTATTACATTTATAAACTAAAACAAAATAATAGATATGTCAAAATTTTCAAGTTGAAATATTTTTAAAATTTATACAAAGTTTATATGAACAATTAGCAATGAATCCTTCAGTAATTGTTATTAAATCAAGGATAAATCGTACTATTTAAATGCTTGGAATATATAAAAAAACACAAAACATCCATTGTAATACATTTACATGCCTTTTTCTACATCTACTCTTTAGGTGACCTGACCACACATAGATTGTAAAGTCCTAATAATATTAGCTATATTTTTTGCAATATTATTCTAGGAATCTGAAAAATCATTTTATTGCCTGCAGTTCTGGTCAATGATATATTAAAAAAAAAAAGCAAGTATTTATAATCCCCTTGTTTATAAACTAGTTATACCGCGAAATACAGTAAATATGTCAAAATCTCCAATTTTTAAATATTTTTAAAAGCACTCTTTTCTATTTTGGATATGGTAAAGTGGATTGAACCCTCGTCTCTGACACCCAATGGGTATTTTGACATTAGCCCCTTCTGTACAACAGAAATTACTGTAGTGACCCAGAGTAACCACCACAGACAGCCCGATCCAGGGCCTCATCACCACCCATCTCTCACCTATCCCCCCCCGGGTCGGTTTGGCCCATGGAGAGAGTCCACATCCACCGGGAGTGGGGGAAAGAGGATATATTCAAAAAAGGAGGAAGAGGGGATCGGTTCTTAACTTGGAGATTGTGGACAGCAGAAGACAAAAAGGGCTGATTCTAAAAAAGGAGGAGAAAGGAAGAAAGGAGTATGTTTCCCAGACAAGACTACCCCAGGGCACGGGACCCAATTCACCAGTGCCTCCAATTCACCCCTGTAGTGAGTTTTACCGTCAGGAGCTGGGGAGCAAGGTTGAGGGATCCAGAATTTTCTTTTAGTCAGAACACAAGAATTTATTTACACTAATAGTTTCTCTTTTCTTTTACATCTGTTTATAATATATGATATTAAATAAATGGGGGTGCCTTCGGTGATAGGGGGGGGCGAGTGAAAAAAAAGAGGCCTGCTTACCTTTCCTGAGGTGGTCTGGTGCCCTGGGGTGGTCTCGTCCTGGAAACGTCCTCCTTTCTTCCTTTCTCCTCCTTTTTTGCAATCAGCCCTTTTTGTCCTCTGCTGTCCAGCAATCTCCAGGTTAGGAACCAATCCCCTCCTCCTCTTTTTTGTATATATCCTCTTTCCCCCACGCCGAACCGACAGGGAGAGATGGGTGGTGACGAGGCCCTGGATAGGGCCATCTGTGGTGGTTCCTCTGGGTCACCACATTACTTTACTTGTTATTGGATAAATTATTCTGTGTGGATAAAAACCACTAACATCAAAATAAAATGAAAAATTCTATATCTCCCAGACCCCTGGGGCGAAACTTGCTTTGATGGCTGGAACCCACCAGAAATCACCCTCTCAACAGGGGACTACGGTGGCCAAGTATGCCAGTGGTTCTGAATTCGAATCCCAACACAGCGCATGGCTTTTTAATTGATAATGGTATAAAAATGCCGAGTAAAGTGGTTTGACCCTTTGTCAGTGACAACCAACAAGCAACGGGTTGGACATTAAGCCCTCCATATGACAGGAATTACTTTAGTGACTTGTTTTCATCCTCTCAACACAAAGGCCTAATGTGTGTAAAAATGTTAAAGTGACGCCGTAAATCAACTAGTACATTAATAACGACTAGTAACATGCAACGATAAATTTCCAAATAGACCAACCATTCTAAATAAACATGGGAAAACATATTTGTAGATATATACATAGGCAGTCTGATGATGAGCATTTAAAGGCTCAAAATATGATCATAATGTGTTTCGAAGTATCCAAGACTAGATACATGTCAAACATCATCATCCTCACATCCATTAATTTTGTATGCAGATATACCCACAGATTTCATGATTAGCTCTAGCCCTGAACCATGTAATCAACGATTCCAGTTTATATTAGCGTTAATGAGATTAAAACCAAAGAGACCTGTGTGCAAAGCTTTATTGTCCTTACTCTATTTTTTCTAATTCTTACCCTAACACAATGTTTTGAGGGCCTGAAATAGTAATAAGATGAAAACTACGCTAATAAACAGGCTGTTTAGTGAGAATGTCAACTTGAGCATCCTCTCATGCCTGGTGTCCTCTCACCCAGAAATAACCAGTTTCAACTCCTTTATTTTTTCCAAGTTTAAGTACTCTTTTGGCTACCCTAGTGACCAAATAGCTATCCACTGATTCAGTATGTATAATCCATACAGGTATTTAGTAGTTACAATTGGCACAATTTATACATATTTTAATTAATTATATTTTTTTATCTAGTTCTTGGTTGAAATGAAAAAGCTATTGTCATGATTAGGATTCAAACCCACGACCTTTGGCTCAATACGCCCCTGCTCTGACCAGTTGAGCTATCGTAACTTTGATTGAATGGGTGATAAAAGCTTTTTCATCTTAACAAGAACTTGATAAAAAGTATAATTAATTAAAGTTTTTGATTCCGACATTATTTGAATCTTTTTACCAGTTACAATTGTTTTCATGTCTGTATAAAATGACAATAATTTCAGCTGAAAAACACTATTTTATACGTGAGTGGTGTTTAGTGACTGTTAATTAATGATTATTTGGAGATCGTGAGATGCAGTCTGGTGTGAAGTAAGTTTAGAAAAACATTTTCTTTATTGTGCCAACGTTTCGATCTTTGTTGAGATCATCTTCAGGGCCTGGGATTTATAAACATTGTTGAAATTATACAAATACATGTAGGATGTGAAAAAAATGAATTTGTACAATGATAGAAATTTTAAACTCATTCAAAGTGTTTGTGTACAATGACAAGAGTGGGTACAGATACTTTGAATGAGTCTAAAATTTCTATCATTGTATAAATTCATTTTTTCACATCCTACATGTATTTGTATAATTTAAATAATGTTTATAAATCCCAGGGCCTGAAAATGATCTCAATAAATATCGAAATGTTGGCACAATAAAGAAAATGTTTTTCTAAGCCAACTTCAAAAATGAGAAATGAAAACTGAATTAACATAGGCGGGGTATTTTTACATAATCCCTTATCTATATAATATTATGGGATAAACATAACTATATTGTGTTTTAAAATCCATTTAAAGGTTTACGGTTTAAATCTGAAGAAATAAAAAACTACAAAACCTCTATTACCATGCACATGTTGAATGGCAACAATATTAGTATTATTTTGGCAAATTTTTGATTTTCTTAGCATAATAAGGTGTGTTAGCATGATATATATTTAAAAACAAGTCAAATTGGAGGAATTTAGAAATTATTGCTTCACATATAGGGGAAAATTTCAAAAATATGCCAAAATTTATAAATTAGTTTAAAAGAGATTATAAGGATTTTATTACATGAACAATAAAAATAGACAATGGTGTTAAAATAAAACATATTTATCAATAGTATAATTAGATATCAAATTTAACTATTTCCTCACATTATTAAAAGTGATGTCACAAATTATTTACGAACTTTTCCTTACCAACAAGTACATCCTCGGCCACTTGTCAGGCTGAAACAGTGCAAATATATGCTGCTGCGAATTCTTAATCCAAAATTAGTCATGTAAAAATTCTTAGGCCACATTTTCTAAAATTCAGAAAAAGATTATGAAATAATCTGGTAAAAGAGATATGTTCAATAATGGAAATTTACTGGGACCACCTCTCAGTGTTGTACGAGATATTTTTTTAATATAATTTATTAAGTGTTGTAATAAAATCTGCATAATATATAATCAAAAATCTACACTAACTTTTTTTATTGTTTTCAGGAAAATGGTGGGGATCTTTTGATAAACAACCAATTCTTTTCCTCCATGGATGGCAAGACAATTCCGGCAGTTTTGACCCTTTAATCGAACAACTCCCGAAAGATCTATCCTATTTGTGCATCGACTTTCCTGGCCATGGTTTTTCTTCTCACTATCCAAAGGTAACTGTAATATGCTAATTAAATTAATTTACTTGTTTGTTTTTCTCCATATGCATTATTATAAAATACATATTTATACACAGAACTTCAATAAATAGAAATTTTTGGGATGGTTTTGTCCTATAAATTCATAGTACAGTCGAACTTCCCCAAATGGACATCATAAGCGGACAATTTGATTTTTCCCGGCATTTTTACATTTACATTACTAATAAAAGTACTTATAAATGGGCACAGGCACTACCTTTATAGTTTTTCAATGAAGAAGTCTCTTATAAGCAGACAGCCAAATGAAAATCAGCAGGATTCAATGAATGACAAATTATTTGTCTTATATGTTTGCTGGCTAACAGTAATGTTTCGGGAATTATCTCAACCCGCACGGTTTTGAATGCTTTTGGTGATTCCCGGTCCCGGTCAAATCGGCTATCAGTTGATCTTTGGATTGCGATTGTGACAAAACTGATTTTGAGATGAGTATGAAAAAAAGCATACTTTAAGAGAAAAGATCAATGTCTTAGAAGTTCATGAAGAAAGAGAAAATTAGTATTCTTGGACCCTTCTGATAAGGGGACAAGATCCCATTCCTGAGTGGTGTCCATTTATGGGAAGTTTGACTGTAGTTATTCTGGTAATAAGATCCTTTCCTGTCAATGAAGATTTCTAAACGTTAACTATACAAATGTATACACTAACAAATACAAAAAACCAAAAACCACACCACACTGACAAACCACTGCTAACCCTAAAGTCTTCATAATAGTGATACACATATACATCCACTTCCAACGTGTGAATATTCTTTTATAGATATTTTTTTTAGATGACTAAATTAACAATTATAAATTAAGAACCAAATATTTTTTTTTAGCTTATAGATTTCATATTTTTTCAGGGACATTTTTATTATATATTTTACGATGGACTGATCACAGCTCGGAGAGTTGTGAAACATTACGGTTGGCAAAAGGTGTCGATTGTTGGACATTCGTTAGGCGGTGCCGTCGGTTTTATGTATGCAGCGTCTTATCCAGATGAAATCGACAAGCTCGTATCCCTTGATATAGTGTGTCCTAGGGTTTCACAACCGTCGACGTTGGCGAATGCCTTTGGTTCCTGCATTGATAAGTAATGGCGTATTATTGTTAATTGAAAAATTCTGTTTAACCAGCTGTGTTTTAGTTTTTTAAAATATGAAGGTCTACCACCTGATAAACAGCCTTGTTATGAATATGATGAAATGGTTGCTATAGCTCTCCAAGGTTATAAAGGCAGCGTTACCAAAGACAGTGTAGAAATTCTAATGAAAAGAGGAATGAAGCCTTGCAAAGAAAAAGAAGGAAAATATTTATTTTCTCGTGATGTAAGATTAAAGGTGAGATCGATACGATGAAATAAACCCGTTCCTTTTGAAAATAATATATATTTTTAAGGTTTCAGGGTTAGGAATGCCTTCATTAGACATTGTACTCGAATTAGCAGCAAAAGTAAAATGTCATTATTTAAATATAAGGGCGAAAGACGGTTTGAAACTTGAATCGCCTGAGATTTACCCTCAGGTGCTTAAGCTGCTGAGGGACACGTGCAAATCGTTCAACTATTATGTAGTCGATGGAGCCCATCATGTACATCTAAATGACGCTAAACGGATAGCACCATTTCTAGCCAAATTTCTCACGACAGAAGTTCCAATTAGTGAAAGCTTTCAAATTGACTAAAAAAAACGAGAATTCTTAAGAAATCCAAGCAAAAATATTTTCACAATTAGAAATAATCTAATATAATAAGTAGTCCTATGAACATCGGCACTTGCACAATCTTTGTGATTTATTACCATTCCTCAATAGAAATGTTTTCTTCTTTTTCTTCCTTGTTTCTATTTTAAGAAGTCATCTTCTTACAAATTGCATTTCCAATTTAATATAACCCAACCGATAAAACAGTATTCATATTATTATTTAAACAATTGTCTTTCATGACTGTTCCATTAAAACTACTTATGACATATTTAGAGTTATGTATGTATTAAGAAAACATTGTTTTTTATTGTTATTGACTGGCGGTGGTTTTTATTCAATATATATGTACATTTTTCTCTGTTTGTTTATTTATATAATTGTTTATTTATTATTAAGTAAAGGGAAAGAAACTTGTTTTGTTTATTTACTTGTTATGATTTGTTAACAATTATTTTATATACATATAATGGTGGATGTAACTATAACAGCCACATTACATATATGCACATAAATGAATCCAATATAATAATAATGAATAAATTATTCTCCACAGTAACCCAAACAAAATTAATATATGGCATACAAACATAAATCGTTCAAAAAATTGGTCATGTAATTTACGAATTTTTAAAGTAAAACAATAAAATAAATTTTGAACATTGAAAATTGGTAGTAAATAAACAATAAAAAAACAAAAAGGAAATCCAATAAAATAAAAACGATGAAAGGTAAAAATAAAATTTATTGGGGCCATTAACATTATATTACATAATCACATTCATTACTATAGAGAGCATCAGATAGTGATGTTAAAAAGTAAATAAGGTTTAATATAAAAACTGGATTAATATTATGTAAATGGTAGCTAGAACAAACAGTGTATAACATAAAACATGATGTTATCATGCGAAAACAAAATGATTAGTTGATGCATAGATATTAGGTACAATACAATTACAATAAACATAGAGAGCATTATTTATAATGGTATTAACCAAGTGATGCAAATAAAATATCAAAAAAAATTAGTTAAAAACAATTGTTAAAATTAAAAGTACAGTTTAACTAATGCGACATATACAAATTCTGAACTATTTCTTTCTAACAGTAACTTAAATTCTAAAATTTGCAAGAGAGCTTCAAAAGATTCCAATGTTGAGTATTGAGATTAATAAGACTAGAAATATTTTACATGAAAATAGATCAAGAAAGTGTCATGGGGGGTACTTTAATTTTTTCTTTCAAGTACATAATAATGTAAAATTTAAGTGATGAAAATATAAGTGATGTGGAATTGAAGGGATCTCTAAGAGGAGCCAGCTAGTTTCCATTACTTTTAGAGGCCAATAAAATCTTTAAATATGTTTGAAGTTTCAAGGAGATTCAAAATACCTCATTTTCCGCACAGTCCTGGAAAATTAAATATGTATTAAAATTAGAGTTGATTTAATGAAAATGTATTTTGTTTACCTGAAATTCTGCCGTCCAGGAGTCTGGAAAAAATTTAGTAGGCTATTCGCAGATGGGGTTTTGTGCATTTCATTTTCACTTGGCACCAAGTCGTGGTCTTTCATAAAAGACTCCCAGTACTCTGAAGGTATGGAAATTAACTCGCTCATAACTTTGTTACCCAAGTTAGTTTCAGCAAATAAGTTGTCAGGCTCATTCCTCGAATAGCCAATTATTGTTGGGCCAAACATTTTTGACAAGTTGCTAACAGGCATTTTACAGTCTGGAGATTCCGCCACCTTTTGCAAGTGTAGAATTATATATGCCAAAGTGTCCCTGTTCGGCTGTGGTAACTGTGACACGATCTGGAAGAGTCGGGCCCTCCGATCTTCTTCGTCCGTAACTTCCGTTGCTCTGGCGAATTCATCCCACCTTATCTGTGTGATCAACGGCTCTTTGAGGGATCTTAGGAACTCTTTGAGACAACCGCAGATCGTATGGACATCAGGAACCTGAGAAAGGTTAGGAATTCCTTTCCCTTTAATGAATCTCTCCTTTAAAGCTTTTACTTCCTTGTCAGAGCCTGGGATCCTGTAAAGTCCGATTTCATTCAGACCTCTAGCTTCAATCTCCTTTATACAATGCACAACAAGAGCTGGCACCATCGGTGCACTCTTCGGTGTGAAATCTGCTATTGTTCCAACCTAGAAAAGTTTTAATAAAAAAAATACATAAACCACACCAGATCCACCAACATATATATATATATATATTTTTTTTTTTTTTTTTAAACAACTTACCCCATTATTTTTGCTCGGTGTTGTAGTCGCTGGAACACAAGGAAGCGGGACTTTATCTTTACAAGTTGCATGACATACGGTTTTACAATCTTTACACTTAGCACCAGAAGATGAAAACTTAATTCTGAAAACAAAGTAATATTTTCAACGCTTTGGTCGAATAGACAAAAAGTACGAACTCACCTACGATTGCAGACATTACAAATTTCGCCTTTTATCATCGGTTTAAAATTGAACCGATGTGGACGTGTATTGATGGAGTTGATTCCAAAAGGAGTGCACGGCAGCTTATCGGCGCTTGGAGTTCTGAATATTTCATTGTTCAAACTTGATTCCGATTCTAAAAATATAATTACACCCTTGAAGTAAAGTGCAGTAATAATGAGAATGGGGCTAAAATTGTGCTTGATGACCACATAAACTTTCACTTACAAAATTGATCAAATTAAGCTACTAAAGTTCATACACACAATTAATAATAAAAAAAAAGGATGGATTTTAAAGGAATTTAATTGAATATTGCAAAATATTTTATAACAAAAAATATTTTTAATCCTTAGAACTTAGTAACAAGATATATATATTTTTGTTTTAAATAATATGACCATTTCTGTAAATACTGGAAGATCATTTCAAATAAGATTATTTTTTTTAACATATCCTTCTTCTTAATACAAAAAATAATTTTATAAAATTAAATTCATTATAAACACACAAAACATTAGTTGATTGCTGTACCTGTTTTGGGCAGTTTTGGTGTTCCAAGACTTTGGAAACATGAAGGTACGGTCTCAACTACGGAAGTAGCTGACACAGGGCCGTTATGCTTTACAGTGACCGTTGTTGTGGCGATGACTTTTTCTACGTTTTCTCCTTTTCCAATTTCAATCTTTTTAATAGACATGGACTTCCTCTTTTTAGTTGGTTTGACATTTTCATCAGTGATATACTGCCTCTTTGCACCACGACCTTCGTTTTCAGAAGTATTGAACGAATCATCATCCCTCGTATAGCTCAAATCGTCTAATACTGAACCTTGAGAAGAAAAATAGATTGATTATTTGCCATTAAAGATATTTATTTAAAACATACCTGTCGTCTCCATTTCAGTAATTGTGTCCAAACGATCATTGTCCCGGTCTGTCCAGTTTTTAACAAGACTGAGTTTAACTTTAGTGTCTTCTTGAATGTCTTTATCATTTTTTAAAATTTCTCTGAATAAATCAAGTTGACTCTCCTTAAAAACACACAAAACATTTTATACAAAAATCAAGATTATAAAGTTTAAATCTAAACGTACAAAGAAGTCTCTTTCTTTTGTCGCCTTCTTGGTTTTTAATTTCTCTTCATCTAACAATCTCCTCGCTGTCTGTGCGTTTTTTTCTAGTTCTGTTATCTGTCTCGCATTATCTTTCAGCTGCATTAAAAGAGTTCCATTTTCTTCAACACATTTTTTCCATTTTTTTCTCGTTTCCTCAAAACATTTCGCCAAGTCTATGTGTGCTGTGAAGAGAAACAAAATTTTTACACAAATGTCCATATAACGTTCAATAATAATTGATGTGATTACATTTTGTAACTCTTGAGCACGCTTCGATAACAGTGTTTGCATAAATTGTGATTGAGTCAAAGATTGCAAGTAGTTCCGTATATTCTTTTGGCACATCCATTTCTGATTCCTGAAAATAAACTTGCACGTTTATTATTATCATTTATTATTTTTAACTTTACTTAATAAACTGCAAATAATAAATTTTTAATTATTTTATCAGCTTCTACTATTATATAATTAAGTAGACAAGAAGTACAAATTAATTGAGTAAACTCTGCAAATGTTGTTCAAAGTTCCAGTTTTAATCAATAATTAAGGATGAGCCATCATGAACATAACAATTGTGAAATAAATACAAAAAATCCAAATCCCTTGAAAAGATCGACAAGACAAATTAACAAAGTTGGAATTTAAAGTTATCTAGCAAAAGAAGGTGCTGCACACACCGATGCAGCCAATCTGACCTGTCAACACAGCCATTTAAAAATAAAAATGCTCAAATACAACTTTCTTTTGCTAAACCAATAGGTAATGTTTCAATGAATAGAGTATTATTTTCTACTGGGATAAAAAAAATCTACCGGACTTTGTAGAGAACTTGCTTCATCTTTAACAGTGAATCCACTACTATTCTTGAATAAAGGCAAGAAACAGTTAAAACACAAAATCTAAACCTAAAGCTTCAGGGGATCGCAGTAACCGAGTGACCAGCGTGATAAGACTTTCGGCTCGTAGACCCCATGATCATAGGTTCGATTCCCACCGCTTCCTGGACTTTTTTTTTCACACTGAGCTTCCTACCCCAACTTCTCATAAACATGAAACAAATACATACATACTCTGGCTAATATGCAATTCTTAAAGCCATTAAAAAAATAAAATAAGCCTCTAGTACTAACAATATTGGTGACCTTTTGTACCTTAAATACTGCTAAGCCTGAATGGCTGTGTCAATCCAATGACCCATGCGAGTATAAAAAATGTAAATTCAGGTTCAATAAGGTAGAAATGTCAACTGAATGTTTGAAACACAGTTATTCATATGATCTTAAGTCACTCAACAGCAATCATCTGCCCAAAATATATTTATTCTATAGTTATTCGGAAATCGTGAGATGTGGTCTGGTGTGACGTAGGTTTCAGAAAAACATTTTCTTTATCGTGCTAACATTTCGATCTTTATTGAGACCATCTTCAGGGCCTGGGATTTACAAATATAGCCCTGATGATGATCTCAAAAAAGATCGAAACGTTGGCACGATAAAGAAAATGTTTTTCTGAAACCTACGTCACACCAGACCGCATCTCACGATTTCCAAATAATCACAGACTAACGGTCACTAATCACCACACATTTATTCTATAGACTGCAGGGCTGTTTGGCTATAGCGTATTATATGCTTGTAATACCCACAACTGTTAATTTATTCTTTTTGATTTGTTCTTGATATGTGCTTTGCTTGGAAGTTCTATGTGAATAGATGCTTACAAATTGTTAATTTAATTATGAAAATGCAGTTTATAGGACTGTTTAGTTAATTATTTTTGAAAAATTGATAGAACGTGCCAAAATTGATGTGATGTAAAGACCCTGAGTTGGATAAGGCTCCAAATTTCTAAATTTATTTTTAAAATGATGATTTTTATTACATGATTCATAAACTAAAAATGCGTAATATTTAATATTAAAAAGTTCAAAACTACCTAATATAATTACAACTTCATCTACATCTTATGTTGTTAGTTGTTAAAAGTTGCAATAAACGGCTTCCATTGTCCCTTGTTTGTATGATAAATGGACCGTGTCTTTTAAAATAAGACAGAATGAAATAACGGTTGAAGCCTTAAACGTACGGCATCTTAAAACATAAATTGAACACTTACCGAATAAATAGCATTAGTTGAATGTTAAAACTGGCGAATTGTGTGCGGGATCTCTGAAAGCGGTCGGAGCCGACCGTTATTCCCTTTCAAGTTTCAACAAGACAGGAGGTAAACAGAGGATTCGTAGGTTCGCGTCATGGTTTCAAGTTTCAACGGTCGGGCTCGACGAGCCGCTCGCGTTGAAAAAAAAGAAACCTCATACGCTTAAAAAACAAAATCTATTAAAATTATTGGCTCTTTTTAAATTATTAAATAATGTATTGTTTAGTAACAAAAAAGGAAAATGTTTGTTTTTGATGTATATTATTAATAGGAACAACTTGGCGACATATCGATACATCGATTAGATTCAAAGGAGAAACAAATAAACCATTCAATATTTAATTATTAACAATTAACAATAATACTAATACAAAAAACCTTTTTTCGTTTGTCTAAAGAAGCATTTTTTTATAAAGATTTATTTCACTACCATATATATGTCTTTAGTAGTGATTACAGGCCACTCCATATCTTTATACTATCCCTTGAGAATTGGCCAAAATTAATTAACTTTCCTTATAAATATCATTTCAATCAGAATTAAATTTCTGTAAGGATTGGAAGACTGCTTTTTTTGGTACCATAAATCACCACTATATAAAATGGTACGTGGAAGATATGTGTCTTCAACAAACATTCCTTGGCCAATTTATTCATCTCTTCTTTGCCACTCTGCCCTGTATTCCATAGAATCCAGACCACATTTTAGACATACCAAACTGCCAAAAATCAATGAGACAATGGATTAAGATTCCAGGCAGAGGCCAAAGCCATAATTCATATTAATTCATAGTGATTATTCGGAGATCGTGAGATGCGGTCTGGTGTGACGTAGGTTTCAGAAAAAGATTTTCTTTATCATGCCAACGTTTCAATCTTTATTGGGATCATCTCCAGGGCCTGGGATTTATAAACATTGTTTAAATTTTACAAATGCACGTAGGAAAAAAAATGAATTTATACAATGCTAGAAAATTTTATATTAAAAAAAAATGAATTTATACAATGCTAGAAAATTTTATATAAAAAAAAAATGAATTTATACAATGCTAGAAAATTTTAGATTTAAAAAAATAATGAATTTTATACAATGCTAAAAAAATTAAGATAAAAAAATGAATTTATACAATGCTAGAAAATTTTAGATTAAAAACAATGAATTTATACATTGCTAGAAAATTTTATTTAAAAAAATGCATTTATACAATGCTAGAAAATTTTTAGTATCAAAGTATTTGTACTTGTGTCACTAAACAGCACATATTAATTCATAGCTTGCATTGAATGCAGGGACTGACTCGTACTAGCCTACTTCCATAACAAAGAGCAACTAAAGCCTCAAAAGGAGCTTCAGGCAGATAATTGTCTCGTAATGCCTATTGATGCCATGGCTCCAAAATTCAAATTAATGAAAAAATTAGAAAATTCAGTTAATGCCAACTAGATATGGTAACTCCAAAACTGAGTATGGTCAGGCGCTGGTATTTATGGATATAAACCAAGGTCTAAAATTCATATAAGCCTTGGGCGATATAGCACTGACTTTCAAGCATAAACTGTGGCTATTGACCACTGTGCTAAGGAGATTAAAATGCTAGGTGTCGTTAAACAAAGAATAATTATCTACTCATAGATAAAGTTAAACGATAATTACAAAAAGTGAATTGACATACCTAACATTTGTTATTTCTAGCTATTTACTTGAACAGCTAGGTGGCACTGATGGTAATTACTGCATAGGTGTTAAAGACCATCATTTGGGATTGCATTAGGGCCCTGTTAGACATTGGTATAAACAAAATTTCCCTTGTCTAAACCAAGACAAACACGGTACAGGGGCAATAAGAGGCTGATAAATTGGTCAAGGAAAAATTAAGACACCTTTTTTCCCTGAACCCCTTTGTGGTATACTGAGCTGCCATTTAGATGCCTGCTTGACATTTAGACATGAGATATTTTATTTTGAGAGAAATGAAATGAATGAACAATTGTTTTCATGATTTTCAGTTAGTGTTTACCTATGTCCACCTGGTATTTTACATCTAACTTAAATTTCTTCTTGAAAGAAAATCTAAATACGAAATATCTGTAAATAAACTGTCTACATCAAGAAGTAATTATCATTAATTATCTTGATAATGATTAATACCAGCCTTAATATTTCAATTGTATTTTAAAAAATCAGGGTAAATTTTAAATAAAGGAAGGCACTCAGTTTCTTCATCTCGCTTTCAAGAAATATTTCCTCTTCATCAGGTCTTCGAAACTACTTATAATGATTTACACGGTTAACAAATATAGTGGAAGAGAGATGATTGGGGTGTTCTTTGGACCTAATTCCAAAGGTTAATTGCCATTGCCAGCAATTCTGTTATTGTTATTTGCTGCATTGTTGTTTTATTTATTTATATATATACCTACAGATCAAAGATCCTTTTACAAACAATATAAATCTCAAGGTTATATCAAATTTAAGTAGCAGTTAAACAAATTTTATAAAATAAGAAAAACAAAACCACAACAAACATTAATAATAATACTAATCAAAAACAATAAACTATATTTATAATAATAATTTATAAAAATACTGCCTTTAATTTACATTTATATGTATAAAAATTTAGATGAAAAAAATCAATATTTGATCATATCTTATTTCCTTCCCTCGTTATTCTATTTATTGGTTAATAAAATATGTAATTTATGTAAACTAAATATTGGTGAATGCCCGATATCATCTATTGGGACATCGAAAGTGAAATATGAAATGAGATCAGTACAATTTAGTCGCATATTATGTAATGTATGTTTATTATGTAAAATATCATTAATAATAAATTGTAAAAATGAAACATAAATTTTTTTTTCTTTTTGATTTTCCCTGACTTCTAATACATCTACGTCAAATAAACCATATATTACTATTTCTATTTTATATTTTCCGGGTTTATTGAAGATTTTTTGTTGTTTTTCTTTTAAATTATTTTCAAGCATGAACTCTGGCAGTATTGGCATTATTTTATTCATATATCGTTTCTGTTTTGAAATGTTTATTGAAAATTGTTCTGGAATTTTTCTCCAATTTGTCGGGTTGCTAGGGCACACAAGGCATGGATCCAGGTCTCACCTGACAAGCCGTTTAGTATGACTCATACAAATTCTACATCTATAGCACAATTCTGAGGTCAAATAGAAGGTTAAAAAACCCAGTGGCCACTGGCCAGTACCAAGTACCAACTACCAGTAGAAAGTAGTCAGCTCAGTTGTATAGTTAGACGTTGTTTCGATCTCAGGAGGGCAATCATAGATTTCAGTTTTTTATTTTATTTTTAATATAGGCTAGTAAATTATTTATAAATTATTTCTCTCAATATTTGTAGTTTTTATACCTTACAGAACGTATATTCCGTCATATCGCGTTATTATTGAGACAAGAATTTCCCCAAAAAGGCTGATTTAAGGTTTGTGTGGATAAGGATTTATGTAATCTTTATGGTTTTGTTGTTTCACTAAATATTTACTAATTAATTATTTTATTTTTACTAATCAAAACTAACTTTATTTGAGGAAATTATTACAAAGAATATTAAACATAATCTGCCATATTTTTGTTAGTATTTTTCCTCTCTATTTAATTATTAGTTTAAAAATCAATAAATATTGCTATCTCTGTGTAGCTTAATGTACTTACTTATTATTTAATAAGTTTATCAAATCAAACCAGGTCTATCAGTATTAAATACTTATGTTCTTAAGTTGTAATTCGTCATTTACCCCTTGAATAGGAGGTAAAACAGTAATTATCATTTAAAACAAGATTCAATTTTGCAGGAAGTGATTAAAAAGAAATGTCATCTAACTTCTCACCAGACTCATTAGTTCCTGCAAGATTTCTCACTCTCCTCGCGAATCTCATCATTTTAATTCTAGCAATATGGTCACGAGTAAGTATTAATTTTCAACTAGCGATAACCTTTTTAAAACAGTTTTGTTTGATCATTAAGCCTTCATTTTTTTCTATTAATTAACATTACAAGTTAATTTGATTGCATTACGCTCAAATATTCTTGAACTTACGAATTCGTTCCTTTCTGGCCATCTTGATTTAATCACGCTGAAAATTTATTGATAGACTGCAACAACAAAAAAATGCTTTACATTTAGAGCGAACTGGCTTTACAGTTTTTTTAAGCCTAAGATATTTTCAAATTTAGGATTCAAACGTAACTGCAAGCTTACCTTACGAATATGAAGAGGAAGAATACAATGCTAAAGATAAAGAGTAAGTACATTTTATTATTCTGAGATATTTTTGTATTACCTAAAAACAGGCTGCCTTTTCTGAATGTGAAGTATTTTTGTACAGGCTTACGATTGGATTGTCACTAGGGATTGCGTCGATTGTTATCGAGTTTTTAGGATTTTTTACAGGGATCTCCATGTTCAGAACGTCAATTAGTTTAATGTGTATCCTTTCCAATGACACTGCTACAACATGTACATACTCTGATTAACGTTTAATGTCCTAGAATTTCATTATAATATATCACCTTATAACACCAATAGCGATATTTCTCCATGGTTTCGCATGCTTTTCTACTTCGCAATGGCTTCTTCACTCTTGGCAAACGACGGCTTACTGGCCAATATTCTTCTTCTGCTCATTCCTGCCAGCGCTCATAGAATCTGTCATCATTGTATGCTCTTTCGTGGGATCTCCCAAAGAATGTTGACAGAGTAGAATTTTTTTGCTCAAATAGTTTCTTTTAATGAGTGATTTGTCGCACTGTGATTCATACCAAAGCGTATAAAATTATGATCTCACTTTTGTAATATTTTATTTATTGTTCAAGTCTAATGTAAAGCAAGGAAATAATAAAATCTACGGCGTTTTTTGTTTTTTTCGTTATATTAAAAAGTAGTGCTACATGAATTAATTCATGTTTATATGTAATTTGTATCCATTATTTTGTATGCTTTTTTTTAAAATAAAGCATGTTTTTAATACAATTCTCTTGTTCAGTTTTTTTTTAGATGGTAGATTTTAGAATTTTATTTTTCCCATATCCTCAGAGGTTTCAAATAATAAAAGGGAAAATGAAAATACACGTAAACAGGTCGTTTTTACTGCCTGCTCTCGGCTTCTGGGCATCGCCCCTCGATGGCTTTTTCTACCAGCCAGTCCACTTTGAACAAACAAACTACATACTGGATGAACCGATGAACAGCACAATAATAATATATTTTACAACAAACTTTATTTATGTGTATATTTGGTGTGATTAATAACAGCTTTAATAATTATGATTGTATACTAAAGAAATAAAGGCAATTTGAAAGAGAAAAAAAAAGTTCTAAGTCATGTAGAATGGATGGGTGGTAGATCTTGTCCACTCTTCCGAGCTGAATTCATTAACGTTGAAACCATAATTTTTAATATTCTATTTAATACGTGTTCATTTTTTTAACCAAGTAAATCGAAAATAGTTTAAAAGTCTTGACGAGGGGTTGTATTCCTCGAAAGCTTGAAGGAACTGTTTTTCTTCCTTTCAAATTTGCCTTATCATTTTTTTATGAACATATTTTTTCTTAAACAAATATAAACTATTCTACTTTTTTAATTAATTTACCTAATAGCTTTGAAAATGGCTGTATGACTAACCAATAATAATTAAGAAAGATTAGATTTTTTAAAAGGTTAGGGATGGTTTGAAATGAATAAAAAAACATGTATATGTTTTTTTATCATATAAACCAAAAATAAAAAAGATAGAAGAATAAAGCATCTAGTTTTAATTATGTAAAACGATAGTTTCGTTCACCCTTTCATTATCAGCCTTTTAATTTTTATTGTTGAGACTGTTCCCTCTTGTCTATCTCCCCCTCTACAACACCACTGTCAGGACGATGGTCATTTGGTCGTTGGATATTAGACACTAAGGTTTAATTGAAAATCGACAATATTTTTTCTTTACGTATTTTATGTTGCTTGCTTAGAGAAAAAAATGTTTTAATTAAGTAAGTAATTAGCTTTTCCTATTTAACGACATAGAACTAAACATTAGAAGAAAAAAAATTAAGTTTTTGCTATTGAAAATGAATTATGTCTAAAAATTTAAATTTTATGATGTTGCAGTTAAGAAAAATTACTTTTTTTTTCATTTAGTTATTTATTTAATTTCATTTATTCATTTATTTATACATTTTTTATGAATTTATTTCAACTACTTAAATATTTGAACCCTTAGTAACCCTTAATTTAGAGTGCTAGTGTTTAAAATTCAGGGCCACTGGATTTGAACCCGGGACCTTTACCTTACAGTGATGAGCACCGTGTCAATGCATTAAACTCTGTAAAGTTAACAATTAAGCCTTACCCTAAAAATATTACTATAACAAAATGTTATACTTAATACTAGTATTTATGGATTTGTAAAAATTTGACTGAGGTTTTTTTTGAAATTTGAATTTCTTGAGTTAATCATGCTACCCTCAACAGGCATATTTTATAAACATTTTATAAAAATAAAACGTATTAAATATTAAAATTTCTATAAATATAAATAGACTGAGAAAATATTTTTAAACTGCCATATACAGAAATATTTTTAAAATTTATTATAAATTTTGTTTAATCTGTTTTTAGTTGTTAATCTAATATCCTGACTTTATTAAACTAAATTCTAGTTGTTTATCAATGTTTTTCTTTGAATTTAACGAGTAATTTAAAATAATTCTAAACCATTAATGTGTTGGTGAATAATAGAACTTAAAAATAGTATAGTTTAATCAGAAATGAAATCATTGTTCAATTTAAAAAAAAATAACATAGTATTTAAATTGAAGTGTTTAATGTTTTTAATAATGTTTAAATTGAATGATTATATTTTATTATTCCAAAACAAATATCAGAATGAAATTATGTCTTACTATTTTCCTGATGATGCTTTTAAAGCTACAGAAGGATTATATAAATGTCACAAAGTTATCAGAGATGGACGAGATATCTCCTCAATTTAAATTTGCAGATGGGAATTGACTATGTCCAGATTTCGTTTTTATAACGTATTTTATTTTATTAGCGTGTTTTTATTTTGTTTCATATTCTCTTGCTTTTTTCCAGTTAGATTATAATAGTTATATTTGTACATTTATAATTGAAAAATAGATACAATGTAAATTTATAAAATGGTTCCAAAGTATCAGAACAATTCGCACAATAGTTCACTTATAATGGATTGGCATTGACCAATCAGAGATGATTGAACGCAGAAACTATCCATCGAATTTTAATCTATTGCTGTTCGAACATACTTAATTGACCTCTCCATTTTAATGGAGGTCCCTACGCAGTCAGATCTATTTCTCAGAATCATTTAACATTTCAACTCTAAACACGTATTTGTACAGATCATAACTGTACAAATATATATCATAAATAGTGCCAAATATCCTTTAATATATGTTTGTCATTTTTTTTTAGGATTGATTGAAGTCGATGATATGGATTTGGACAAACGCTGCCTTTATGAACCAGCTTTTCCAAAATCAGAAATGTCTCAAAGTGCAAATGTGGTAAGTCTTTCGTATTTTTTTAATCTGCCTATTTACAAATATTACAAATTATGAAATTACAGCGAAAACAATAAAATAATAATTTATTTTAAAGTTTTGTACTTTCTATTTTAAGCGAGGTAAATAGTTTTTTTTTTTGCGTTATGAACTATGCATATTAGCCATGTGACAATTCATATATGTGTGATCAAATTGGGGGGGGGGGGTTATTGTGAAAAAAGGGCCAGAGGCGACGGTGGGAATCGAACCCACGAACGCGGCGTGAGAGTCTCTCATGCTAACCACTCGGCTACCGCGGTCCCCCAAGAGGTAAATAGTTCTAGTTGAAAAAGCTAAAGTTTATCAACTAATTACCATATGGGTTTTGGAGATAAATTGAGACTTGTATTACTAGTGCCTAAGAGAAAATCAGTACAATAAATATTAAAAAATGTTAATAAAGACAAAAATATATACAGTGAAACAATTCTTTAACTAACAACATTTAAAACATTACAACTAATTTTATCTTATGTTTGGAATGCACAAATTAATCTCAATTCTAAACTCTGGTCAATACAAATTCCTCCTCTGTTATCTTTATTTTTTCTTTTTGTTAAGTACACTCAACATTCTACAAGGCCGGAATCTACCCACTACTGAAGCAACTTAATCTTTAAAAACTACAGATAAATTCCTATTTTAGTCTGAATGAAATAAAACATTTCTTCTAACCTTGGATTTATTTTTATATGTACATATAACAGCAGCTTTTTGAAAAATTATGTCGTCTGTGGCGGCTTATTTGCTCTCTCCACAATCTAAAACCGTATGTACATGTTATGTGATTGATTGTAATTCATTTAGATAAAAGCGTAAAATTTGCTTAAGTGTTGAAACACATTTTTAATAGTTTGAAAACTGAAATTGCACAAATTTTAATGGGAAATAAATCATGATCACACGTCCAATTATATAAAGGGTTTTCTAAAATGAATAAATTTCTTTGATGCCACGTTCAACGTTACAAGATAAAATTTGTAAGAAAACCATTCACTAAATTGTACATTTATATTTTATTTTTAAAAATATTTGACATATAATTAAGGACAATATACTTCTTGTTGTCTACACTCTTCAGAAGTTTTGGGGAACGAAGATTTTAGTGGTTTTTGTTCGTTAAAACCCCTCACTCTGACCAACAACCAAAATAAAAGAAAAAGGATTTAAATATCAATCCTTTTTTATTTTAAAAGTGTTTCATAGTTATTTATTTGTTTTTTAAATACTGTTTCTAATAGATTTAAAAAAAATAAATATGGGTTCATCAGAGAATATGGAAACTTCATTCACTTTAAGTTGTTGGTAGGTGTTGGTCTGCATGTCACAGGTTTTGATTTTCCTCGCTGGACGTAGCACAAAGTCAAAATAAATTTGTATATAGACGAGCCTAGTAAGTGACCCAGTGTCATTTTAACATTCATTCACTTAGTCACGAATAAATAAAAGTTTCCTGCATGCATGTGGTCACGTGCCTAATAATACAATAAACAAATAAATAAAAAATTCAGGGTTATTCCACAAGTGAACTGTACATTTCTAAATCGTTAATCACACATCCCATGCACACAATGGGTAATCAAATGCTAATTAAGTCACATAAAGTGATTAGTAAGATGATAATAGCATGTATCATTGCCCAAAACATAAGAAAACAACAGTTATTACGTATTAAATTTTTTGTTTTTGTTTTTAGACCTGACATATATTTGAATTCCTCATTCTTTTATGACATTTTGTCTAAACCATTTAGTAAAAATCAGTTTCAGTTTCATTTTATGAAATATTATCTTGCACATGTAAAATTAATAAATGCAAGGGAAAATGGCTGTGCCATTATTCTTCATAGTGGCAAATAATTTTCAAATATATTTACAAAACATTTATAAATTAGCTTAATTAAACAGTGAAAAAAAATTCATTATATAATTATTTTTTCAATATTGTGAAATAATTTATAATAGTTTTTCTACCATTTAGTCAGGTCTTGTAATTTTTTCATTAAAAAATCCGTAAAATTTGTCTTTGTAAAATCTTTTATAGGTCAAGGAATTTATTAAATTTGTTTTTACATACATGTAATAATTTAGTGTTTGTGCAGTAAGGATTTTACATTATTTTTATAAGGTACAGTTGGTTTTTATCCTTTTATGCCACCCTGTTTATATCTTATTCAGCTACTTTTACTCCTTTATTGTTGCATAAAGCATATAGAGAGTTCTTAATAAAAGATAATTTCATTTCAGATTTTAGTTGTTATTCTATTATGCTGAGTGTCGTTGTTAGTTAATAAAACGCCACAGCGACTGTAAATATGAAATTTTTCCCTTGTAGACCATCATTCAGTGACTTGACTTTGTAAGCGGAGGATGTCCAAACATAACGAATTCACCGTGAGGTTTTTTTTAATGTCACCTTTAACATTTATTTTCTTATGTATAACAAAATTTATCTATGGTAAGCACTATGAGTAGTTAGGAATGTTGTGGACTGGCATTAACTAAACAAGTGCATACATTTTTGCATGATAAATTATGAGGGATTGGTTTTTTGGGTATGATTGGTTCTAACAGTTCACTTGCTGTTGGAATCAGGAGTGGCAGAACTGGTTGATTGGTTGCAGAATCTCGGCTGGACAAGGAAGCTCGTGCTGGCAGGAGCCTCCACAACAATTGGTCTTGCTGTTCCTGTTGGATTCTCAATTGGAGTTGTCAACACACCAGCAGGGGTAAGCTTTATGTTAAACATGGACGCTTTGCATTTTTGTATAATTTTTCATTCTAGAATGAGATCTATTGTGTAAAAACCATACTTCCAGACCAAAAAGAATACTTTCTTTTAAGAAATTGCAAAAATTTTTAATTTAAATTTGATAATTTATAGATTATCAAAGCATGGTGTAATGAATCCGTGGCTGCACATTACAACATAGCTCTTGATAGCACAGGATTGGACAGCATTTGGTCATGTATAGTGTCTATATATTTGATTGGTGGTATGGTCGGTTCTCTGGGAGGTGCTTGGGTCGCAGATAGGATTGGCAGGTGAATACTTATTTTTATCATTATTTATAGTATTTATATTTATAGTATAAATATAAATACTAATATATGTATAGTATTTATATTTTAAAGTAACTTATAGTTAATCATATTTTTATCATAGGAAAGGGGGCTTGGTATTGGCTGCAATCTTTCTACTTGTAGCAGCATTAATGTTCATAGTTTCAAAACCTTTAAATTCTATAGAGGTAGTCCTTCTAGGAAGAATTGTTGCTGGTCTCGGAGGCGGTAAATATATATTTACATTACATTATTATATATTTTTGTACTTTAATAAATTTCCTTATAAATTCAAGATTTCCTGTTTTGCTAGAATTTAATTTTAATTTTAACTGGAGTGCCTTGGCAAAATGGTGATTGTTGTGTGGGTGCCTGGATGAACACATAGGTCTAGAGGGTAACGAAAAGATGGATGTGAGCCGGCTAGGGCTGGGATGTCCCAACCTCTGAACTTAGCCAACATGGCCCCCTTACACTAAAATGTAATAAAAAAAATTAATTAATTAAAAAAACATGAGAGAAATGGCAACGACAGTAAGCCAGACTGTGCATATCAAGAGCACTGTCAGTTGGTGGCCCTTGGAGGACCTGACTCATAGAAGAAAGGTCATCCTTACCCGATTAAGGATAGGCCGTGCAAGGTTGACGCACAGACTAACTTTTGACAAAGTCTGCCCATTTGTCCGGCATATAGAGAAAAGTTGCTCAATGTGTCCCCCTTAATTGAAGGGTGCAGTTCCTTGGCTCCATATAGAGAGTAGGAATGCCACCCGAGAATTATGCTTGACACAGCAAATATTTGGGATCCCCTGTTCTTTTATAAAATATTGATATATGTGTTGTTTTGTGTCCCCTGGGGAATAATTGAGTACCCTATCGACCCTCAATTGGATCAGTTCTATAATATGTATGGGTGATGGAGGAATGTCAAGTACTCCATCAGCCTGAGTCATTGGTATGTAACTAGGAAAAATGTATTTAAGAGTGAGAATGGTTTTGGATATAGGATTTGATTGAGGGGATGAAAGCTGTTAACAACTGCTGGAGCCCAGTCTTGGTAGCTGGACAGCCCTAGGACCAAGGCCTACCAACACCCAGGGTGGATGATTCTCAAGGCTAGAATTTTACACAAATTGTTATTGTGTTGGAAGAAGGGGCTATCCTTAATTGGCAGCAGCACTCCTTACCTTTGCTAGTTCGCCGGAACCTGTCCCTTCACGTTGACTCCCTGACAGAATCAGGACGCGATATGAAGAAATATAGATTAAATTAAACTAAATTAAATTAATATGATATACATACATTGGGCGATAAAGTTAATTTAATTTACATAAGTTGAACAACAAAGTGACCTGGCCAGGGTCAATAGATTAAAGAGAATAGTGACAGACTTATTACAGAAAATTAATCAAACTATACAAGAAACTTGGTTTTAAATGTTTTTCACAGTACTTAACAATTATGAGAACAAACACTTCAAATTAAAGTCTTATTAGAAGACGTGAGCAGCCGAAAGGAAAAATCTGACCAGTGAACAGCAAATGATGTACGATGAAGAATTGCAGGCGACGTGATTCCACAACGATGAGCGGGCGAAGAGAAAACAAATAACTTCGTAATCCGGTGGGGTACTCGTAAATTGTAACTTCGATTACAAATCGAGATCAAAAAAGAATTAGACAAACGCGTTGATCCACTCTCCAATACTAACTGGCCAGCTGGACCCCGAGACCCTTTTTTTGTTTTTTGTCTCCATGGATATTTGAACAAATAAACAAAATTTAAAAAAAATGAATAAAATTCTCTCCGGCGTAAACAGTTATGGTTGTGTGAAGCTTTTATTTTATCAGAAGTTAGAATTTATATTTGCAAGTGTTAATGTAAATAATTTTTTCCTTATTCATTTTGAAATTTTCAGGATTGGTAACTACAATAATGCCGATGTATTTAACAGAACTGGCCCCTATAGAAGTTCGAGGCGCAACGGGTGTCCTTTGTCCATTGGGCTTAAGTTTAGGAGTACCTATATCTCAAGGTTTGGGATTTCCAATGATTTTTGGTATGTTTTCTATATTATATTTTTTTTAAAAAGCGATGTAGGCTAATGTCTAAACAATATTAATTTATTTTAGGGTCTGAAAATTGTTGGAATTACCTGTTAGGCATGTATGCAGTTTTGACTTTGCTCAGCGCTATTGCTCTCCCTTTTTTACCTGAAAGTCCAAAATATTTGTACACCATAAGAGGGCTTAGACAGAAAGCAATTAAAGGTAAAAATTGTTTGTTTAATTATATTGATAAAGTTTAATTTTATGTTTGAATTTAGAGCTTACGAGCCTGAGACAGCTTCCTGCTGAATTTGTCGTGGGTGAGTTGGAAGAGAAAACTGACTCAGAGCCTGAGACCTGGTCAATTGTAAAACTTATAGCAAACCGTCCTTTAAGAATTAAACTGTTATTGGTATGTGCCTTACAAGGAGGGCAGCAGTTTAGTGGAATCAATGCAGTAAGTACAAGTTAATGCCTACTCTACACATGGCTCATCATTTCAGTGGGCCGAAAAAGGTCTCCATCAGTGGGCCATCATGTCCATTGGTCGACGATGGTCAAATGTGTGGTAGCAGTGGGTAGAAATTTACTGTGCATCTTGTTGCTCTTTTGATGCAATTGAATGCTAACACACCCTCCACAAAATGGTGATGACTTGTAGTGGCTAAAGATGGGCCATTGTGAAGAGGGGCCTTTAAGCTCAAATTGGGCTTGTACAAAATCACAATAATTTATATGTTTTAGGTTTTTTATTATTCAGTAAGAATTTTTGAAATGGCTGGATTATCTCAGGCAAATGCTCAGTATGCAAGTCTCGGGGCAGGTAGCATCAATTTTATAGTCGCTGCGATAATGATACCGGTCATCAACTTATTTCCAAGAAGAGCTATGGCGATTTTAAGCTGCACTTTTGGCACAGCTTTCTTAGTTGTTTTATCCTTCGCCATAACGTACACTGTATGTAAAATGCATTTTATAATATTTTCTATTATTAATAGAACACATTGCTAGGTTACATTTAGCTGGATGCTGTATCTATCTACTGTTTCACTCTTTGGATACATCATTATGTACGGTATCGGCCTTGGACCGATACCATTTTTTATAGGCTCAGGTAAATATAAATTGTGAAGTTTTATCACTGTAATTTAACCTGTAAAACAAATTCACTTTGTAGAGCTTTTCGATTTGGGGCCCAGGTCGGCTGCCATGGCATTGGGAAGTGTGGCAAACTGGGCTGGAAATTTCATCGTTGGCATGACTTTTCTACGTCTGAATAACAAGCTTGGGCCTTACGTTTTTCTACTGTTTGCCACTTCTACTGCGCTCCTAGCTTTATTTCTCAAGTAAGTAAAACTTTTAAATAAGTTACTGTTAGTAATAGTTGTAAAATTATTCATTTCTTTTCTGTTTCAGGGTCTGTCTTCCAGAAACAAACGTTGTGACATTAGCAAAAAGAAGAAAGCAATCTTTAAAATAAACTATTCACTACTGTATTATTTTACAAATAAATTTTCTAATTATAATTATATAAACTAAACTTAAAGAAATTGTTACTTAAATCAACTTAAGAAGTAAAGTGCAATTATTTAAGAGTGATAAACTGTTTTATGTGGGAAGTAATGCAGTTTTATTGTGTATTGTATTATGTTCAGTATTTAGATATAAATTGTATTAATGCATGTATTTCTGTTTTTGATAGAATTTATTTTTAAAAATTTTGAACTCATAAAAACTAAACATATATTGTGCTTTTTTGTAGACAAATATGTATAATTCTTTTTATCCCTTTAAATAAGAAAAATTGTGAAAGATCTTGCAATATAGTTTGCTACATTTAGATGAAACAATTTTTTTGATTTTTAATGTGCTAAAACTCATGTAGCAGATAAAAGCCACGGATATGCTAGGACCTAGGACTATATACGTACTGAGAAGTCTATATCCTAGGATGAGTCGAGATGAAACTAAATATCTGTACTCCAAATTTTCAAGATCTGGCTGCTTTTAGAAATATAAACTGGTTGATAACAATTAAACTTATCTTAAAACTAAAAAGCTTAAACTGACAATTGGCTGATATACAAATTTCATTATTTACACATTGATTATTTGGTGGTCGTGAGATGCGGTCTGGTGTGACGAAGGCTTTAGAAAAACATTTTATTGTGCCAATGTTTCGATCTTTATCGAGATCATCTTCAGGGCCTGGGATTTATAAACATTGTTTAAATTTTACAAATACATGTAGGGTGTGAAAAAAATTGTTGTTTGGAATTTTCAATAAAGATCGAAACGTTGGCACATTAAAGAAAATGTTTTTCTAAAACGTACGACACACCAGACCGCATCTCACGACCTCCAAATAATCATCAACTAATGGTCACTAAATATCACACATAATCCATTATGTTTAGTGTCCTATTTGACCAAATAACTTCTTTCAATTAATTATTCTTTTTATGTAAGGCATTTGTTGAGATGAATCTTGCTTGTAACACTAACTTTTTCATCTCAACCAAGACCTTACATAAAAATAATAATTAGTCATAATGTTTGAGACAAGGACATAACAACAAAAGGAAAGGGTTTGACAGATTTATTGTGTATAATAATACCTTAAAATAACAATAGCAAAATATAAAAAAATGTATAAAAAACAAATGTTTCAATTAAAACATTGTACAATTTCCCTGAGTAGAGTGTAGTAAAAATTGTCACAATTTTTTAAACTATTTCTAACATAGGCATTAAGATTGGTAACTGCTTATTATTATTTATAGCTGTTTTTTATTTTTAGGCCCTGGCTTATTACGTTTATCGTAATCTAACTTTTTACTGTGATTGCTTTCTTTTAAAGTACGTCTTGGTTTTTTTGGTGGTGGCTTATCGGTTTTATTTTCATTTTCACTATCATCATCATTACCACTATCATCAGAATGCTTATTATCAGATTTGGGTAATTTATTATCTGTCTGATGTTTTAATCTCCAGTAAAGAAGATGCATCCCCATCCCAGAAGCCATTAGATCACCTGTAGGATTCATTTCATTCAAGGATGAAATTCCTTTGAGTGAATTTGACACCATTTGTACTTTTATTTTTCCCGAGGAGGGGTCGATAATATCAATTGATTTCAGTACTTCGTTTTCATAGTTTGGCCAATGCGGATCGGGGTAGCGCCCAATAACGATGAGGTCTGCCAAAGGATGCCAAGTAGCTCGAATCCCTGTGAGATGTTGGAACTGGCGATGAGGGTGATATATAATGGTTTCTAAGTCGAAATTCGGTCCGCGGTATACCCTGAGTTCGTTATGTTGGTCTGTCGTAAGAAGCCGGTTGCCATCCGTCTTGCTGAAGTAAGCACTGTTTACAGCTTTGTTATGTTGTAAAACTTGTAGATAATTTTCTGTGCACTTATTACTAACTGTAGGTTTTTTCATATTCCGAATGTCCCAGACTTTGACGGTGTGGTCAAGCGAGGATGTCACTAACAGCCAATTCCTTGCATTACTGAATTCAGCGTTGATCAATTTTCTTTTATGTATTTTATATGAATCCACTTGTTTCATGTCTTTATTCAAAACTGTGAGTATTCCATTAACATCGCCAACGACGATAAGACCCGTCTTTTCTGAAGCACTGATGCTACAATACCATTTTTCATGTGTGCCTGTGGTCATTAAGTTGACACCCTTTCCGCTCTCGTAGTCCCACCATCTAGCAGTTCCATTGACACTCGTTAAAAAGACCCCATTATCCTTAAATGGATCGAAACAAATATTTGTAATCGAACCTCCTGGCCCGGTCCCTTCGAAGGATGACAACTCTACCATATCTCCAAAAAAGTTCACCCACTTTCTAAACGCAAGTTCACCCCATTTCGAACCTATCGCTAGTATGTTCGGCTTTCCAGGGTGCCAACACAAGGCAGTGACCCTTACGTGGAAATCATACGGATCCTCCAAAAACACATCATACTTGCTCAGGTTTTTAAGAATAATGTTCTCCCCTGTTAACTTAAAATCGCTAGGAGTAAATACTCCCGACTGGAAGCTATAATAAGACTTTATTATATTTGCCTCGTAATGCTTACTTTTTCTGATGTCCTGCCTGGTAATTTGAGGCTCAATGGACTTTATACTCTTATCACGCGCCTCAGGTTTACTGGAGCCCTTTGATCTTTTCATGCTTTCTTACTTAATTAATTACCATTTAAAATAAATCAATATATTTTATCTTTAAATAAATCTAAATTGTTGACGTTTTATACTTTGCATTGTCACTTGACACGGTTTAGGAACATCTATAACGCCTTGTATAAACAACATGAGGTTACATAACATACATATACCTAGGATGTAGTTGTAGAAGAATCATAAGTCCATAACCGTCTTTTTCGAAAGGCATTGTACAGCGCCACGTGGTATCAACGAGAGTTTGGTCATTAATGACTAAATTAAAATAAAGATTATCATATACAATTATTATACTTATACTAAAACTACAAGAGTTAAACTTTTATCTATTACACGGTGGCAATGTCATTTGATTTTATTATACAAATCTCTATTCAGTTTGTATAGTACATAATAGTCCATTTACAATAGGAAGAAATCAAAATGTAAAAAAAATTGCAAATTTATGTTTACTGTTCAAATTAATAATACTTACTCCTATTAAACAAGAATAATTATGCAGAATGAAGTTAAAAATATTATGTACAATTATCATATTAGATGTAATATTTTCATTTATTTTTAAGACAAATTTTTTACAAGATTATTTATCTTTAAATTGTTTTACACATGTCTATACTTCCTCAATAATTATTTTTAAATGGGTTCACACTGGTTTTTACCATATTAATTATCCCATTATATTTAATGGCCTATTGACCAAATTACTTCTTTCAATTAATTAATCTTTTTATGTCAGGTTTTGGTTGAAATGAAAAAGTTAGTGCCACAAGCGAGATACACCACTGCTCTACCACTTGAGCTATCATGACCGTTTGAATCCCACTCGTGGCACTAACTTTTTCATTTCAACCAAAACCTTACATAAAAACATATGTTTCACATGAATCCTTACCCATAGTAATTATGTTTAGAATTATAAGTAATGTAGAAAAAGATACTTTCTAAAAAGAGCCCCTTGGAACAACACGGGCTTAAATCCATAGTCGCACAATCTACAGCCATGTTAAAAAAAAAAGAACTTGAATCTAAAGAAACAAACCAGGCATGCGACAAGCAGACTACTTGCATAAACAAACCAATTGGAGAAAGAGGAAAGCTTACTCAACAGAAAGTTATTAAAAACTTCTGGCAAACATACATAACTTCAGTTAAGCCCGATCTTAAAAAAAAATGGGACCATCATCCGATGCCCGATGTCGAATTAAGTGAAGAGATAGAGACAACTGAACATATCGTATGCAACTGCCTTGCAATAGCTAGGAAAAGGTGATGATACTTGGAAAAACCATTCTTGAGCTAAATAATGAAAGAAAACTCCTTCAAGAAATCCGGGACAATAAACAAAAGTTTAAGAGGTGAAGGAAGAAATCCCTATGATTCCATACAGGGAAAAATCAGGTTTACTGTACTGCTGCTGCCTATTTGGTAATTGGCAGATTAAAATGACTGTACATAATCAAACTAAAAATTATGTTTCACAGGTTCAGGTTTAATGAAAAAGAAAAAGAAATTGCTTATACTGTTTTATATAACAATACAAAAGTGCCTATAATACAATGCATAAAGAAATTTAATTTTCAGTTATGATTCTCTTATTTCATGAATGCATCTTTGTCTTGGGATAAAATTTTGCTGCTTGACTTAGCATCGAGGAAGAGAGAGGAGACATCGATCACATCTTCTTTAGTTATAGATGTCCTACCATTAACTTTGGCCATTAGGTTTGCAGGTGTAAGAAGCTGAACGGCAAATCTGAGTGTAGCTCTTGTCCCAATGTTGCTGAGTTCGGCCAACGCATCCGGTTCTATGCTGAGCTTTTCGGTCTGAGCTCTGATTTTGAGTATCTGCGTTAATTCCTGCTTGTTGTAAGGCGATGTGCGGATAATAAGAAGCCTGTCTAACAGATCAAGTGGCATCCCATGTGGAGATACCAGATCTTCGGTCCCCCTTTAAAAGACATTTTTAACATGTTCTGTCAATTGTTTATAATGTATTATTAGTCTTACCTGACTTCACAACGACCACGGTTTGTTGCAAAAATTACTATCGGTGCGATCGAACTTTCAAGTGCCTGATGGAGATATGTAAATGTTTCAATATCTAACATATGAATTTCGTCAATAAATAATACACCCGGAACTAATTCAGCAATGCCTTGCCCAATATATCTGGAATTTATTTAAAAAATTTAAATATTTCTTAAAGAAATAAATTACTTAAAATTATAATTGTTAATACTTACTTATTGACAACTTTGTTTATTTCAGTTCTCAATTTGTCCGTGATTTCTGTTTTCTTTGCTTTGATCAACTGTCCCATCATTGAAAGGATGTCCTGACCACCTTCTGGCCTAGCGTTTGCAACATCTAAATCATGAAGAGTTACATCTTGAATAACTTCTTTCTTTTTGTGTACATCTCCTTTAGGTAAAGGTACATATTCTTCTGCCTGTTAATAAAGAAAAAGTTCAATTAACAGAGTAATTTAATAGAAAATTTATTTAACTCACCTCTAAATCATATTCAGTAGCGTAAGTATCACTTCTTCCTTGTCTTTTTACAGCTCCACTGTTTGCTTCAATGTAGATAACATCTCCAACTTCGACCTTCTCTTTTGTAAGGGATTCGTTAATACTAGGCTCGAGCTTCAATTGTTTTGTACCTTTTGCCGTTTTCAGGCCGATGATGACGTGAGAAATAGTTTTACCATATCCTGGAATTAACAATTGATTCATACCTTTTGAGATATACAAATTTTAGTTTGAACTAACCGCCCATTGGATTTTCGGTTTCAATTGGAGTCAATTCTGTGACTTCACCCTCGTAAACTTCTTTGGTCTCTTTGATCCTCAGACCGATTGCCCGTCTGAAATTTTCCATAAGGACTTCAGTCTTTTTTATTTCTGAACTGAACACTTCTGAACCAACCATTGGACAAAACGGCACCTGAACAAAAATTAGCATATTAAAATGGTCAGGTCTGCAAAATATATTTTCAACATTATTGATACTAATCCATATATGTTTAGTGGTCATAATTGACTGTATTAATTATTTCAAGTAATTAACCTTAGATAATAAAATTAATTGAACTTATTGATAATCTTGATACCTTGCTTCCTAATTCATGAGCCATAGCCAATGCTATAGCGGTTTTTCCAGTACCAGGAGGTCCTGCCATTAGTACAGCTCTCCCTGCCATCTTCTTTGCTTTGATCATTTCTACAACAATTCCTGCAGCCTAAAGGAAAGCAATATATGTTAAAAATCCTTTATTTTATATTTTTTAATGGCCTTATGTTTGAAACATTGAAAATGGTGTGATTGAGGATGTATTAATGTGGAGGGGAAAAATGAGGGGTGATAATGGGAAATGAACTGGCGACCGTGGAGTCCATGAGCTGAGAGTCTATCGAGCTGACCACACAGCTACTGCAGTCCTCTTTCTCCAGTCAATTTGATTGCTGTTATAATAGGCTTATTCTAACTCATGCCAATCCAATATGGGCCAATTGTTATAAATTTCTATAAGTTTGGAATATAGTATTCAGAATTATTGGAAACTTTCCTGGGTAAATGGGGATATGCACACTAGGCTTCAAGAGTACATAAATACAACCTAATTGGGCATTTCAAATTGAGAAAGGAGAATGAAAACTTTCATGCCTGGACAATGTTAAAGTCCTTCTATATGACAATTTGAAAGTGTAGTTTTAATTTAAGACCTTTCTGACTATTGGTTCTAATAGTAAGAAAATTCAAATGGCGTAAAATAACTGGATCTATGTATAGAAACGCTTATAGAGCACTTTGATCCAACAGTCAGATATTCGTCTCCAAGTGAAATAGCCGGGCAGCCATAAGAGCACTAAGCTCAAACATTATTACCTCAAAGATGGTGGTGAATTGCAATACTAAATAAAGATACTCTCTGATAGGGCCCAGGATATGTAAGTGTAAATGGAAATGAGAAAGCAAACGCCCTTGCAAGGAAAGGACTATAGTGCTGATATGTCATGAGTCCTTCTGTGGAATAAGGATTCACACTATCAATCAGTATTTTAGACAGGATGAAAATAAAGAATTCACTCATTGGACACAACAATCCAAGAATAAGATCCTAGTAAGTTTCGAAAAGAAAGAAACAACACCCAACAAAGAAATCAAGAAAAACTTCAGATTCTAACAGGGCACTGTGGACTGAACGGGCATTAAAACGATGATTGGTATAATCCAACACGGTACGTGCATATTCTGCGAGAAGCTGAGGAGACATCAATGCACCTACTAACAAACTGTGGTGCTACACTTGCATGAAGAAAGTGCTTTGGGATGTATAATGTAGAAGAAATTCAACCATTAAAACTAATAAAATTTCTTGATGAACTATAAGATCGAGGGATACAACAGCTCTCAAGGGTGTATTACACAACTCAAATATTACATCCACATCTGAGTTGCATATGTGGATTCCTGTGAACCTTTTGCTTATGGCCCAAGTCTATGACACAATCTGCCGCAGGAAGTGGAATGTGATTCAGATATGAGGGTAAAAATATATATTGGGATTTGTTTTAATTTATTTTCAATCACAATTAAGGTTCTAAGGTAAGGAGGTGGACTTAGAAGGATTGTATTCTTAGGATTAAAATCGAAGTTTGCAGAGAGGATTACATCGTCAGTAATGGGCAGGGTGAGTGTACCAGAGTTTCAAGTGAAGTCTGCTATGCATATGCTGGTACTGATCGTCAATGTGCAGCTGGCCAAACTTGCACCGATCGTTTACAAGCAGCTGGCCAGACTGGCACCGATCATCAAATTCATGTGCAGTTGGCCAGTGACACGTATCATCAATGTGTGGTTGGCCAGCCTGGCACTGATTGTCACTGTACACCTGGTCATTTGGCTCTGATCATCAACGTACACCTGTCCAGACTGGCACTGATCGTCAAATCAAAGTGCAGCTGGCCAGGCTGTCACTGCTTATCAATGTAAGAATGGTCAAACAACAGCTATTTGACAAAACGATTAAACTATTGTATCCATTTGGATTATAGCTTGACACTGTTAGATCCATTGTAGGAAATGTGCGCCGACAACTGTTTAGACTACCATGACACAAAATGTCAACTATAAATTGTACAAGTAATTGTCTGTTGAACCTACCCATTGAAGTTTTGTTTAGTGTTTTTATTAAGTTCAAATATCGCAGTGAATACATTAAAAAAAGGCTTACTTCTCTTGCGCTTTCCTGGCCGACGAGGCCGGCTGCCATTTGGATTGGGACACCGTTTTCATCGAGTCCCAGACCCTTGATGTGACTGTGTGAAGAAATCCTCTGAGACTTCGCGCTGCTCTTCACCTCTTCGATCTTCATTTCGATAATTATATTATAAAACCGGACAACAAGAACACAATTTCGGGATGACGGAGTTTGCCGCTTGTTGTGGTCAAGGTAACTGCCGTGTTTTCTATATCAGGTAAACCACTGCATTACAAAAAAAAATATAAGCTCAATGACTCATATGATTCTAATACAGTTTTAAAAAATTACTAGCCTCTTTTTTCTAGAATGCAATTAGGTTTTAGAATCAGATAAAAGTCAAAGTAAATGCTTAGGAATTGAATTAAAGCAACCTTGATCTCTAGAAATAGTACATAACCTGAACCTGACAAGTCTTATAAATGCTTATGTTCTGTTAGACGTCACATAAGGTTGGATGTACTTGTCCCACGTTCGATACGATCAGACTGGGTCGAAGTGCGTATTCGTCAGACTGGAAATCGAGAAACACCTCCGAGAACGTCCCAGTACTGACCTTGTTCCGTCTGAACCCCTGCCTTTTCAAAAAGAAATATTTTCACACTGTCTATGGGAGGTGACGAAGCTGTCGAGGAAAAACAGTGCTAATAAACAAATACGCCATGGACGAGAACAACTCCGATTCAAAAGGTGTGAGTTGGTTTTAGCATTAGGGGCACATTAGTAGCACTGTTTAAAAAGCTCTACTTCTATTAAAAAAAAAAAAAGCTTTTAAATATGCCAGGAGTGTAATAGTTGAATAGAGGTAGCCTCATTTAACAGAGAATCCATATGGACCTCCATAGTTCTTAGGCCACTATTATGAGAATCACTACAAATGTAGACAGATTTTTATTAATTAGATTTATTAAATATACCACCAATTTTTGTAATTGAATTAATACTATTTTGTGAACTAGTCAAGAAAAAATGTTTACATTCCTTCTCAAATTAAATTAAATGTTTTGATAAGTTCAGGACTGATCTTAAACTCTGAAGTTACACAGTTAATGGGGCTCGTCTTCTTTTATAAAAGATGTTTAAATTTTACAGCAGTTATTAAATATGTGAATAGAGGTGGCTTCATGTACCGTAAAGACACCACAAAGATTATTCCATAGTTTTTGTCCATCATTATGAGAATCTTTTTAAATGCAGGGAGGTTTTGGTCAATTCATTTAAGCAGATGTAGTTAAAATAATTGTTTCCTGCATTATTTATCACTATCTTATGTACTATGCAGTTAAATTAGTCTTTATTTTAACAGTTTTAGGGAAAATTCTGAATATTTAATATGCTCAGACTTGTCAAAAGTTGTAAATTGATTTTAGAAGTTATACTTGTCGCACTATTAACTAAGATCTACTTTTATGGTTCAACCTTTTTGTATTAATTTACTAGCAATGCAGGTTTCATATAATTGGGTAATGGAGTGGTGAATGCAAATACCAAAGACACATAGATTATTACAAATAGACACTACATAGTTTTTCTCCATCATTATGATAATCACATTAAATGAAGACAGGTTTTGGACAATTCATTTTATTTAATTTAGTAAAAATAGTTGTTTCCAGAATTATTTATCACTATCCTATGTACTATGCAGTAAAAATTGTCTTTATTTTAACTATTTTAGTGAAAATTTTGAAGATTTAATATGCTCAGATTTGTTGAAAGATGTGAATTAATTTTAGCATTTATACTTGTTACTCTATTAACCATGTTCTACTTTTATGGTTCAACCTTTTTATAATAATCTGCCAGCAGTGTAGGTGTGATACAATTGGATAGAGGTGACTGCATATAGTATAGAGACACCACATAGTACTCCATAGTTTTTATGTCCACCATTATAACTTCCAATGAATCTCCCGCATATTTTATTCAACTAAGTGTGCATATTATTTTATATAACTCACATTTTGTCTATCATACAAGTTTTGCATTGAATAACCTTTGGTCCTTATTGTTATATTTATTCATACAGAATTTTCTTCGGAAGGTTAAAGAAAAAAATTTAAAATTGACCATATATTGCAACAAATTCCTTTTCTAAGACCATTGCTATGTAAGTAATAAATGAAAAATGTTTCCGAATATACAAAATAAAGAATTCCAGATAATTTTTTCAATTTGTTGTTTTATCCATCTTCTAATGACAGTCATAGGGACACATTTGTCAGAGACATAGTGATTCATCACTGTAAGGGGTTAAAAATGTCCATCTTTTACTTGTTAAATTAATTGTTTAATTATTTTTCATATACAGAATTTTCGATTGAAGAATTCGATGCAAATCTTCCAAATACAGTGACATTATTGCGTGGCGCGAATGATTCGAAGCTTTATCTTGTCGGGACTGCTCACTTCAGCCTCGAGAGCCAACAAGATGTTTCTCGGGTATGTCGATGTCTATCATTTACATTGTAACGTCCTAATTTCTATATTATTGCTCAGGTTATACAAGCTGTTAAGCCTGACATAGTTGTTGTTGAGCTTTGTAAAGGAAGGGCCAACATTCTTCGTATGGATGAAAAGACAATTGAAGAAGAAGTGAGAAATTTATCATTAGGTTTGTTTCATACAGTAAGGTTTTTGTTCATATAAAAAAATAAAAGTATAACATTTTTTAATGTAGAAAAGATGATAAATATTATAAAAGAGAATGGAGTACTTCAAGGCATGTTGAACATTCTTCTTTTAAACCTTTCTGCTCAGCTTACTCGAGACTTGGGCATGGCACCTGGTGGCGAATTCCGGAAAGCGTTTCAAGAGGTAGTTATAATTTTATATTTACAATTATAAACACTGTTAATTGTTATGATAGATTAAAATGTTCATTCTGAATGTAGGTAAAAAAATTGAGGCACTGCCTTTTCCACTTTGGTGACAGGCCTATAAAAGTAACGTTAAAGCGAGCTCTTAGTGTTTTAACTTGGTGGGAAACTATCAAACTGGCAGTTACACTTATTTTCCAAAAGCCAAACGTCAGGTATGCGTGAGCGTTAACGATCAAACTTCAGCTATTTCACATATCAATATTTCAGCCGGGAAGATGTCGAAAGATACAAAGAGTGCGACATCCTTGAATCTATGCTTCAAGAATTGACAGAAGGATTCCCTAAACTGGGCAAAGTGTTCATCGAGGAAAGAGATAAATATCTAACTTACAGTCTTCAGCTGGCGACTTGCATAACTTTTCCTCCGGGTACAGGTCAAGGAGAGCCTGTCGTTGCTGTAGGGATTGTCGGGATTGGTCATACTCCTGGTATTTTAAAACTTTGGGGAAAAGTCAAAGAATCAGATATCCCTCCCATTTTAATGTAAGCATTAAAAAAAAAAATTTATTTATTATATATTTACTTTGTTTTACTAAGATTAACATCTACTTTTTTATTTCAGAGTGAATGATAAACCAAGCAAAGGCTATTTTAAAAAGAGTCTTGCTGTTGGACTGGCTCTATATATTGGATATAAAGTAGTAAGATCTATTCCATCCTCATTTACAACCAAGTTGTTAACTGCAATAAAACTTTGAGCAGAGTGAGAAGTTATCTTCAGCAATCTTAATTACATTACATTTTTGAAAGTTTAATTTTATATTTTATTTTTTTACTGTTTTATTTTTGCACGTTAAAAAAAGTGCATTTTATCACTGTTGTTTTAAATTTGTTGTTTTATTTTTTTTAAATAATGCCTTTAATTAAAAGTATTTTTCCATTATTAATTAAGACTATTGTTAAGTATGTTTTGTTAATTATTGAACAGTGATTGTGTGTGTGTGTGTGAGTAATAAGTTTTAACTGGTTATGGTGTTTAATGTAAAAACAGGCATGATTTGATGAAATGAGTAAATTTAGCAAAACAGACAAGTCTTCGATTTACTCAGGTAAAATATAATTTTATAAACTACAATGGCCTTTTAATATTGTAAATGTTATATTTTTAATAAAAGGAGGGCATAAATGAAATGATCACATAAGTTGTGTAACGATATTTATTGCTGCTAAATGAGTTTGCCATATTTTAAGAAAAATCATTCAGAAAGGTGTTACGGATAAATTGAAACACAGAAGTATTAAAAAAAAAAGAAAGAAAAAAAGTTTATTACAAACCAAAATTTACGAAGTTTATAAATAATTGGATTTACAACAATTGGTAAGGTTTAAATATTGTTGAAATTAGTATGACAAATTGGTCAATCGCTATAAAAGAAAAAAACGTTCGTTTGCAAGAACATGTTGAAAATATTGGGATTTTTTTTTCATTACACTGTTAAAGGTTTTATTTACACATTTACTCTCTCTTTATATCAACTTACAAATTTCAGTTTGAATCCTCATCACTTCCTGAGACAGATTTCCGTGTCACTGGTGAGGGTGATCTAAAAATAAAATTTAAATTGTGTTACATACGTTAAAATAAAGTGAACCTATTCTGTATGGAAAAACCTAGATGGTTGAAAATTTAAGAAAAACGATTAGTCTAGAGTTAAACAGTTGTTTATGTATTAATTATTAGCATAATCATCTAAGGGTCAAGAATAATCTGATTTAAATTTAAAACTCGCCTTTAAAACAAAATTTACTTTTTTCTGAGAGAAGGATTTTATTCATATCACCATTAAATTAAGAAATGAAATTTAAAAAAGCCTAAATATGTGTTCATTGGTATATTAACCCAGTAACGAAATTTGTGAATTATTAAAAACCACCACATTCATATATATACAAATTGTTCATACTTAAAACCAATAATGAAAGATAATAAAAAGTGAAAACAGCATTTTGTAATTATTGAGTGTCTGCTATTGTTGTAATAGTGGTTATTTAGTGGTTAGAGATAAAGGAGCCAACATTTCAGACAATCTAACTCAGTTCAGCTCTAATAGAGAAATTATTGTAGCTGATCATAATAAAAAAAACCCTGATGTACCAGGCATACAAAAAACCCAAGTATGAAGTAAATTCTAATTATTGGATAGATCTGGCCTGTGAATTTTTTAAAAGGAGCCAAAATTGCAGACAGCCTACTCAGTTCGACATTGAGTGAATTCTATTACTCTTTCCAATATGAGTGATCAAAGAACCAACTTGCAAGATTAAAAATGATTCCAATGGATTAGGATGATACATTTGAACCAACTGTCTGACTGAGATTATGGACAACCTGCCCATCCCATGTGAGCTCTCACATTGGAATGGCTTGGGGCTGCATGTCCAGCAGTAGTGGTTGTTCCGTTTTCGTTGACATGCATTTGGAATGTTGCCCCCCCCCCCAGAATTTGTAGGTTTCTTTAGATAATTAATTTCACATCAAAAAGTGTTCTAAGGCCTCGCATCCTGTGGGCCCAGAAATCTGCAAAAAATGCAAATTTGCACTTTGAAATATTTGAATTTTTATTGCAGTATGAAAGTAGCCTAAAGTTGATGCCGGCATGCACACCAGAGGATAAAAAGTATCGTACAAACAGGGGTACAAGCTAAAAAGTGAATACACCAATAAAACACAGTTTGTAGACATGCATCACAGTGGAGCAGATTTTGAAGGAACTGGTACATTTTTTTAAAATTTTCCTATCCTCCCCTTTTCCTTCCGGTTGACAAAGGATATCTAAAGTTGGTTACTTGAAAACTAATGGCCACCGATGCCCGTCAAAGGTATTTTTACAATGCCTTTCAAAATCAATTTTGGTAGTGCGAATCATTGGCATCACTATAATCATTGCCATTAATCAAAATTTTTATTTCAACAACAGAATACATGTTGGGGATGGTAAGGGATGGAGTGACTAGTGTTCTGCTCTCAAATCATAAATGGGAGTTTTTCTCCTTGATTGACAGATCATTTTTGAGAGCACATATGTATCTAGTTGCGAGAGGCAATATTTTGCAGTCAAAGAACACAGCGATAACATTTTTTATTACAATAGAAGTGGAAATAACGTATGTGAATCATGAAGGATGATCTATTTTATGTAATAACATCATCAATAGGTAAAGAGGAAAATGGATTTGTTTATCAAACAAGAGTATGGTTGAAGACAGAAAATAACTCGTGTAGAGGAACAATGTAAGGATCTGGATGTTGCCCTTTGCTAACAGTACAAAGCAAAATCTTTCTAAAATGAATGAAATCAACCTTTAGCTTAATTCACCCACTTCTACAGCTGACCTCAAGAAATTAATTTCAAAATCACCAAATTTCATTTTATCTCTATACAAACCATAATAATAAAATCAAAAAGAGAAAAGTATAAAATCCACCTTTCTAAAATTATTTTCCCATATTTGCGTGGACATCAATTTATTTCTTTAAAAAAAATTCAAATTAAATTATTAACAATATTCCATAAAATAAATCTGTTTTCTTTATGGATTATCTGTGTGTTTAACAAAATAAAATATACACAAAAGAAAAGCTCACCTGTTGCCAGAAGCTGATCTGCTTCTCGACTTACTTCTAAAAAATAAAATAGCATACATTATATAAAAAATTATCGTTATGAAACTATTAAAAAAAAAGGTGCAAGTACGTACCTAGAATCTCTTGCAGAACCACTTGGACTTCTAAAATGGTTAATAAAAAGATATATTTTAATATAATTTAAAAAAAATCATAAAAAGAATAATTACCTTGATTTTTCTGAACCACTCCTTGAATGAGACGATGCAGATCTTGAACGTGATTTAGATCTAGAGTGAGACTTTGATCTAGAGCGTGATTTAGACCTAGAATGAGATCTGGATCTTGATTGTGATTTGGACCTAGAGCGAGATTTTGACCTAGATTGTGATTTGGACCTAGAGCGGGATTTAGACCTAGAATGTGATTTAGATCTAGACCGGGATTTTGACCTTGATTGTGATTTAGATCTAGAACGGGATTTTGACCTAGAGCGTGATTTGGAACTGGATCGAGATCTTGAACGAGATTTTGACCGAGAACGAGACCTTGATCTAGAAGATCTTGATCTAGAGCGAGATTTTGATCTTGAGCGAGATTTTGATCTTGAGCGTGACCTTGATCCAGATCCGGACCTAGAGCCAGATCTTGAACGTGATCTCGACGCAGAGCGTGACCTATCACTTCCAGAAGAAGTTATGCGCTTTCTGCCACCTTTGGCTCCTCCACCATCACTCCCGCTTTCACCCCTAAACAATTTAAAAAATAATCCAATATTTAATTATTTCCTTTGAAAAGAAAAATAATGGAATGGTAAAATACCGACCCACTAGCGATTTTCAATTTATCGCTGTCACTGTCTGATTCACTGGTGGATATTGTAGCCTTTGAGACCACTTTCAGTTGTTGTTTGGCAGAAAGTTTTTCAACTCGTCCTTTGTCTTTCTTTTCCTTGAAAAAATTAAATAAATAAACATAATTATTGTCAAACGTTTTAAATCTATTGACAATCAGAAGTTAAAAATGTTTAAAAAAATATTTGGATTATCCTGTTATGTCAGGTGCATTTTGGGGCCACAGGTTTGGGGATGACATATTAAATGGTAATTTAGCAAGCACAGCGATGAGCACCGTGTCAATGTCTTAATTATTGCGGCTACTGACACCCCTCTCATTAGTAATTTTTACATCTTGATCAAAGACAATCTGGTCTGTTTATTTTTTAAAAAACATATCTGACAAACATCTCATTGCTTTAAAGTGTTATTCAAATTTACCTTTCTTATTTTCCTGGGTTTCTTAGTTTTCGGCCTGTCACTTCCTCCACTTTCACTATCACTTGCAGCCTGTTTTTTATCCCTTTTCTTTTTCCTTCCACCCTGACCTCTTTTCCTTTTTTCACCCTTTTCTCTATAATAAAACAAAGGCTGTTATAATATATTGACTTGATATTGATTAAAATTAATTACCTTCGTTCAGAAGGACTTCTGCCCCCTTCTCCCCCTTCACTCCCAGAATCTGATAATATTTCTCCTTTTGACCTGCCCTTTCCTTTTGAGGGTTTCTTTTCGGAAGGCATCTCCCCAAACACCAATGCCCCTTTTGTCTTCTCTTTGTACTCTTGCCTTTTCTGCAGCATTTCCTCCAGTTCGGCTCTTCTTTTCTCCTCTTGCAGTTTCTAAAATATAATAAAAAATTAAATAAAGCATTGAAGATAGGTAAAAATCTAAACTTTGTTCCTCAAATATTCACCTGTAGTTCTTCTTGCTTGAGCCTGAAGGCTTTTCTTTCTTTTTCCTGTTTCGCCCTAAGCTGTTTCTCCTCCTCATCAGTCCTCCTTGCTCTTGCAACATGGTATTGCGCTTGAGAAAGAAGATCTTGACATTGTCGTGCTTCAACTTCAGCAGCATTAACGTCATATTTCATTTTGTCACCGTAAGCAAACAGATACTCAAAATACCTATAATTTTTAATAATTAAATACTGTCCTTTTGAATATAATTGCAAGTCATGTAGTTTAAAAAAAAGCCCTTTTCCAAATTGATAAGAGGAACTATAACTCGTGAAAGGACGGGATCTTTATTGTATGATAGGTTAGTAGAATCATCTGCAAAAGTGTGAATGAATGTGTCGGGATGGGTAGGGAGGTTGGATGTAGGATGGGTCCAAGTATACTGCCCTGTGGGACTCCAAACCTAAAATGGTAGTCAGAGAAGGATGATCCTTCGCTGTCATGAAAGAAGTGGTCAGTCAAGCAGGATTGAAGGATAAGGGAGGTGATGGGAAGGAGTTTACAGAGCAATCCCGGATGCTGGACCCTACCAAAGGCTTGAGCCACATCAAGGACAACACCAGAGCAACTGTTTCAGCTCTTAAGTAGGAAAAGATTACACCTATAACAAGATGGAATTGCTGGATTGTGGAGTGGTGTTTTTAAAAACCAAACTGGTGAGATGGAATAGTGTTTTGTTTTTCTAGGATGGGAAGGATTCTTTTCTGAAGGGAATTCTCAAGGATTTTTCCTTGTGTAGGACCTCCTTTAACCTAATTTACTGGCTTAACGGGTGATAGGTTTGAAGTAAATTGTTTAAGCTTTTGGAGGAAGGGGAAGACGTAGTGATTAGATTAGTCCTTCTTTACGGCTTTGATGATCCAATTTGTTAAAAAAAATTTTTTTTTTTTAAATGTTATTACCTCTGGGATAATGTGAGTTCATGTACAGCTTGTAGTACAACATCTAATGTAGACTTGTCATCTTTTAAAATCTGAGTGGCTAACTTTTGTAGCACTAATGCTATATTATATAACAGGACTGTATCTTGAGGTGCCACTCTCCTCGCCTAATTTCCAATAAACAGATAAAATTATTATTATATGTTTAATTATAAATCAAAAAGTCATTTCATTATAATAATGAATAATACCTTTAGTAAAATGTTTTTAGCTTCCTTAAGTTTTCCTGCTTTGTAACAAGCTCTAGCTAAATACAGCATTACATCTACATGATGGTACTTGAAAAATTTTCTCAGGCAATTTTCATACTGAAATGTAATTTGGTTATTAGATTATTGTTAAAAAGTATCAGTTTAAAAATTAAAAAGTAAATACCATTTGTATAGCACTAACGAACTGCTTCTGTTCGACGTAAATGTGTGCAATATTAAGCCAGACATCGCAGAAATCGGCAGTCGCTTCCCGCACTTGAGCAAAAATGTCTCTGGCTTCATTGATGTATCCTTTATGAGCCAATACACAGCCTATTCCGTTAGTTGCCCAAATGTTCCTAGGGTCGTTTCTTAGTACTTTATTGTACATGCCAAGAGCTCTATCTTGAAGGGCTTTTTCTTTTAATTTATCCTTTGTTGGCTGATGTAACATCTGCAGCCAAATATTACCCAGGGCTATTTGTGAGTAAGAGTCTGATGATGTGGCAGCACACTAGAACAATTGTTAAATTTTATTTTTCTGAGTTGGCTAAAAGTAATATTGTGAAATTTATAATTAAAATTATCCATTTTTCATCTCTTTTTTTTTTAACTTAATCAATTGTAGGCTTCTTTGTATTATTCATGTTTCATGATGGTTTTGTATGAAATGAGTTGTATAGTTTGATTATCTGTCATTGTACCTACATTATGATTATTTTTTATATATACAATTTTTTTATCATGGAGATTGAGATCAGAAATAACTAAATTGCAAGTTTATCACGCCACAGACTTAAATCGGAAATTTCACAACAGGCAAATGTTAAATACCTTGAGAATTCTTTCAAATTTCTTTTGTCCTGGTCCGTATTGCTGTTTAGCCAAATGAAGGTTGCCGAGTAGAGACCAAGCGTCAGGATGATCATTGTCCATTCTCATCGCTTCTTTGAACCAATCAGAGGCGTCAAAAATCTGCCCTCTGTCTCTTGCCATGCAACCCAATCGTAAATAACCTATTTAAAAAATATATACATTAGTTTAAAATGATTTTTAGATGTAAACGTGTAAAAAATAACTTACAGTCAACATAATTTGGATGTTCCCAGATCATTCCTTTGTACAATTTTTCAGCCTGATCAAACTGGCACAAAGCTTCACAAAGCCTTGCGAAGTTGTAAGTTGTGGTTACAGATATGGAATTGTAGTAATTCTTATCATGTTTCGCTTCTGCCGTTGACCTCGCTAGTGATTCCTCGAAATTTTTCTTGGCTTCTTCAAGATTGTCTAATCTAATAAGCCATAGTAATTATTAATTGAAAAATATCCGCACATCATATATGAATATACCTATAATGTAAGCATGCAACATTGTTAAGAATCTCCGGTGGAATATCTGCTTGAACTTTTTCTTTTAAAATTTTAGTAGCTGTGCCGTAAGCCTGTAGAGAGCCATGTAAATCAGATTGCTCGAGAATTTGAGCCAATTCAATCCATGCTTCTACATCATCTGGGAATTGCTCTGTTACCTATTGCAAAACAAGCCAATGTAATATAATTTTAGGAATAAGGGCAATATAACAACACAGTACAATGTGATGTGCTTAAAAAATAAATTTACCTTTCTAAGATGATTTTTTGCTATATCCCGTTTTGATTGACTAGGAGAACTTGCATAAAGTGATCCTACAATTTTCATTGTCTCATAATTACCCGGCTGAGCTTTTAACACTTTCTCAAAACACTGAGCTGCCTGAAAATTAAATCAAAAAATTTATTACAGATAAATAATTCTATTGAGGACTCATGCACACTTACATTTTCTGTGTCACCTCTGTAAATGTACATCTGGCCTAGACCAAAATGTGGTAGAACGAACATCGGAAGAGCATACTGAGTGGCTTGGTAATAGTATTGAAAAGCTTGGTCATAGTCGCCCTGTACATGATAAGCCCTTGCAAGCTGGTAACAACTTTCGGCCCTCATGGCCTCATTTTCAGTGTTGTGAAATGCATGCATGGCCAAATGTCTTACTTTGTTATAATCCTAAATGAATAATCGAAATGATAAACATATAATTGAATCATTAAAGAACCTGTGGATTGATCAACCTGGTCTATTCTTTAGTCTCTCTGTCTAGAATATTTTACCATTTTGCCACCTTAACAAGTAGACTGTGTCTTATGGCCATTTTAGTAACCCATATGAAGAGAATTATGTGGTAGATGAAATGGAGGGAGAGTTTAAAAAGTAAAAATGGGAGGACAACGTACAGAAGGACAGTTGGCATGGTGCACATGTCTTACGTAGTCTTTTTATTTATTTTTTCCTCCTTTTTGTAGGTTTTAGTAAAAGTCAAATTAGAGGATGTTGAATTGCATTTTTCTTCAACACTGCATAGCATTATCAAAGATGCTAAATGTCTAAATGACAGAGAGAACAGACCAGGAAGATCACAAAGATTTAAAAAAAAAAAAAAAAAAAAAAAAAAAACTATTTGAAAATATTACCAAAAATAAAACATTTCAAATTAAATTTAATAATTGATAAATATTAGTATTTCTCATTCTGTTAAAGTTTACAGAAACAATTTACTTGATTCAAGAACTATTAAACTTTTAAACAACATTACCTTTTTGAAGAAAAAATGATTTGCCAAATGGTTTAAAACCATCGGATTTGTAGTGTCAATTGTATAGGCTTTGGACAGCATTTGAACGCCTGCTTTAATGTCTTCAGGCTGTTGTTTGTTTAGTCTCAATATAGCTAGACCGACTAAGGCTCCGACACATTGCGAATCTAAGTCCAACGCTCTTTCAAAAGCCAGTCTAAAAAAACACACATAAATATTAAAACGTTGATTCATATGAATCATGAACATTTAACATTATTCACCTTGCTTTTTCCTGATTTCCTAATTTCATGAAACAATGGCCCATTCCGAGTCTCACAGAAGCTGGACAATTGGGATTTGTTCTTAGAGCTTTCTTATAAAACGCTAATGCACCACGATAATCCTTGAAAAAATAATAATAATTTCAAAAATGTATTTACAAATTTTTTGACAAAACAAATAAAAATAAGTACTTTTTTATTATAAGCTATACAGGCTTTTCCAAGAAGGGAAGGTATATTATTTGTCGACTGGCTCAATACAAAATTAAACTGAGTGTCAGCTTGTTCCATTTTATCACCCTCGAGTAGATAGAAGTATGCTCGCCCCAGAAGATGGTTCTAAGAAATATTACATGAAATATTGTTGAAAAAACAAATAAACTAATGTATATAATTTAAGTACTGTTAAAACATACCTGGTCGTACATAATAATTTTATCTCCTGTTGTGTATAGATCTGTTGCTTTGGCAAACAGCTCCCTTTTCCTATCTTTGTTTTTCTCATGATTGGCCTGTTGGACGTAGTAAGCAGCCAGCATGTCCAACGTCCGCATCTGATCCTTTTCATAATCCCTGTAGTCGATGTTGGCATCGACTCTGGAGGTTTCAAGCATATTGATGAACACATCAATATTACCTTGCTTGTAGTACTCATGCTACAAAATAAATTGACAGATTAACAAATACGAAAAGCAAAGGAATAGAAATTTGAGCCTTACAGCAAGTGCCACCCATATGTGCAGCTGTGCATTCTCATGTCGGAGAATGCCGAGTACTTCTTCCCCATCTGGAAGTTGATCAAAATCCAATTCAATCACCTGAAAAAATAAGTATTTTATCATCAAATGAACTTTATACAAAAAATTTTTTTAACATATTTAATTTATTGTTTTAATTTTAATTTAATTTTAAAATGTAGGGTAAAAACAAAAAGCATCATATAATCAGGATAAAACAGCATATTTTTGCTCACCCAATTAATGATATACCATGCAAGATTGACACATTACTTTGGGCCAAAGCCCGTGCATATGTCCAGTGTGTAGAGAAAGGTTGGCTGATATGTACCATTTAATTAAATGGTGCCATCCATTGGCTTGGAATGCCACCCAATATGAGAATTGTGCTTGAGCATGGCAGTGAGTATTTGACTCCCTGTTCCGATTTTTGGAAGAATCAGGGTTGTTTTATTGTATATAATACTACTATTGTTTTATATTCACTATGTTGAGAGTAAATGCACTTATTAGTGTGAATGTATAGTGCAAGAGCCAATGGAGGAACATTAATTACCTCATTGGCACTAGATTAGATATATAATATGTATGGAGGGTGATGGAGGAATATCAAGTAATCCACCACCATAACTGACTGAATGTGCAATATGTAAATATGTAATATGTAAATAGGAATTAAGACTGAGAGAGAGTGTGAATGGTTTTGGATCTCCAAGCTGATTGCATTAGAGGCTGAAATGACCTAGCTGTTGATAGCCCCTAGAGTCCAACCTAAGTGCTCAGACAGATAAGACTGAGTTCTGACTCTGGTCTGCCAATACCTGGGGTAGGTGATTCCCAACACCTGTCAGTAATTTATTGTAAATTACATAAAAGCTGGAACTGCTGGCAAGCTGCGAAAAGTGATAGTCAACTCTGTATGCATATGTATTTACATACGGATGCAGATTTGAACTTATATAAATCAGTAAACAGTAATCAGTTCTGACTATCTAAAGTCAGAAAAGTAGAATAAAAAGCATCATCACCTAAACAGGCAAGATTTTCAGGACAAGACAACAGCATATATTGAAAGGTTTTTTTTTTTTTTTTGGACTTCTCAACCTGCCAAAGTCTATTGTTAAAATTAATATTTAGTGTGAACAGGAAAAATAAAAAATAATTTTGCTATCAGCCAAACAGGCCAATGTTTCAAGTATTGTGATTCACCTCTCCAACCTGTCAACAGACTGTATAAATTTTTTTTCTTGTCTAGTAATTAATAGAATAGGTATAATAATCGACTAAATAAACTAACATATAGTTTGAAAGAGGAAAGAAATAAAGGGAAAAAATAAGAAATAAAATATGACTACATCTCTTAGTTATTTGATTAATGAAAACCGACTTTCAGCCTTCAGAGAGCAAGATTAGATCCTATCTCATCTATCTTACCACACCTAATTTTTATATTGATGAAATTAAATGCTAAAACTCGATGCATATTTTCTTATCTATTGATAAGATTGATTCACTATAAAAAATAAAAGCTGACACAAGGCACGCTGTTAAATGAAGTCTTTGTTTCACTATAGTTATTCTAGGAGTGATAAAAAAATGGAAAAATTGATAAACAATTCTAATCCTTAAGATTGTATAAAAGGCTTTAATTATTATTTGAAGAATTATAAAGCTTGACAGGCTATCGGCTGTGTTGCAAAAGCACCCATACTTATAGATTCACCGAGGTGACTCAGATATACAAATTGATTTAAGAAATCAGGGGACACAAGAAAATATGTCGGAGGGGCCAAAATAGTTATTTGTCCAATTTATAAGAAAGGTGACAAAATGACATGTGAAAATTATTTTGATACTTTCCATAGCAGTCAATCAGAGGTGATAAAGTGTGCTGAGGAGGCGATTGAAGACTATAACTATGGCTTCATGCAAGGGAGATTAACAACAGACTTAATATTCTCATTAAGACTTGGAACAAAGCAAAGGTGGTCTGGAGAAGGCACCATCCTCCAAAGTTTGAAGGGCTTGAGGTAAACAACCAGATGGTCAGGGTGGCCACTGTAGGCCGGAAGAGAGTAGCATTGTATTTTGTCTGTTTAATTGTGAAATAGTTAATGTGCTAAATAAATATTATGCTATATTTAGAGGTTTACATCCTAACTTCTTTTAGGTTTTACTATAATAAGTATATGAACTCAGTGATGACTGAAGGAAGTAAAGAGGAATTAGAATAATAAATGAGCACATTTGCTGAGGCACAAGTATTAAGTGCCTGGGTGCACTGGTAACAATGACATAAATGCCAAGAAAAAGCTCAGATAAAGGCAAGCAGGTGTCTCTTAGCACTATAAATAAACATTTCAATCTATTAAAGTGGTGTTTTGTAAACTCTCCAATCTTTTATCTTTCCTTTTTTTTTTTTTTTTTTTTTTTTTTTTTTTTTTTTTGTCTTTCTCCTGTATTACATTTTAGTTCAATTAATTGCGCATGTATCTGAGACAAATATGTAGTTTATTTTTAATTTTATCTTCATACACCGACCCACCAAAGGATTAAAAGGATAAACACCTTACATAAAGATTAATTAATTGAAAGAAGTTATTTGGTCAATCGGACCACAAAATATAATGGATTATAAATCAGGTTTTGAAAGTTAACTATCTAGGGAAGCAAAAATCAATGTTTACAAAACAATCATTAGACCCATCGTTATTTAGTAAGTGCTGGGTATTAATTTACACTCTAAGTGTACAAGACAGGAAGATTCCCAGGCTGTGAAAATGGCATTTGCGAAAATTCAGAGCTGAGAGAGCTGTCGGTGAGTCAGATATAATAGCCCATATAAAAAAAGGCCAGACTGTAATGAAATAGCCTTGATATTCTGTTTAATTGGATTTGTGAAATAATGGATTCTGTTATTTAGAGTATCTATGTTTTTACTGAGTACGTTTCCTTCTTCTTAAAACCTTTCCCAGGCACAAGTGGCCATACTTCTAGGTAGTTTGAGCCAGGCACGGCCCTAAAGGGAGAAAAGGGCCCAGAAATAGGGTTGTAGAAGAGATGTTTATTCAACACGAAGAAAGAAAGTGCATCTCTTGCAAGACAGCATTGCAGTAAAAAAAAAGTTTCATTGACCTGACCCCTCTTTTCCACCACAAACTATGAATGGGAAAAAGTAGATGTGCAGGTCATTTGTGTGTCTTACTCCTGCTAGAGCTGGCCTTTTCTCTGTATGCCATGATACAAGCCTGTCAAAGATGGTGGAAATGACAAGCTGGATAAGAATTGACAGGTAAAGCAAGGCTGAGGTGGATGGAAAGCCAAGGCTGATAGCCAGATGAACTAACTAGCAAATCTAAGTATGGAGATGGAAAGTGTAGGACAAAATAGTGGCTTTTGGTTTTTCAGGAAGGCCCAACCAGGGCTATAGTCAACCAGAAAGAAATTGATTACTTCCACGTTTCACTTTTGGTCAAAATGACAACTGAGTTGATGTTGGGTGTTGGTCTGCGAATCGGTGAACTCGTGATAGACAAAGGGTTACTTATAGGGTCCGTTTTCACTCGCGGGTTTGTTGAATTACTTAATTAATTGTCAAACAGAAAATAATAACCAGCACTTTTGGTATGCAAAATTAACATAACATACAAGCCAAGTTTGATGTTTTTCTTTCAACGAGACTTGAGCAAAACGAGCTTGGACGAATTGCGACAGCTAATAAACATGAAGATTAAATACCTCGTCAGTGTCCCTGAGAGGAATTTCTATCGAATTGGTCATTTTTCGATATAAGTCACGTCTAGGCGAAGGATCCTCGAACAATAAACATAACTTGAAGTGGTAAAATCAAGCTTTTTTTGTCCTTTCTCTGTAAGGGCCACTCGTAAACACAATAGGAAAGGAGGTTCTTGAAGAAGGTGCACGAAGGTTACAAGAAAGCTTTCAGAGAAGTCGACTTTTTTCCAGAGAGGCTACTTTCAACATTACCTAATGGGATACAATAATAAAATATTTAAAATCTATCCAATAGAAGGAAAATGTGCCGTTTCGTATTTATTGTTTTTCATCCATGAGAAAAATGTGTTTTAAACTTTACAAAACAATGATTTTTTTATTGCAAATTTCTAATCATTGAAAGAGATTAAATTGTTAGTTATACCATATATTACAACTGAGTATAATACGATTTGTTCGTGTTTTAAGTAGAAATAAGTAAAAACACTGTGGATTTATAATTATTTTTCAAATTTAAATAGAAAGCTTTTTCAATTATCGCCTTAGATAAAAGCGATTGTAGCTCTTTCTGCCGTAATTGTATTTCAATAGAATCTCTGACAGGGTGGCGGCTGCGGGATGACTTTTGATAAGTCAACTGATAACCTCGTACAGGACTGTTGAATCGGTATGATCTGAATATAATAACTTATACATCTTTATGGTTCATCGAAGACTGAAAAAGTATGAAATAAACATACATTCTTTAACGATTTCAGAGAAGGGGAGAGTTGGTTTTGGCCGAATCGTTCGATATGTTGAACCCATCAGACATGGGTATCATTCCGATGTAACTTTTCTTCCGATAAGTTCTGTCATAATATAATTTTGGTTAAACATAATCATTGTTACTTTTTATTTTTTGTTTTTATTGAGATTAACTTTTGTCATGATGAAAACTGGCATGTTAATTATATCAAACCCAAAGAAATACTATAAATTTATGCCGATATTACAAAAGGAGATTACAAACACTCTTTACGTCCATCTAGTGTCTAAATGTCCGAAATTGCTAACCAGGCGTAGTGATCAAATGCATTATGGTGCAAACTTCAGCTCGACTATGATCGATCTGTACAGGACATCAATTTGCATTAGAAATCTCGACGTTCGTGTCCTTTTGCACGGACCTGTACTTACTCCACCTGCAAAGATTTCGACAAACCTCCCAATCGACGTTGTGTACTTTGACGATGAAATACCTACACAGGATATGGAATGTTTCTTACACGAGTGCCTTACAAACAAAGCTTCTGAATGCAAGAAGATTCCTCTTAAGGCGAAGGATTGGGATATCAATGAGATGAACAGTGCAGACCAAGACAACGAGTCATACGACTGTGTCGTCCTTGGTGGTACGTTTGACAGGCTTCACCTGGGACACAAGATCCTGCTCAGCGAAGCGATTTTGAGATGCAGAAAGAAACTTATCATTGGTGTCACCGATGCTGGAATGATAAAATGTAATTTCTTCATTTAACACTTATTGTATAGTAATTGACTTTATTTTCTTACATAAGTAATAGCCTAATGCCAAAACTACCCGTTGGGTGTCATGGATAAGGGTTCAAACCACTTTACAATACATTTTTCATTCCATAATCAATTAAAAAGCTCTACTGGGATTTAAACCCAGAACTACTAGCGTGGCAAATACAATTCGGACAGCCACCACATTCCCCTCATTTTCTAATATAGATTAGATAGATGGTTCATCTCGTTTGATATTAAATTCTTAATTTCATTAAGCTTGAAACCATAAGTTTCATTTTTGTACGTAGATGTGTATATTTTTTAACCTTGTAATTTATTAATAATAGTTTCAAAGTCCTGATCAAAATAAATCCCTCAAAAGCTTGAGTTAAAAATTGTGTTTTTCTTTTCTTTCAAAATGGTCTTATCTTTGATTTTAATCTGAACTATTATTAATTACATCAATGTAGTAATGTACTTTGTGGGCTGTCATTTTTTATTGGCAAAACGTATTGTAACTTAAATAAAAATAATTGCAAATAGTGAAATATTTTAAAAAGAAGCCTAGATTTTTTAATTTACTTATTAACATTTATAAGGATAAATTGAAAATAGTTTTATCTTTCTGATGGCAATATTTTAGAATATTTGTTGAAAATGTGCTAATAAATTTTTGTGTGTGTTAGCTAAGAAACTTTGGGAGTTAATAGAATCCAGTGAAACGAGGATAAACAATGTAAAAAATTTTGTATTAGATGTCGAACCCATGCTGGAAGTCAGTGTCGTACCGATCAGTAATATGTTTGGCCCTACTATAACTGAACCAAATATCGATGTAAATTAATTTGATTAATTTAAAAAAATGTAAGTAAATAAATAATTTACTTTTTAGATGATTGTCGTAAGCCAAGAGACTACGAAAGGTGGTAATATCGTCAATGAAGAAAGGGTCAAGAAAGGTATGAAACCATTAGTCGTACATAGCGTTGAACTCATAAATGACTTTAAGTGCCATGAAATTGAAGAAGATAAGATCAGTTCAAGCAATGATAGGTTGCGTATACTTGGCTTGAAACTTAACAAACCTGTGGTAAGTTCACTTTATTTAATATAAAAAAAAGGTCCAATTTTTTGTTTCTATATTTTAGAATACTCCAGACAGACCAAACCGTCCTTATGTAATTGGCCTTTGTGGTGGGATCGCTAGTGGAAAGACTCATATTAGCCAAAGTTTGAAAGATTTAGGTGCAGGGGTGATAGACTGTGATAGAGTAGCGCACGATTTGTATAGAGTTGGTGAGGATGTTTATCATACTCTTGTACAACATTTTGGTAAAGATGTACTGAGTGAAAACGGTGAGATCAACAGAAAAAAATTGGGACAAATTGTATTTAACAGCAAAGTAATTTTACCTTTGCATATTTATAAATTTTTAATTAATGTTTTTAAGTTAAAACGTCACATTTTTAGAAAGAATTGGATGAACTTAACCGAATAATGTGGCCGGCAATATTTAAAAAGTGCGAGGCGATTATGTATCAAATGTATACAGAAGAGGAAAAAGAAGTAATTGTATTAGACGCTGCTGTGTTGTTGACGGCCGGCTGGGACAAACATTGCCATGAAGTATGGGCCACCATCATTCCACAAGATGAAGTAACTATTTAAAAAATTTGAAAGTTTAAAATCATGATATTAACCGGTATGTATGTTAAGGCTGTCAAGAGGTTAAAGAAGAGGAATAATTTAACCCATGAACAGGCCATGTCGAGGATTTCTGCCCAACCAAGTAACCTTGAACACGTACAAAAAGCTCATGTTGTGTTTTGCACTCTTTGGACTCGTGAATATTCAGTCAAGCAAGTGGAAAAGGCATGGTTAGAGCTTCAAGACAGGCTGCAAGATAATAGTTGACGCAAAAAGAGATATTTTTGACTCCTAATAAACAAGAAATGTTATTTTTATGAGGAAAGGAATTAAACATATATTTTTATCACAAAACATTTCAATTTTTTTAAGATAAGATTTTTCAAAGGGTTAAAAGAGTTCAATAAATATTTATGATTGATATGGTGCTGCTTCTTGCCAGTTAAAAAAAAAGTTTAATTTATATATAACTAATTGTTTTCCATTCTCATTCCATTTATTTTATTTTATGATTTAATAAATCAAAATACAATAAAGTCTATGAATTGAAAATATGCAAGGGATGTCGGTGGCCGCAACGATTTAAGTTTTTTTTTCCCCTCCTAAAAACACTGTCACCCCGAGGGTTCATTTAACCCTGTAGTTGAAATAATCTCTTTAAAAAAGTGAATAAATAAAAATAATACAAAACAAATTAAACAAGACATTCAGAGATATTTTAAAATGCAGGTATATTTTATTTTTAGTATAGTTATTTTATCAAAAGAGTGGTTTTTCTTTTTTAAACCTTATTAGAATTTATTTCCTTAAATCTTTAACATTAAATATTATTTTTTTAAACAAATGTTGCCAATTACGATGAATTGAATTTATAATATTATGAAAACTCTTTTAAATGAGTTTGAAAATAACTCAGGTTTAATTCAACAAGTGTTTTACACCAAATTGTCTTTAACAAAATTAAAAATAAATAAACAAATAAACACAATTTGATACTTAAAAATCCATATAGATTTAAAGTAAGACTGGGCTGAACTTGTTAAGTGCCTATTCATTAAAATAAAACAAAAGTTCACCAAACATAAGGTATTGATACAACCATCACCTCTGGCTATCAGAAAACTCAAAAGGAAATTAAAATAAAATGCCTTATCGAATAATAAATAAAAATTCTATCGCTTGTACCGTAGCTTGTCGAGCGGTATACTGCAGTGTGAAATTTTTTTTATTAAGAGAATGTATTTGACGTCAATACATGAGCCCTCTTCAGTGTTAATTACATTTGTATATCCAGTACACATTGTTGGGAAGTCCACTAGATATACAAATGTAATTAACACTGAAGAGGACTCATGATGGATGATGTTGAAATGTTTTATTAATAAAATACCTTGCTGCAGTATATTGTTCAACCAAGTGAAAGAATTGTAGAGAGAACTGTAAAAAGATTTAATTGCTCTTTTAAAACAATATATAAATAAAAAGTCCACTTTTTCTTAATTTCTACAAACTACGCCCATTCATCTTTTGTTAAGGGTGGTTGGTTTGGGTTAACATGTTTAAACATGTATCTTGTGAATTAGGTTTTCCGTAAAAAGTAAACACTGTGAAACTTCCCTTAAACAGACAAATTCTGATTCTCTAGACCCCCTCATTAATTTCTTCATGATAAAATCTATAAATCAACTAGTCCCAATAATGGACGTGGATAGGTTTTTTAAACTATATTCTGACTAAAAACTCTCCCAAAATTGGAAAACAGCCTCCAGAAAATGAATGCTTTCTAAGAAACGCCTTTCCCCCTGTGTGTTTTGTTCACTTTCCAACATTTTCTCAATATTCTTACATTTTGATTGTGCTACTCTGCAAACATGTAAATATTGGGTTGTCCGGAAAATAATGCAGGATTTTGGTATTAAACAAAAAAAAAGAAACTAGTTACTTTAAAGCAATGTTCTTTAATCAAAATAATTTCCCATACTCTCAATACATTTCTCCCAACGTGTTGGTAACTTATTAATTCCGTCTGAGTAGAATTCAGAATTTTTAGAATTGATAAAGTCAATAAATGCATTTTCCAGTTCTGTTTGATTTTTGAATATTATGTGTTGTAAGTAGTGGTCCAGGTGTCTAAAAAAATGGTAGTCAGTAGGCGAGAGGTCCGGAGAGTAGGGTGGGTGAGGCAAAGTTTCATAGCCAAGCTCCAATAATTTTTGTGACGTTACACGTGACACATGTGGTCGAGCATTGTCATGCAACAAAATGGGCCCTTTCCGATTGACCAAAGAGGGCTTCATTACTGCCAATTTCTGATGCATGGTATTAATTTGGTTACAGTATGATTCAGCATTGATGGTTTCGCCAGGATTTAAGAAGCTGTAGTGTATTAAACCAAATGAAGCCCACCATACCGTAACCATTACCTTTTTTTGATGAGTTGGGGGCTTTGGAAAATGTATTGGAGCTTCTCCTTTGTCGAGCCACTGTCCAGAACGTCTAGTGTTATCGTAGAGAATCCACTTTTCGTCACATGTAACAATTCTGGCCAGAAATGGGTCATTTTTGTTTCGACAAAGAAGTGATGCACAAACATCAAAGCGCTGATTTTTTTGGCGATCGTTTAATGAGTGTGGAACCCAATTTTCGAGTTTTTTCACTTTTCCAATCGCCTTGAGGTGGTCAGCGACGGTCGTTTTACTGACTTTGAGTTACTCTGCAAGTTCTCGAACAGTTGTTTTGGGGTTTTCTTCCACCACTGATCGCAGAACATCATCATTAAGAGAGGAAGGCCTTCCACGACCTTCTTCATCTTCAAGGCTGAAATCTCCCTCCCGAAATTTTTTAAACCACCTTTGCACAGTGCACTCATTAACACAACCCTCGCCCCAGACTTGGTTAATGTTTCTAGCCGTTTGGGCTCCGCTTCGGCCGAGTTTAAACTCGTAAAAGAAAATCGTACGAAATTCTCGCTTTGACATTATAAGGATGACTGAATTATTTCCAAGTAGCGGAATGCTACAGAGGTAAACAAACAATATCATTTGGAAGAGGATTAATAAGTGTTGACATTCATACAAATGAGTAATCCTGTAAACGTAAACAGAATATTTTATATAGATTTTTTTTAATGAAAACTTAAAATCCTGCATTATTTTCCGGACAACCCGATACTCCTTCAGTGTGTTTGACACTTAAAGAAAAAAAATTAATTAAGTGAAAGTGAAATACTAAGTGTGCAAGATTTGGCTATGAAGTTTTCCATCGGAAAGACCTAGGCAAATGAAATTGTAAAAAATAAAAAGGAACTTTTAGATAAATTTTACAAACGCAGAAATGACCAATCCTGCAGATTTTTTTTTTCTCCTTAAAATGTCTGATTAGGCCATAGACCAGGACATATTTGAATGGTTTTGCTGTACTTGGGATTGTAAAAAAACACTACCTGGTCTGCTTATATGAGAAAAGGCCATAGAAGTTGTTGGAAAGTTTCATTGTATGGGTTAATGTGGAAAATTTTAATTTTACAAGAATAAAATGAAATATTTATTTAATTTAAAAAAACTTATGTTGTGTCATGTTAATTCAAAGACAACATAAGTATGCACACCTTCACAATTCAGGCTTTTTTTAAGCTAAATATTAACTATATAAATGTACCGATGTACCATATATATTTTTAAATTTTTATATCAAAATAAACCAGTTGAATTAACATAAGCATGTTTTCTTTGTTGTTAGGACCTCATAATAATTTCAGTGTGAATGAAGACAAGAAGTAAACATGTTAGTAATTTTTCTTGGAAAATTAAAAAAAGCATATTTAATTTAATTTTTGGTGACAATTACTGTGCTGTGTAAAAAATTTTAGTTATATTAATGCTTCCTGACTGTTAAAATAAATTATTTCAACAAATTGGCATTTATAAAATAAAACAGCTGAGCTAATGAGCTATTTATTATATAATACGATTTGTAGATAATAACGTCCAAAAAGATTGATGCCTTCTGTTAACAAGTTTGCATAATTTAATGTAGATGTGTAGGTAAAAGTCGAATGTTGATATTGGGTAAAACAAACAGCTAGGATAAGTGGAAAAATTTGTCAAGATTAATTTGTCTTTAGCCTAAATGTTAATTCTAAATGTCATTTATTTTATTTATTTTTTATTAGCCTATTCTATCATCACTAACCTTCATATCTTATTCTTGATTTTCGATGCTTTTTTTCAAACAATTGAAAAATGCATAAATTAAGAGGACAGCTATGTTTTTATTTTTTTAACTTAACATATGTACTCTTGACAAAGTTGATGTGTATTATAAAAGGAGCTTCTAAGAAAGGTTTTCATCATTTTAAACATTTAGAATAGAGTTTAAAGGTATAATTAAGGATTTTAAACTTGCGAGTAAAGTTTTTAATTTTACCATATAGTTTTTAATTTTTTTAAAAATTTGATATTGTAGTTAAATATTTTATTTTTGCCACTACTTCGAATGATAAAATAATTGAGGTGCTGTCTTGTATTTCTATTTTTTTGTTTTATAAGCAAAGAAAAAAATATGAAAATACATAAAAATGTGTGCTGAAAACTTGAAAGTAATGTTTAGAAGAGGAATTTTTTAAAATGTTTTTATTTATTTATTGATTTTTTGGGAGGATTAATGTTGATATTTTAGTGAAAACGAGTATTCTTTTTTTCAGGGTTGTAATTATTAGATTATCAGATGTTATTCAATGCCTAGTGAGAAAGGGCAGTAGTCATTTATGATTAAAACGTCATTAACTTTTTTAAAGCTTTTTTATGTCGTAATGAATGTAAGAAAATTCAAATGTCGATTTTATCACATTGATTCAAGAGCAAAATGTTATTTGCAAAATAATAAGAGTTAAAAACATATTTTGTATTATAATAAATAACGTTTTTGAATTGTTTTTCGATTTCGGATTTCTCCGCCCACTGAATCCGACGACGGGCCGGTGCTGTCAGTGAAGCGCAATTCGACAGGCAAAGTTCGAAAGACAGCCGCCCCGTTTGTTAAAAACTAGTCGGATCGTGAAATATATTTTTTTAATTAGGACCCACCGGCGTAAATCGTTAATATTTTAATTGTTAAAATTAATAATTGTCGTTATCGATGAGACAGAATCGAGATGGACGTGACGTCAGGGACAATCCTGTTCGAGTTGTAGAAAGCGATCGGGACCCATTCGCCCATTCCGACTCGAGAAATATTGAGAATTCGTAGCACAGTCAAAATGGACGAACACATAGTACGTGTTCATTAACAGAAAGAATAAAGTCGAAAATCATAAACGAACCAAACTAGAAAAAAGAGAAAATTGAATAATAAAAGAATAAACTGAGAGAGAGAGAGAGACGCTTTTACCTCTTTACTATTTCAATTGATAATACTGCCGAATCGGAGCGGAACTATTACATTTTAACCCCACGTTTTTCGTTTTGTGTTTGTGAGGAGAAACTGGCCCGTCGCAGGACGAAGGGTGTAGAAAGAAGAACGGATTTAACTTCCGTACCGATTGCAGCCGATTATCGGTGAGTTTATTTTATTTATTGTAACATTTTAGTCCTTCATTAATATCTAGCTTTATTACGGCCGCTTTAACCCTCTGCAAAGAGACCCTTTGGAACCTTCAGTAAATATAGATTTATAGTCCCATTTTCCAATATGGCCTCGAAATATTATTAAAAAACACATTCTTCACTTTTTCCCATCATCATTTTCCGCACGGCACATTTTCACGCATTTACTGACAGGGTCAAAAATCCGGGGCCGCGACTCGATTTTCACGGAATTCTCACTCTCATCATATTTATCTCCTATTGACATAATTTAATGAAATTTATTTAGATTTGTAACTTATTTTACTGAGTATCTATTGAATGGGTCTGAAAAAGGATTAAAAAAACGCCGGAAGTTTTTTGCTCTGTAAAATCAATAAAATACATTTTTGTTTTAATTCATACATATTAAACAATATTTTTCCGTCTAATATGATCAATCACAAATAACAAATGTCATGTTTGAAGCACTTCCAATTTTTTTCGGAGATTAACAAATTACAAAAATTAACTTCTCATCTGTCCCAAGTAGCTGCACAAATTTGAAAATCCATGCTTGAGCTGTGTGTGCTGGCATAGCTGAACAATTTCAGGCATGATTTTATAAATTAATTTTGAACCCTCCCATTTGATGACATTTCAGTCCAAATTTGTGGCTCGGATAAACACTAATTTCCACGGTATTTTCTATACCCACACACAAAATATTTACTGCAGCTTAATTCAGTTATATCTGTTGGTTAAAAGTTTGTTGATGATTAAGTTGTACTCTGAAGAAGACCCATAACTATCATGGGTTAATCTGACACAAAAAATTTAAATTTTTAAAAGTTATTAATCACAATTTTATATTTTTAAAGCTGTTTGTTCCAGATCGATAAATATTCACTTTTATTAAACTTGTTGAACCTGTTTTAAACTCTGATCACATTAATGTAATTGCAAATGACTGAAAAGGAATCAAACCACTGGGATTTTTATTACTCTGTAAAATCAATAAAAGTCATTTTTGTTTTAATTTATACATATTAAACAATTTTTTTTTCAGACTAATATGATCAATTACAAATAACAAATGTCATGTTTGAAGCACCTCCCCCCCCTTTTTTTTCCAGAGATTAACCTATTGCAAAAATTATATTTTCCTTATTCTCTGACCTATGTAGCTACAAAAATTGAAAATTCATGCTTGAAATGTGTGTGTACTGGCATATCTGAACGTGATTTTATAACTTAATTTTGAACCCTACCATCTGATGACGTTTCTATCCAAATTTGTGACTCGTTGTCTAAACACTAACTTCCATGGAATTTCCATACCCTGACATAAAATATTTATTTCAGCTTAATTCAATTACATCTGTCAATTGTAAGCTTGTTGATGATTTTGATCTTTCCTCTGAAGAACACTATCATGGGTTAATGTGATACTTAAAAATTTTAAGTTTTTAAAAGTTATTAATCACAATTTTATATTTTTAAGACTATTTATAGCTGATCGATAAATTTTCAGTGGTATTAAACTTGTTTTCTAAACTCTCTTCACATTAATGTAATTGCAAATGGCTCTGAAAAGGAGTCAAACCGCTGGGATATTCTTTACTCTGTAAAATCAATTAAAGACATTTTTATTTTAATTTACACTTATTCAGAAATCGTGAGATGGGGTCTGGTGTGACATAGGTTTCAGAAAAACATTTTCTTTATTGCGCCAACGTTTCGATCTTTATTGAGATCATCTTCAGGGCTCAAAGTGTTTGTCTTCTGTGTAATTGTGCCATTCTTGTGTGTCGTGTTGAGAGTGTGGGCACTCAACCCGTTTTCATCTCATAATTCTCACAAACACTAACAAGTTTCGTAAGCATCCACTCTAGTGCTTTGGCCTTCTAGGGTCAAAAACTTTGGCCATTTCAGTCCCAATGTATTCAGTTTTTAAATCTAAAATCACTAACCCTCTCTCAAGTAGAAGAAAAGAGTACTCGATATTCCTCAATCACCTTTTACCCATACTATTGAGGGCAATGAGGTACTCAATACTCTACAATTACTCTAAAAATTCATCCTATTCTCAATATACACAAAACAAGATATCTATCAGTACTTCATAGAATAAAACCAACCCTGTTTCCTTGAAAAATAAAGAACAGGGACCCAAATTCTCGGTCCTGTGCTCAAGCATAATTCTTTTATTGGGTGGCATTCCTCTATATAGAGCAACTCTCTATGTAGAGTCAAGCTATATGACTCTCTTCAATTAAGAGGGACACATGTAGTAATCTCTCTCCGCATTTGCTATAGCACAAGTAGGGCCTATTCTTAGATGGATATGATCTCTCTCCTACGTTTCAAAACCAATGATGAGCATCCTATTGATCATGCTCGTTATACATAAGAACTCTGTGGCTGCCCACTGATGTCATTTCCTTTTAATCGTGTTTTAAAGTATTTTTAACATCAGAGCATTGGAGGTTGGGATATGTGGATGATATGCCAACCTCAGTACATAAAATACATACTTGCTTGACAATTTCAAGCATAATTTTATTAATTACTTTTGAAGTTGTCGTTTTCAGAAATTCATGTCCAATTGTACAACTCTGTTATAAAAACTTTGTAATTTCTAGGGTATGTATTTGTAAGTTGATCACAAAATATTATTTGTGCTTAATTTAATTACTTCCATTTGTTAAAAGTTTGTTGGTAATTATATTTTCCTCGGAAGAAGACTGCTGGACATGGGTTATTCCCAGTCTAATATTTTAAATTTTGAAAATTTAATTAATAACAGTGTTTTTACGCTATTTATTGTTGACCTATAAATATTCACTGAATTAATTATACATGTATTTAATAATTTTCTTGAGTATAATCAATATATGACGTACAAATTCTTTGTAGCCAGTTATTTATACATTTACATTTTTATCATGGGTGGAAATAGTTTTTCACAACTTATTTTCTGCAATCTTTCTGCAACTGATAAGTTATTGAAACAATTTAATAAATTTATTTAAATTTGTAACTTGTTTTACTGATACGTACCTATTGAATTAGGCTGGAAGGTATTAAAACCACCTGGATTTTCTTTAATCTGTAAAAATCAGTAAAAGTACACTTATTTTAATTTATTTATACATTTATTTATTATTTTTGTCAAGTATTGGGTTGTCCGGAAAATAATGCAGGATTTTAAGTTTTCATTAAAAAAAATCTATATAAAATATTCTGTTTACGTTTACAGGATTACTCATTTGTATGAATGTCAACACTTATTAATCCTCTTCCAAATGATATTGTTTGTTTACCTCTGTAGCATTCCGCTACTTGGAAATAATTCAGTCATCCTTATAATGTCAAAGCGAGAATTTCGTACGATTTTCTTTTACGAGTTTAAACTCGGCCGAAGCGGAGCCCAAACGGCTAGAAACATTAACCAAGTCTGGGGCGAGGGTTGTGTTAATGAGTGCACTGTGCAAAGGTGGTTTAAAAAATTTCGGGAGGGAGATTTCAGCCTTGAAGATGAAGAAGGTCGTGGAAGGCCTTCCTCTCTTAATGATGATGTTCTGCGATCAGTGGTGGAAGAAAACCCCAAAACAACTGTTCGAGAACTTGCAGAGTAACTCAAAGTCAGTAAAACGACCGTCGCTGACCACCTCAAGGCGATTGGAAAAGTGAAAAAACTCGAAAATTGGGTTCCACACTCATTAAACGATCGCCAAAAAAATCAGCGCTTTGATGTTTGTGCATCACTTCTTTGTCGAAACAAAAATGACCCATTTCTGGCCAGAATTGTTACATGTGACGAAAAGTGGATTCTCTACGATAACACTAGACGTTCTGGACAGTGGCTCGACAAAGGAGAAGCTCCAATACATTTTCCAAAGCCCCCAACTCATCAAAAAAAGGTAATGGTTACGGTATGGTGGGCTTCATTTGGTTTAATACACTACAGCTTCTTAAATCCTGGCGAAACCATCAATGCTGAATCATACTGTAACCAAATTAATACCATGCATCAGAAATTGGCAGTAATGAAGCCCTCTTTGGTCAATCGGAAAGGGCCCATTTTGTTGCATGACAATGCTCGACCACATGTGTCACGTGTAACGTCACAAAAATTATTGGAGCTTGGCTATGAAACTTTGCCTCACCCACCCTACTCTCCGGACCTCTCGCCTACTGACTACCATTTTTTTAGACACCTGGACCACTACTTACAACACATAATATTCAAAAATCAAACGGAACTGGAAAATGCATTTATTGACTTTATCAATTCTAAAAATTCTGAATTCTACTCAGACGGAATTAATAAGTTACCAACACGTTGGGAGAAATGTATTGAGAGTATGGGAAATTATTTTGATTAAAGAACATTGCTTTAAAGTAACTAGTTCCTTTTTTTTTGTTTAATACCAAAATCCTGCATTATTTTCCGGACAACCCAATAGTATGGTAATCAGAAATAACAAATGTAATATTTTAAGCACTCCAAAATAGCAAATTGCAAGAATTATCTTCTCGATCTTGAACAATCGTGTGTGCTGGAATAATTTAACAATTCAGGCATTATTTTATAAATAAATTTTGGACCCAGCCATTTCCTCTTTTTGGTTTAACAATTGGGGGAATTAAATTTTTTCTAAATATCCTCACACCTATGTGGTTGCAAAAACTGAAAAATAATATTTGCTTAACTGGCTCAATTTTACAAATTAATTTTTAACCCCCCCAGTCATTTTCTGTCCAATCGTACGACTGTTGTACGAACACAACACTTTCTCAGATATTTTTTATGCTGATCGCATAATTCCTTGCACTTGAATTACTTTATATCAATAAAAGGTTTGTTAATGATTATATTTTCCTTTAAAGTAAAATATAGTCAGTCCTTGGATTATTTACAGTGAAAATTTTGAAAAGTTATTATTGGGTGGGCTGAATGAAAAGAAAGTACAAACAGTGCTTCTTGAGTTAACAAGTTAGACTTTTTTTCTTCAATTGTACTTGGTATAATCTGGTTAAGTTCTGAATGTACACATCTCAATTAATTGTTTGGTTATGCGGTATGACACATGTCCTGCATCTTTCCTCCTGGCCATGTTGTAACAATCTTCTTAGTTATTTCAAGAAACCATGGTCTCACAGACTGCTTTCAAAGTACGAATAACATTTTTTCCATTAAAGCAAGGCAATTACTTGCCAGTGCTACATATTGCTCTAAGAGCAGATTGAGGTATTAAAAATCAAGTTAAACACAAAAATTCATAAAAAATAATTAACTAGATATGATTGTTGCCAAATTGGATTGTTTGTTAATTTTTCTCTCTTATATTTAACAAAACATGTTTCTGAAAAAAAAAGATTATTTTATTTATAATGTCTACATTATTTCACTGATGATAAATTGATTACTTTTTATAATCATTCAAATTTTTCTGCTCTTACTAACAACTATTTAAAATAATTAAGCAAAAATATGTGAATTGCTCAAAAGAAAAAAGACTAACAAGAGAACAAGATCACTCTGCAAACCTCAAGAAGAAATTTCACAAGGAAAAGTCAATTGTTTTCAGCATGATTTCTTACTGTTAAAGAAAATCTCGAATCAACTTTTTTATTTATTTATTTATTTTTTTTTTTTAACCACAGTGATTAAAAAAAGCATATTTGTAAATAAATAATAAATAATTGATGAAATACACCTAACAGGTTAGGAATAAATTAAATTAATTTATATGCTCCATTCTGTCTTAGTCAACTAATTAATTGCAGTAGGAATCTTAATTATTCTGAAAATACCAATTATACAAATATTTTATGTTTTAGTGTTTGTTAAAAATAAATTAACTCACATATTCGCTTGTAATCCTTGATACATTGGGTTTAACAAAACATTATTTCACTAATTTAAATACACTATATTGGTTTAAAGTTTACTTTTTGGATAATTATATTTCTATCTCTTTAAAGGATAGTGTCAATCATGTCACGACTTTTAGCTTAAAACACCAAAAAATTGCTTTTGTTTCAAATTTTGCTTTTAACATAGCACACTCCCAGACATCACAAATCATTCCTTTCCTATGTTCTTGTTGTTTCCTCAATAATTCTTAAATATTGAAATATAATTATGTTTTAAAAGTTGCTTAACTTGCAGAACTTATTGCAGGAATCATTACGAAGAGTGTTTGACATGAAGATTCCTCTAATTTTAAAAAGGTACGTTTATTTGTGTTTATGTAAATAAGTAATGATTTGATTTAATAATGAATTTGATCTATTACAGGCGAAATGCCCAGCTATGATGGACCTGACAAAGAGTCTGTGCGGGAAAAGAAAAAGCTTAGTTCCAAAATGGAAAAAAGTGATAAAAAGAAACGGTCTAAAGATTATGAGAAAAAGCTGAAGAAAAAACGAAAGAACAGAGAGAGTTCAGAGAGCAAAAAGTTAGTCAAGCCCTTAGTCGAGTACTCGGATGTAAGTTCTGAAGAATTATCCAGCCCTGAGGCTGGAGAAATTCAAAGTGAAGACAGTGGACATTTAGAATTTGCTCCGGCTTTAATACCAGAGCGTTTTCATTATCGACTCTCTGCAGATTCCAGAGATACATATTCACCGTCTCCTTCTGTTGATTCTAGAAGGAATTGGGACGGAAATTTGGAAAGTAAAACAAAAAAACGAAAGCTATCACCTTCTCCCATATCGTACAGTAGATCAAAAGAAAAAAAGTCAAAGAAATCTAGTAAAAAACACAGTCCTGGTCATAAGAGAAAAAAAAGAAAGAAATCTCGTGAAAAAAGTAGGGAAAGGAATAAATCGCCTATCCATGTGCCAGATTTATTTTTAATACATTTTATGAATAATAGTCCACATTCTTCACTTAATGCCCCTAATTATTACGACGAACTTGAAGAAATTAAACAGTCAAAACGAATAGAAAATAATAATGGATCATCTTTTCCTTCAGCGGTGTCACCCCGTTCTGCAAGTGATATAGACTTAAAAAATACAAACCACCCTTCTCCCCATACTCCACCCACAGAAGAACATCCACCTCCTCAGCCAAGCTTTTCATCCAATAGACGAAGTGCTCCTCAACCAGTTTCACCCTCTCGAAGTTTAGAAGAAGGTGAGAGACCTCATCGAACACCTAGTCCATTTGGGCCGGAATCAAGCCCTGATATGGGTAGGGACAGAGACAAAAAAAGAGACAGTTCATTAAAAAGGCATCGAGATTCCCCAGTTTTAAAGTCTTCATCCTCAAACCATAGACATTCTGAAAAAGTTTCTGACATGAAAAAACACAAAAGGAAGTCTCCTTCTAGATATGATGTTGATAAGCATTCAAGATCTTCAAGGAGACATTCTCCATCTCCAAGATCGCCGATTTCTAGGCCAAGGAGGCAGACTCCTTCTTATGAAAGAGAAGACCGGAGGTAAAAAAATTATATTTTTATAAAATAAAATTGTTTATTTTAATATATTGGTCTTTTTTGTAATATATTATATAATTTATTTGACTTTTCTACCCATTATGAGGATCAGACGACTAGCCAGCTATTCAATTATACAATTATAATGTAGCAGTGTTTGGCCAACACCTGATCTTCCTAAATGGCTGTTATCTCCAAAAAGACAATAAAAATTGTTTAATACTATATCGTATTAAATTAATTTTACTGTTTTTTCTTTGTTTTTTAGGTGGACTCGGGACAAAATGTCTCCTAGTAGATATAACAGACACGAATCACCACACAGCCGAAAGAGGAGAAAGGAAAGAGAGAGCGGTGAAAAGAAGAGAGAGCGTCTTAGGGACAAACATAAGAAAAGACGGCATCACGATAGCCGGTCCAAATCCAAGAGCCCATTGAGGTGAGTTTAAATTTGGAAATAAAATACCGTTAAGTTCTGTACTTTTTTTAATACAGTTTGTTTATTTACAAATCAAGGATGTTGACAATTCGGTGAGTATTTTTTATTTTACTGCTACCCATTATGTGTGGTATCAACTTTTTTCATGCATGAAATTTTTTTGTTTTCTTAATACATTTGTACATTTCAAACTAATTAATATATAACATTTTTCACACCTTTTCAATGCCACATATTTCTTAGAATTTTAAATTTATTTAATATTAATTTTTTTCTTATTATATTTATTCCTAGAATCATAAATTCTTTCAATTAGTACTATTACTTGTTATTATTCATAACTTTCACTAAACAAATGGTATGGTAATTACTTGTAATTACTAATAAATGATGGGATTTAACAACATAAGACAATTCAATTTTTTTCTGTTAGTGAATGTAATTATTGATGTATTACTAAAAGCTAAAAATGGTAAAGATCGAAATTAAAATTGTGAGTGTTATTTCATATTGATTTTAAGTGGTTCTAATTTTTTTTTTCTAGAGTGAGAAGGTCAGTATCGAGGTCAAGGAGTTGGAAACGGACTAGATCAAGAAGTCCCCCGAATATGTTAAGCCACGGTCGATCACCTGTCCGTCATAGCAGAAGTCCTCCAATTGCTAGACATAGTCGTTCCCCAATGCATAAGAGAAGCTTGAAGAGCCGTCCTTCGCGATCTCCTTCCCATAGTCCATCTAGTCTTAGAAAAGTCCGTGAAATATCTGCTAAAGTCAAAATGAGTGAGACATCACTGTTTGCAGAACTTGTCAAAGACAGAAATATGCGAGAGCTTGCCATGAAACGTTTGGCTGAACTTGCAGAAAAAAAAGAGACAGTTGAAGAAAATTCAAATTCGGTCGAAGCGAAGGAAGAACCAGAGGTCATTTCTCAATTTGATAAATGTGAAGATATTCAAGGCGAAGATGAAATAACTGTTTGCGAAATGATGGACTCAAATGATGCCACTAGAGACGAACTGAATCCTCTGACATCAACAGTATTCATTCCACCTCCGATCCCTCCACCGGATTGCCTTCCTCCTGAAATACCTCCTCCGCCTATTCCTCCTCTAGAGCTAATGCAGCCAGTGGATGAAGCTCCTCCGATCACTTCACCGCAGGGTAGAGTACCAAAGAATCTCCATCCTCCCAAACTTCCTATGCCTCCTGGTATTAATCAAAACGATCTAGAAAGCATAGATTCACCTCCAAGTGGATCTCCCAGTCCTTTCTCTGACAAACCTGTTCCTCAAGGGAAAAAGAGCATTAGAGACCTTCCTCTTCCAGGTATAATTCATATTAAAAAATGGTCTCTGTTGCTGGTATTTACTTGGTTGAAATTTTAAGCTGTAGCTGGTGCCGAAGAGCTCAGTGCTGAAGAGGATATTAGTAGTACACCACCTCACAGTTTTACAAAAAAAATGGCCACTCAACCCAGTAGCCCAGCACTTCAACAAAGAATGAGAGCTGTGAGTGGGGTAAAAAAATTATACCCATTTCAATTCATTTCTCTACATACTTTATTTGTGCATACAGCATATCGCAAGAAAATCAGTGGGACGACTGACACGACCTAAGATTCTCTATAAAGGAAAAACTAAACCAACTCCTGCTAGTAAAACCTGGGGAGAAAGATGTGTGGACGTTTTTGAAGTAATAGCTCTCATAGGGGAAGGCACCTACGGTCAAGTCTATAAAGCTAAAGACCGACAGCAAGGTATGTCTTACCTTTTATTAAGTTATTTCCTCATAATTTATTAACAAAGCTTTTCAATCTTAATATTTTTCTATTCACATAAAAGAGTTAAGTACAGTTTGTTCTTTTAATAAAAGCTAAAAATATTGTTGAAAAATATATTTGAATAAAACCATTTTTTTCCTTACTGGAGAATCTATTTTAAAGAAGTATTTAACTTATAGTATGATCTCTTCTAATTTTCTTGTTGTAAAAGCTAATAAATATTAAAGACAAAAACTGAACTTATTACTAATCAGTTCTTAAATGTTTCCAACTCAAAATAATAGATAAAAAGCTTGTAATAAATTGTTTTGCTTTATCAAAACTTGGTATTCATTTCTGGTTATTGATAGAATAAAACATGATTACACAAGTGTTCTGATAATTTGGAATTCAACAGGAATCAACTATCTAAATAAATAAAATTGTAATGTCAATATTAAATCATTAATATTTTATAAGAGTTTCAGTGAAAGGCATACAAATTTTTGCATTTTCACATTGCACAGTGTTCAGAGATTATCTCCACTAAACCTGTTCATTTGGGAGCAATATTCTGTATTATGGACATTGCTCAAGAAAATTTAGGAAGAGAAAATTTATGGTCTCGTGCAGTTACTTTCTATATAATTATATTGCCCCGTAACCATAAAACAAGTCAAAAAATTAGACAACATTTATCGCTTTTCTATAATTGGATTTTTAAAATATTTTTCATTACAGGTTTCTCTACAAATGGTAACAGTTTACAAAACAAACCTGTACATTTGGGAGCAATGTTTACCCAGATTATGGTCATTGCTCTAGAAAATACAGGAAGAGAAAATTTATGGTCTCGTGCAGTTATTTTGTATATAATTATGCTGCCCCGTAACCATAAAACAAGACAAAAATTATCACTTTTCCAT